CTGCAGGGCGGGTGGCTGGCTGGACTCCCGGTGGGCTGGATTGATCTGATCCAACAGCAGCCACGGCACGCACTCGTCTTGGGGGCTGTTTGCCACCGGGTGCGGAATGTACTTGCGATTGCGGGAGGAGGGAGGCCGGGGGGCGATCAAGTGGCATGGGGAAAAAGGAAACAGCCGTCGGTCATGGAAAACATTGCGCTCCACTCGACCAAGTAGCGCGCCCCACGGAACTGAAAAAGGGGCCCCAACGTGGTACATGATGTGTAGAATGCACGCTTGCATGCTTTTCCGTCGTCGTGAACGGCTGCAGACGAGGCCAGAGGCAGATCGGGAGCCCGATGGCTGCAAGGCACGCGCCGATGTCGTTCGCATAAGGCGCACCTCGCACGGGAAAAGGCTTCTGTTGATACGACCCTCGCGCAAAGCAGACGAGCGGAGCGGCAAATGCGGTTGTACATGCGAAGAAACTGCTCAGCTGTGCGTTCGGCCTGCCTTGGCCAGAAAGGAGAGTTGTGCTTTTTCCCCCTCGACGTCCTGGGCCCAGCACCACGCCATCCAGCTGCAACTGTATGCTCTCTTGGTCCATGCTCAGCTGAGACCTTCTCGAAAGCTTCGAGCGCGCCGAGGGAGGGAGAGTGTGGGCTGGGGGTGGGTGTAGCCCGTGGTGCCACGTACTGGTTCCAGCGACCATGTGATTCGTAGCCGCTGCGTGCATATTGGGATCAACTTGCTCCGCATCGATTTGCCGTCTGGCAAAATGGACGAGGTCATTTGAGCCCCTCGCCCGCGGCAAAGGGTCCAGGGGCCGAGCGAATGGGAACGTGGCGGAAGGAAGATTTTGTGCTGGTGGCTCGCCAGCCTGGATCGTCAGGGCTGTTTGATTGGCAGGCGCCGACGGAGTAGACGGAGTAGTGGCCTTCCCCCGGCGTTGCAGTGATCGATGAATCATAATGTTGGCTCCTTATCGCCCTCAAATTTCACCACCAGAGCTTTTGCTTCATCAGCAGACATTTATCTCCTCAGCTTCCCCCTTTTCCGTCTGCCATCCGAATCAACCATTGCAAGCCCCCACATCCGCAGGGCACAGTGCAGCACTGCCTGGCACCGCACAGTGGTCGGCCGTCGTCGTCGTGCGGATCAAAGAATCGCAGTCTCAACGCCTGCACACCTCCCCCGCGGCTTGCAATGCCACCGGAAGCCACGACGCCGACGCCGTGGCGTAGCATCCGTTCTGTTACCGCCGGGCGTGCCTGAGCCGTAGACGCACCACGACGCAACGCCTGGCGCTGTTCCACTACACACAATCTCGCCAACTCCACCGCCAGAACCCCGCGCTGCTGTGCTCTTCCAGGCGTCCCCGGAAGGCCTGATTTGTCCTACGGGCCAGGTGGCACGTCGGAATGGATCATGTCACCGTTGGCTCAAGTGATGGAACCACAACGAGGCCCTGGGCGGAAAGCCACAGCGAGGCAGCAACTCTTCAAGACGCAAGGCAGGCGGGCTCTGGATGCTGGCGCAACGCCAGATTTCTCGAAATGTCTCGTCTCTGTCAAGGGCGACCCCGTATCTTGGGAGCCATTGACGGTTTGTAGTCACTCCTTTTGCTCGTATCCTCGAGCACCCTGCCAGATGTCGGGAATAGCACCGTCCTCTGCTCTTCTCCGTGGCCCGGCATACCCTGTACCAAGGCACTACAAAAACTGGCTGGGTGTGTAAATCAATCATCGGTACGGGCACGCGATGAATGGCTGGGATTTCTTCTCCCGACGTTGAGCATCGTCTCTTGCTCGCTCAAGGCTCATTCCAGTCCAGTCCACCCGCCGACGCCGTTCCCCGCCGAACGGCCGATGGCTGGCCTCGTTTTTGCACCCCAAAGAGCTCACAAGTGAACCCTGGCCGGGACCCCTGCCGAGACCCTGCTTCTAGAGGCAACCAAGTGCATACACCATGGCATTGTAGCATGTACACCGTATTCGTACTCCGTACATGCACAGGTATAAATAGGCATGTGTGTGTGTCTACGGATACGACTATCCCCAGGCGTTCCGGCAGGTATTCCTACACCCGAGTGCAGGTACTAGCTACTTGGGGTGGAAGCAGAGACACGGCCACCTTATCCAAATCGTTGATACCTGCAGACTACGTAGCAGCCTATGCCGGCAACGTGCTGTCGAAAGCCACCTCGGCAGAGGAAGGTCCGACTTGCAGAGGAGGCCGTATCTCTCTCCATGGCCAGATGTCAGGCCACCCTCCTGGCGGCAGCTTGGAAGTGGATGTCGCGGAAGGTTACCGGGACTTCACTTTGCACGCCTGTGCCGCTCGACAACGCCATTTCGGCGACTGACAGCTCGACTCGACGTTGGACCAGAGAGTTGGCGAGGTTTGTCCGTCGACTCCGAGTACGGCTGGCTGATATTAGGCAAGCCTACATGTATGGCTGCTGCAAGCATGTACGAATGCTTCGTACATACATGCCAACAGCACAGAGACATGTATATCTACTGCACATGCATCGCGGTTCCCTGAAACGGAAACGGAAACGGTACAGAATGTCGTGGGGCCGGATCGCGACCTTCCATCGCCGCTGCTTCCGCGGAGGCATGACGGCAAGGCGGGGTCGAGGCGGCAAAGGGAGAGAGGGAGAGAGGGAGAGAGGGAGAGAGGGAGAGATGGAGAGAGGGAGAGAGGGAGAGATGGAGAGAGGGATGGGCACATCAGACGATGCCACCACCTTGTACCGATGTTGGCACTGTAAGCTCCGGGTAAGCTTGATATGTCATTTCACACGAGACGCGATATCTGACAGAAGCCCACATCTAAACGGCCGGCGATCTGATTCCCGATTGGCTCAAGAAGCCGTCACCTCGACGGCTTACCCGTAGTTCGCGCTTTCCTCCGGGGGTTCTGGGACTTGTATATCATCTGATGGTCAGCTCGCCGAGGCTCCAGCCACGTCCCGAAAGGAAGCGGCTGCGTCGAGCGAGACGAGAGGCTGCCTTGGCCATTGCCTTCTGGACCAACCGGCGGCGCAAGGCGAAACGCCGCCACAGACGCCTTTCTCTCCCCATTTCCCACGTTGGGAGCCCTGTGTCTCCTTGGCGTTTAGGCTCTGGCGCAAGCATGCGCGGGTGGTGTCGCACGTTTCCCTGCTGGAGCCGCAGCCTGGAGGCGGCGTGTGGTTGCGTCCGTGACGCTGTGGCCAGCGGCTTGATCTTGGGCTCGGATGAGCTTGTTCCTCCTCTGTGCGACCTGCCTTTGTGCCAAGCAGCAGGCCTCGTCCTAACCTGCTAGGTCCGAACCTGCTAGATGGCAGACGGCGATGAGACCGACCGACCGCAAACAGGAGATGGCCCGCGAAAATGGGATACAGCCGGGCCATGTATTCATCTCCGAAGGCGAAAAGGGCCGAGCTGGCTGAGCGCAGCGGCGCCACTGTCCGGTGGCCACCTGACCGTTCGACTCGCCATTGAGGGGGGTAGAGAGAGACCGGCCAGTCGATCTCTGCCGTTGCTGCTGGTTCGTCTCTAATTGCCCGGCCTGTTTGTCCACCCTGATGGCTCGAGAGTCCAGCGAGAGACTATGGATCTCGAAGCTTCGGCCACTCACGCACCTCGGAAGTGAACAGGCGGGGAAGGACGACTGCTGGACTCAAGTTTCCCCAACCACGCAATGGACGCGGCCGTCCTTGGCCCCCCCCTCAAAATCCCCCTCTCCCCCCCCGCAGCTGGCCACGGTTGCACCGACTGCAGACCAGTGTATCTCGAGACAGATTAATCTGTCTCACCCGAGAGGGGGGGGGGGGGCATAAATGACCTCGCCAAGGTACTATGACGCCTTGCAGAGGAGGAGGTTGGGGTAATGCCGCCTCAGCCCTTGCATGTGGCCATCGCTCAACATGGAGGTGTCGCGAAGCCGGCATCGTGAGGTTGCCGCAGTTCGCTGTTAATTCTTGTAGGAAGACATGGCCGCGGCAGTGAACAGCCGTCAACGGGGGCTTGTGGCGTCTCCCTACTCCTTCTCTCTCTTCGATGGCCCCTTAGGCGTTCTGGAATGGACGACCAACCATGGCTCGGCTCGTACACGGGGGGCAGCGACCTTGCAGCTGAGCACGTCAACGTCGACAGCCACTCATGAGACCCCCCTCGCGATCAGTGATGCCCCATGTTGCATGCCTGGACCAGGACTCTGGCCTGGAACGAAGCGGGCACGGCTCGTCGAGAGGTCTGAGCCGGAAAGGAGCCAGTCGTTGCAGGCCACGCGACTACGGCCAGGACACTCTCCCCCGCTCCCCGCCAGCCTGGGCTGCAAAGCGTCATGATGGACGCAGCGGGAATCGAGTCCCTGGTTGCCGCCAATTCCTGTGTTGCGCCTGAAGCGCAGGGCAAAAGGGCGCCCGCAATGTAACACAAGCTGGTGCATGAGCACCAGCGCCGGGTATGTTATGTATGTAGGCCGTGGGCGGCAGGCAGGCGGCCGTGATAACGAGAATGAGAAGGAGGAGGAGGAGAAGGAGGAGGAGAGGAGGAGGAGGTTCTGGACCGCGGAGATGGTCCTTCGAACTGCCTACTTAGCAACCTGCGGTGTGGGAAGGCCATTTATCCGGGGCCTCGGCCGGCATCCCTTGTGCAGGCCCGGCGGTGGTCAGACCGGACATGATGAGCCTCTGCGGCGTCTCGGTCAAGTGGAAGGCCCGGGCGTGGATGCAAGGCCTTGGGTGTTTTCCCATTTGCAGATTCAACTGCATGGGAGTATCCCGGGGCTCAAGCAGGCGCAGGTGTATCGGTACTCGCGACTACATTGGAAGTCTCGACGAGCCTTGTGTTGCCGTCGACGTCGTTTGTGTGGTTACAGGGCGAAGTTTAATTCGCTGATGGTTGCGCGAGCCCCACGATCCCCAAATGCCTTACCTCATCACGGTTGGTGACCGAGGCGGGCACTTGGTGTCGATTGGTCTGGCAACAAACCGACTCTTGCACCAACGCAGCAGACTTAGCACCGCCATGGCCGGCAAAAAAGGCGACAACAGCAAGAAGGTGGCTGGCAACGCCCGCAAGGCCGAGGCCGCCGCTCAAAAGTCGGCCATCGAGGACGCCCGGCAGGAAACCGCCGAGGCGGACAAGTGGCAAAAGGGAGCCAAGAGCAACGCAAAGAAGTGAGTCAGTCGACACGACGCTCGACACCCCAGAACCCGCCCGCGCTGACCGTCTTCTTCAGGGAGAGCGAGGCCGCCAAAAAGGCCGAACAGACCAGGAAAAAGGCCGAAAAGGATGCGCTCCTCAAGGAAGAAGAGTCCACCATGGGTGGCCGCGCCGAGCCCAAGAAGTCAAAGGCCCCCATCAAGAAATCGCGCGGCCTCGACCTGTCGCAGCTTGACGGCGACTCCTCGGCCTCGGCCCTCAACGCCTCGGGCATCGACAACGCCCTCGACGCCCTTTCCCTGACGGCCGGCGCCGACGACAGCAAGATAGACAAGCACCCGGAGAAGCGGTTCGCGGCCGCATACGCAAAGTACGAGGAGAGGCGACTGCAGGAGATGAAGGCAGACGGCAGCGGCACGGGCCTGCGGCTAGAGCAGCGGAAGCAGAGGATCCGCAAGGAGTTTGACAAGAGCCCCGAGAATCCCTTCAATCAGGTCACGGCCGCATACAACGCGACGCGGGACGATCTCTCACAGACCAGGGCACACGAAATGTCAAAGGTGGAGAAGCGCCTGGGCCAGTAGGATGGCGCTCCTTTAGATACAGCCACCTGTCCACCTCCTTTGTGTCTTCAGATGCTGTCTCGGTCACGGCGTGGCATGGCGCGGCTCGGGAGAGGTTCCTGTCGATGGGCCCTTGCCAGACGGCACGCTGCGTGCGACACCAGCAAATGCCAAGTATTCGCCGGCCATATCCATCGCGCGGGCTCCATCGTGCTGGCACCTGTTGCTCCGGAATGAAGCTATCCGTAGTTACCCCGCCGCTGCCTCACCGAAATCAAGACCCCTCCGATGATGTTGTGGCTTAGTTGCCGCCAAGCCCCGGCAGAATCGCTCACCGCCCGCCACCCGACGAATGCCAAGGGGCACCTCGTCCCGTCACCGACATGTCCCGGCAGCAAGTTGAAATTCCGCCATCCAGCCTCCGCTGCTCTCGTGCTCGTCTCACACAGGCCGCAAAATGGCGCCCCTCAACACCCTGAGTCTCGACTGCCTGCCGTCTCTGCATAGACAGCGTCTCTTCTCCGAGTTGTACGTCTGCATGGGCCTCCTCCCGCCTCCTTTGCCAGCCGGTCGACTTACACACCAGCTTCATCAGCGCTGGCCTCAGGCAGGCATGCCCAGAAGGCGTCTTCGTCACCTTGACTCCCGGTGATCCTACTGTGTGGTCCGCAGTTCTGTTTGTTCGCCATGGTGCGATTGCCTCCCGCTCACCCGGGATCGAAACGCCGCTCACTCGCTTGCTCAGGCCCCTACGCACAGGCAGTGCTTCGCTTCCAAATATCGTTTCCCGACTCCTACCCTAAGCTGCCGCCTCTCGTAACCTTCTCTACCGACATGTTCCATCCGTTAATATCGCCACTCACCACCTACATGTACACCACCGACATCCAAGACAACGGAACCGTCAGCGCCAGAGATGAGGAGCGCCTGCGCCCCGGCGGCTTCAGCCTCCGCCATGGCTTTCCAGAGTGGTTCGGGCGAGGCAGGCGGGCGCGGTCCGGGAGCAGACAGGTGAGCGGCGAGCAGCCTCGCGGTCCGGCTTCGGCGCAGATCAGCCGAGCGCCGTCGAGTGCAGGCTCACCCGCGTCCGACGCCGAAGGCTTGTCAAGTCACCCGCCAACAGGAAGGCAAGACCTCTCCATCTACCACATCCTGAGGTATATACGAAGCACCTTTGACTCGGAAGATGTCCTCGACTCAGTCCCACTCGAGGCGGCGGGAAATCCCGGGGCCTGGCACGCGTGGCGAACCCATCGCCGCAGCTCGGGCGATGCCGAGTCGGGACAACCCCCCCCCCAGGCACCTCCCGCAGCGGCTCGGCAGTCAGGAGAGTGGAACTGGGACGGTGTATGGGAGGATAGAGTGAAGAAGGGAATCGCCGTGAGCCTGTCAGATCCCGTCTTATTTGGTGGCAGCGGGCCAGATGAGCTGGTGAGTGATGCGATGATGAGACCGATGAGGCTCTTTATGCGGCGCAATACTGAAAGCAGGTGCCCAGATCCGATTCCTTGCGATGGAGGAGAATGACATCGCCTCTGTCAGAGAAAGCATATGCCGCACTCTTGACAACGAGGCATAGCTGCGAGGGTCCGCACCGCTCACCGTCAGACACCACCAGCTTACACGACAGTCGCTTTGAGCACCCGCCCTTTCCCTTGAATTCTACGCTTACGACACGCGGTTGCACCCTGGAGGGGCTACTAACACATGCTTCCATCATCACTGCGTGGGTGCCACAGGAGAATCGATACCCCTGAAGTCGCGTTCTGCTTTGGCCAATACATGTTGTTCCCGTGCTCTGTCTGCCACCCCCCTCCCCTCTTGCCGCGCCATTCATTCATGCAATCACGAGCAAGGACGACGGTGGATGCTCGGGGCCTGGCGGGCTCCTCCCACCTCTCCGCCTTTTGTCTCGTCGAGGCTTCCATCACTATTCTTGCTGTCTTGCTGGTTCTCAAAGCGCGCCTCCCTCAGCGATGGCCCACCATAGGTCAAACAGGGCATTGCAGAGTCCCGCTAGCCGAGACTCCTTCTCAGAAGAGTAGCATGCCAGACTTCTCGGGCGATTCCGACGTGTCGAGTTCTGGACATGGCAACTTTCATCATCTTAAATCACATTTCCCACAGGTCAAAACCATCACATTGTTACCTCGACGGCAAACAATATGGCGCCCATCAGCAACCAGTCGCCTCACATAGGGTTTCACACGCCCACTCAACAGGCCACTCGAGATAAACCCAGCCCTCTACGGATCGTGAAGCGCAGCCGACTGATCGATCACCACGAGAGTAGCCCGAAAGAAATCGCGTTTCCCAGTGACGACGGCGTAGCGGGCACATCAGAGTTATTGGACAGGAAGTTCCCGTTGAAGATCGTCAAGAGGCGTAGCCGACGCAAGGCCCCAGCATTTCTGTCGGATGAACCGGGCACAGACGGCTGGGAGCAGAACGCGGGCTATCGGCCCAGCTTCTGGGCCAGCTCTGTGGAGCTGAGCCGCCCGCGGGGACGAGTTTGGGAGGAGACGCTGACGCGGTGCCGCGGACTGCTCACCAAGTCGACTCCCTTCCTCAAGGACTCCAGACAGCCGTGGACTATGGGGAGGAGCGGTGCGCATCGGCGAGCGCCCAGCTGTCGCACGGCTTCGTCGGGCTCTTCTATCCTCGACTACGCCGACTACACCCCCTCGAACGGTCCACCATCATCCCGGCAGTCGTTCGGTGCCCGGCCCGCCGAGCGGCCCGCATCGCCTCTGCACAAATCGCCCGTGCCTCCACAGTCGACACCACCCCTCGATTTCTCGCGAGCTGCCCATCCCTTTGTCCTGTCTCCTTACATTTCCGTCGTTTCTCAGTGTACCGGTCAGGAAGCAGGCCGGCAGTCTGCCTGGGCAACTGTCGAGGTGTCAGGCAGGCTCTCTCGGATCCCTTCATCTCGATCGCCATCGGGGAGCGGCGCACAGCCGTTAGTCTCCAGGGGCTCGTTTGTTGACCACCAGCTAGGTATATGTCCAATGCAGCAAGCAGGGCAACACAGCTACTGACATGGAAGGCAGATCGCTTTTTCGAGTTCGGCTGCCTATACGACCTCAGCGTCGAGATACTGCCTACCACGGAGTCCGCAATCGTCCAAGTGGTACAGGAACAGGCTTTTCCTACGTGAGTTGACGGAGATGAAGTGCAAAGTGCTGTCACAATCTGACTGACTTGTTGCAGCACCATTCATGCAGGGTCAAGCGTCATTCTCCTCGTCCACGTCCAGATAGACTCGGAGAAGGGGAAGCAGCGCAGCGGGACCGGACACGTTCGCCAAAAGTCGGACGAGCTCATAGAGGATCTGGAACTGGAGCTTGGCAGCTCAGCGGTGGGGTTCATGCACATCCGCGTGTCGTACTCTCACTCTGCCTTTCCCGAGCAAGTAGGTGCGGAGCCAGATGCGGGCGGCGTTTCCGGCTTGAGGAGCAGAATGGAGACGACGGCCACGGCCAGCCTGGTGAAGCAACATAACGCCTTTTCGATGTGGTCGCCTCGACCCGAGCCCCTGCAGAGCCATATACTTCCGCTCGTACAACGACACTGGGGCTTGGAAAAGGCAATGTCGATGAAGAGACTAATCATGGGACAAGAGCAACAACAGTCAAGGAGACTGCAAAGGACCTGCCAGGGGAAGACTGAAAAGGCGGACGCGCTGGGCTCAGACTCGGCAACCGCCCGCGCACCCACTACGCGCGCACCTGCGAGGCGGGCCAGCCTGCATGCAGACCGCACTTCCAAGGCCTCTACGCTTGGCCCGGCTGTCGGGAAGCGAGCGCAGCGGCTGCTGTCCCCGGTCCCGCCGTCGGCGCCCTCCTCGCTAAGGAGCAGCACGAGCTCGGAAGATGCGCGATGCTACGGGGGACCACTGGACCCGCGCAATTCGGGGGCCAATACGAAAGGCATCGTCGGCCCTGCCGGCTCCTTGCAGCGTCGGGTCCAGGACCGGGTCGGGACGCGCAGGGGTTCGGCGGCTCCTACCAAGGCGTGGGCTGCATCGGATCCGGAAGAGGGCCGAGAGGCCCAGCAGGACAAGGAGACGTTACATGGCAAGCCCATGAAGGACACGGGGTTCTGGAACTGGGGCCTGTGGTTCTAGACGCGGCAGCCGAGGCGGGCGGGGCCCCAATGGTGGGACGTTGCAATTGCCTTTGGATTGTGGTTTCTTTTTGCCGTGCTGTATGTACAGTACGGAGTATGTATGCATGTTCCGACTCTATTCTAGTTCATCCTTCCACGGAATAGATAACTGGGAACCTCTCCTGGAAACGGTAATGGCCGCGGCGCGGTTGGCTGCCTTGACGGCCCCGTCAATGTCAAAGTCGTCGGGGCTGGCGTGCACGGCGGCCAGGGCGTAAGAGCCGACAAAGGTGTCGCCGGCGGCAGTAGTCTCGACGACGTCGACCTTGTGGGCGGGCACGAGGGCACTCTTGCCCGCCTTTGTGGCGTAGTAGACGCCGCGGCCGCCGAGGGTGACTACGACGTTTGCGACGCCGCGCTCGAGGAAGAGGGAGGCGACGCGCTGCAGGCCGGGCTCGTCGTCGAGGTCGGACTCGGGGCAGCCGGCGAGGATGGCGGCCTCGGTCTCGTTGAGGATGAGGTGTGCGAGGCCGACGTAGGCGTCGAGGGGCAGGGTCTGGGCCGGGGCGGGGTTGAGGAGGACGGGGACGCTGGCGGCCTTTGCGGCGGCGAGGGCCTGGAGGACGGTGTCGAGGCGGATCTCGAGCTGCATGATGAGCAGATCGGGGCGGGGGTCGGGCAGGGCGGCGAAGTCGGCGGGGACGAGGGCGTGGTTGGCCTCCGGGGAGAGGATGATGCGGTTCTGGCCCGAGGGCTCGTCGACGATGATGATTGCGATGCCGGTGCGCTGGCCGTCCAAGACACGGAGGCCGTCGGTGGCGACGCCGCACGAGGCGAGGCTGGAGCGCAGCACGTCGGCATAGGGGTCGGAGCCGACGGCGCCGAGCATGGCGACGTCGACGTCGCCGTCGGCCAGGGCGTCGGGGCTGCGCGAAAGCCTGCCGACGGCGGCGGCCTGGTTGGCGCCCTTGCCGCCGGGCGCGGTGCCGAAGCGGCTCGAGGTAAGCGTCTCGCCCGGCAGCGGGTGGTGGGGCACGTAGGGGACCAGGTCCATGTTGAGGGAGCCGAGGACGGCGATGCGCTTGCGGGGCGGTGCTGCCATTGTGTGCATTTGGTGTTGTCGGGCTGTCGTTGGACGAGAGCTACTCTGGCGGTTCCTTTGCCTCCACCGGCGCTTCTCGTAGCACCCTTGCCCTCGTTTTGTTCGGCTGGCGAGGGCTTTGGACTTTGGCTTCAAGAGTCGGGCGATGGAGGCGAAAGATGCCGAGGGTGAAGATTGAAGCAGAAAACTGGAGAGGAAGAAGAACCGGAAAGCCGAGGAACATTTGAGCCCTTGGAGTTTGGAGCTCGGCCAGCTGCCTAGACTGGCAAGGTGGGGGAGGAGGAGGGGCCACCAATATCCCACTCCGCCGTTGCGGCCTTTGCGCAACGCTTCGCAGGCGGCGAAAGTGTACTGCAAGTGATGGTAGCGCGTAACAAGAGACGGAGTCCATCACAGATCGGTAATAATAGCGTGACCGCCCGTGAGAACTTCACATGTCGGGATGCCCTGCCCTGTCTGTCGTGTGTGGCATGTCGAATTGCACTTGTTGGTCGGTTGGTACACATGGACCTGCAATGACATTACCGGCGCTCCACGAGCCCCAGAACGAGGATTCTCGGCATCAGATGTTCACGGAGGAGCACCATCAATCAATCCGACCGGCTCGGCCGCCGGCGTCTCTGCCTCTAGGCACGCAGCCTGCCGCACAGCACCACGTCCTCGCCAAACGGGTGCCATGAAACATCAGCGAGCCTCGCGGCCGGCACGGGGCTGCCCTCGCTGCCCAGCACCCTGTCGGGAGACACGACCGTGCCTCCCTGGCCCAGCCACGTCGGCGCAACCGTGACAATGACAGAGTCGACAAGTTCATGATGTGCGGGGTCCAGCAGCGAGTTGATGACCTGGCCTCCGCCCTCGACCATGACGCTCGACAAGCCCTGGACAAGGAGCGCGTCGAGCACGTCGCGCCAGTCGAAGCGCATCCGGCCCCCGCCTGCGCCGGAGACCGAGGGCCTGACGTGGATGAATTTCCCGCCGTGCTGGTGCAGAAGCTCGACGCTGTCCCGCGGCAGCTCCTGGGCCGGAACACCGGTGAGGACAAATGGCGCGAGCCCGGCCCCGGCGCGACTCACTTCAAAGACCTTGTCCGTGCAACTGGGCGTCCAGCGAAGGTGCGGGTCGAGGATGACGGGCCGCGGCTGGCATGCCGTGCCGGCGATGCGGCAGTTGAGCGCCGGGTCGTCGGCCAGGACCGTCGACACGCCGACGAGGATGGCCGCATGCCGAGACCGGAGGTAGTGCGTCATTGCCTTGGACTCGGGGCCCGAAAGGCGCGTTCGGACGCCGGGCGCAAGCGACAGAGTCGAGTCGAGCGACGTCGCAAACGTGAGGGTGACAAAGGGCCGCCTGCTGGCGTCGTCGGGAGCTTGCCCTGGCGGAGGGAGTCGGCGCTCAAGGACGGCCGCGGAAGCGGCGGGGAAGGCGAGCTGCTCCGCCATGGCGAGGGCGCGATGGGACTCCAGCACTCCCTTATTCGAGACCTTGAAGAAAAGCAGCTTGGGAGAGGACGCCCTCATGCAGTGAGGTTGAAGAAGGCTGCGTTGAACGATGCAAGTTTTTAGGGACCCAAGGTGCCTCGAGTACTAGTGGTGATGAGTCGGGGTACCGTTGATAGAAGATGCGTGCATATCCACATGGTCTTCTATCCAGCACTACTAGGAGGGTACAACAAGGTAGTGCGACGACAAAACTGCAAAGCTGGAGCATCGCAGGTCCCGACGTCGCTCTGCCTTCAGCGTGCCTCGGCTGACTTACGCCCTTGGGTAGGCATGCATTATGCTGCATCTTGTTGCAGGCTGCGACCTTGTGCCTGCTGCTGTCCGCAAGGTTGAAAGCCCCCCCTTCAGAGCGGTTTCGAGCCCGCCCGGCCCCCCATGGGTTTCCCGTCTTCATCGAACTCGGCCCACTGGAAAAAGGAGCAGCCATTCTTGCCAGGCACGTTGCTTGCGTGGCACATCCAAAAGTACTTGCCAAAGTTGTCCCTCTTCTTCTGCACCACGCGCAGCACGCAGGGGACCTCGCATGCGCATCGCGGCGTGTGCCGGGGGTGCATCGCGCGCCGGTAGTCGCGGTACGTGATGTTGATGCGCCTGTTGCCCGCGACGGGGTGCGGGTCGATGGACAGCGCCGGCGTGATGCAGTGCTTCCACTCCTCCTGCATCTCGGCGTGCATGACGAGCAGCGAGTTGTGCGGCAGGTGGATCGAGATTTGGCCCTCGGCGTCGCCGCCCTCGGCGCTCTTGGCGTCGCCGTCCTTGGGCAGCACCCGGCGGACTCGGAACTCGCGCGCGACCCCGAGCGAGACGGATCCGATGACGGCTCGCGGGCCCAGGTACGTCAGCTGGTCGCTATGCCAGCCGACACTCTCCTGGGCGCCGTTGTAGCAGTTGACAAAGGCCGAGTTGGGAGCCCATCGATCTGGGGATTGATGCTTCAGCTTCTTGCCGCCGGGGTACCGTGTCTTGATGCGGTGTTGGATTTCTCTGTTGACGGCCTCTTCGACAACGGGCTTGACCTTGGTCAGCTGGGGCGTGATGCGTCGCACATCCTGGGACGTAAGGCAGGTCAGGGACCACGGTAACATGCAAATGAGGATGATGAGGCGTCACCAACCGTGAGCTTTGATCCGTTGTAAAAATACTCGTCCATCTGCGCCCGCATGGCGTCGTAGCTTTCCACGAAGAAACCCGATGTATGGGGGCTCGACACCACGCTGTCAAACAGTTTGAAGGTAATCTTTTCAAACGACTCGGCCTCTTGCAGCAGCTCCCGCAACAGATCATCTGCGTCCTGCGGCGGCATGAAATTATGCACAATGGTGCAGGGCGTGTGCTCGGCCACGTCGTCCGGGTCATACAGATGCAGCGTGCTCCCCCTTTTCGACTTGAGCTTCTTCCTGGTCGGCGACGTCGAGGCACCAGGCAGTGCGTATTTCTTGAGCGATTGCTGATATCCAACCACGACCTTCTTCGCGTCTGGCCGGGCAGCCGCTTGCAGCACGGCCGATGCCTGGCTGACGGACCCCTCATGCGCCAGAAGAGCATCGAGGAGTGTTTCCTGCTCCAAGGCCGGATGGAGAGAAGCCAGGAGAGCGAGCTTGATCTCAGTGGGTTCATCGCCATCTGCAGAGCCTGCTTCTGCCTCTGGGCTTGCCTCTGGGCTTGCCTCTGGGCTTGCCTCTGGGCTTGCCTCTGGGCTTGCCTTTCGCTTGGGCTGTGTGAGGAACGGCTTCATCGTCCTGTCCAGGTGTCACGTAGTTGTAGTGCTCGGGAACAGTTGGGGGGCCGGCCGCGAAGCACATGAGAGACCGTGCTGTGTCGAGCTGGCCGGGCGTCTCTCTGCGATGTGCCCGGTCCGAGTCATCGCGCCACCAGTCATAGCGCTGACCATCAGGTGCCATGCATGACGTGTTGAGACTAATTACTTCGTAGAGCGCGACAGTATCTCGACGCGCCATCACGTGACATTAATCGCGGGGCTTGATGGACCCCCGTTGGCCGCACTCCACCAGGCCATGCATCTATGCATACCCAGGCCCCCACAATACACGCTCACCACCAACGAATCAGCCATCGCCTTATTTTACCGAGGCACATGTCGAACAAGACTGTATGAAGCTGTCCTCCTGCCGCCAGGCCATGGTCCACGTCGCCGGCATCTGCGCTTGCTGAAATACCTTTGCCGAGGACTCGCGGCATCAATGCGCCGCCACTTCGCCAACGCCTGGATCCCGGCGAAATGGCTGCCATGCTGGAGTTCCGCACGGCGGGCTTCAACCCCTACGCCGTCAAGTATTCGCCCTACTACGACTCGCGCATCGCCGTCGCGACGTCGGCCAACTTTGGCATCGTCGGCAATGGCCGCGTCTTTGCCCTCGGCCTGACGGCGCGTGGTGTCCAGGTAGAAAAGACGTGCGTAGTACTACTCGTGGCCAGACGAGGTCTCTCATGCGGACGAGACTAGAGCGACGACGGGCTAATGCGGCTGTCGCCTCGCAGCTTCGACACAAACGACGCCCTCTACGACCTGGCCTGGTCCGAGATCAACGAGAACCAGCTGATTGTAGCCTGCGGTGATGGATCGCTCAAGCTTTTCGACCTAGGCGTCAATGACTTTCCCGTCATGAACTTCCACGAGCACAAGCGAGAGACCTTTTCCGTCTGTTGGAGCCCCATCACCAAAGACACCTTTGTCTCTAGTTCATGGGACGGGACCGTCAAGATTGTTCGTAGACCTCTTGTCTCCTGCCGGCGGCGCAACACGCTGACGAGCCTTGTCAGTGGTCGCCGACGCGAAATCACTCCATAACCACCCTGCCCATAGGCAACTGCACCTACAGCGTATCCTTTTGCCCGTCTAATCCGGCTCTCATCTCGGCCGCGTCCTCCGACTCACACCTCCGAATCTTCGACCTGCGCACCCCTTCCTCAGCAAAGTACCACATGGTGGCCGCCATACCCGTCCATGCACCGCCGGCCACTATGCCCGGAGCCGCCCCTGCCGCCGCCGGCGCCTCCCCCCCTGCCGAGATCCTGACGCACGACTGGAACAAGTACAACGACACAATAGTGGCCACCGGCGGCGTGGACAGGGTCTTGCGAACCTTTGACATTCGCAACCCGGCCGGTGGACCGCAATCACTGATGCAAGGCCACGACTACGCTGTCCGCAGGCTGGCCTGGAGCCCCCACGCAAGCGACGTCCTCATCAGCGCCAGTTACGACATGACGGTGCGCCTGTGGAACGATGGGTCCACGATGCCACAGCTCTCCGGGCCAGGAACCGGGGCAGGCCGGCAGATGGGCCTGATGAACCGGCACACCGAGTTTGTCACTGGCGTTGACTGGTGTTTGTTTGGAGCGGGAGGATGGGTGGCCTCCGTCGGCTGGGACGAGAGAGTCCTGCTGTGGGACGCCAACACGTTGATGGCGCAGCGATGAGCTGGGCGAGGGCCATTGGCGGCGGGGAGCCGTGTGACTCGAGTCGCAGGTGCAAAGCGCGCAGGCAAGAGGGCCTTGAGCGTGGTGTCTCTGGATAACAAGTAGGACCTTGGGAAGTCGGTTTATCACCGTACGAATGGTGACTAGAGTCTCGCAATGAGGATGACGCTCGCTTCATGGTTCGTACATGCCGGAGCTTTGACACAAAACGCCATTTGCAGACTTTCCTGACCTCTAATATACATCAGGCTTTGCCGCCCAATCAACAGCAATTTTTCCCTCTGCGCGCCCGTGAGATTGTTCTTGATACAATTACAGTCCTCCTCGACACACGAACGGCTCTCGTTATCGCGGAATTCGATCCAACGCCATCGCATCAAGAGGCGTCTTCTTTACCACCGCCCGCCTCCAGAGCTCCTGTCCCTGCCGCCGAAACCTCCGGAGCTCCTGCCCCTGCCTCCGTAACCGCCGCCTCGCCCAAAGCTTTGGCCCCTGCCCCCCCTGACATCGTCCTTGCGTGCCTGGTGACTCATTTCTGTGAAGGGATCCGACGACCGGCGATCGCGTGAACCGCGGTCAAAGTCCCTCGAACCACCGCGGCCAAAATCCCTCGGACCACCACGGCCAAAGTCCCTCGGGCCACTGCGGGCCAATGCCCGCTCGGCGCCTGCCTTGATGTTCATGTTGGACCTCGACAAGCCTTGTTTCTGGGCCCACTCCGGTGACACAGCTGGTGGCTCGGGGAAACCCACGCCCTGGACCGCCCAGCGATTCAGGTCGTCAACAAGCTCTTCCCTGTTGGAGGTTTGGCCTCCAAAGAGGGATTGGTACGCAATGCTGAAGTGCCGCTTGGCCATCTGCATAAGCTGCGCCACGTCCTTGTGATGTCGGGTAGGCTCTCCCGACTCAGGGTCAACAGAAGCGCTGATAAGCGAATCGTTCTTAGCTAGCGGCAGACCCTGCAGGGTTCTCCTGGCGCTGTTCATGGACAGCGGCGGCATGAACAGCCACCCTTGGCCGTCCTTGCCCTGTCGAGCGGTACGGCCGAGACGGTGAATATATGACTCGCGATCCCGAGGTAAGTCTACCTGCAGAACGTGGGTGACGTTGGGGAAATCCATGCCGCGAGCAGTGACGTCGGAAGAGAAGAGGACCGCGTTCTTAGCCTCGCGAAACATATCGGCAGCCTTGCTCCGCTGCCCCTGGCTGAGCCTCGAGTGGATGGCGAACGTGGAGCACGGCATCTTATCGTTCCTCCTGCCGTGATAAGCCATTTCTGCACAAAGCTCGACCATTGCCGTGGTGTTGAAGTAGACGATGGCCTTGAAGGGCGACGAGTTTGCGGGATCCTCTCGGAACTTGGTCATTTCGCGGTCGATTAATTCAAAAATGGAGGGGAAGGCATTGGCCCAGGAGGCAAGAAGTACAATGTGCTGGGGGACTCTGTCGTGTGTCAAGGACTCGTTCTCGGGGATGGTCTGCACGAATGTGAAGTCGTCTGGTCGGATCATTGTGCGAGCTAGACGGATGACGTTGTCGGGTATCGTGGCCGAGACGAGCATTGTCTGGCGAACCTTTTCCTTGGGCGACGGAAGGCGGCTGACGATTTCGTCGAGTTCCTTTTCAAAGCCGACATCCAGCATGCGATCAGCCTCATCGAGGACAAGAGCGGCCAGATTGGGCGCAGCGATGCCGCTTCTCGGGTCTGACAGCAGGTCGTTCAAGCGACCTGGCGTAGCGACCAGGAGATGGCAGCCGTTTCGCTGCACCTCTCGCAACATGAGGGATTTCTGAGTGCCTCCGACGGCAGATTGTACGACGAGACCAGTGTTCTTGGTGACTCGACGGGCCTCGACGGCAATCTGTTCTGCCAGCTCTCGGGTCGGGGAGAGGATGATGCCCCGGATATCATCCGACCTCGCGCGGTAAGATGCGCTCCTCCTGGCCAGGGAGGGATCCTCGTTGATCATTCGTTGCAAGAGGGGCAGAAGGAAAGCCAATGTTTTGCCAGTGCCGGTCTTGGCCTGCGCGACACTGCGATGAGTTAGCTTTGAGTGACAAGGGCCGCAGCTGAAGAATTTTCGAGGCCAACTCACATATCGTTGCCTTTCAGAGCTGGGTTGATGGTCTTTGCTTGGACGGGCGTCATGGCCTCGTATTTCATGTCCCGCACGATGGCGCCCAGCAGGTTCTCGTGGACGCCGAGCTGCGCAAGGTCTGCGAAATTTGAGAGTTCGCCGGGAACAGAATCCTGGCCTTTGGAAGCGTCTTGGGCGACTGCTTCAGTGCTGTACAGACGAGAGGCCAAGGCCAATGTGTTCAGGCTCAGGGGCGCATTGCGGCGAGAGAGCGACGCGGCGGTCGGCAGCGCGGCGCGTGTGCGAAGCATCATCGACGTCGACCTGGCAGCGCCTGCCAGGCCAGCGCAGCGACGAATGCCCTGCCTGAACATGATGACGGATGCGGAGACGAAGGAGCAGTAGAACAGACGGGCGGTTTGGGGCTCAAGATGTAAAGAGAGGGGGGAGAGGAATTGGAGGATGGGAATTCACTCAGGATTGCAGAAGGACAACCATTTTGGAGATTTTATCGCCTCTGCCGTACGTCCGCAGAAAAAAATTGGCCTTATCAGGAGTTGGAGCTTTACCTCATCGGGAATGAAGGGTGTCCCTAGCCGGGGGCGGATAAACGATCCACCTGGAATACGTACCTCTTTCCATGACCAGAGCATCCGCATGGAAGCTCTCACAGAACCTTGACCCGGCCATCACCACCGAAAAGGAACGGAGTTGTTGGAGGCCATCATGCACGTTGCGACTTCGACGTTGGTCGAGTGCGAGGCGATGAGCTATGCTGCCGTCCTCAAGACGTCTTGATATTCTGTCGACAATTCCGTACGCCCTACACCGACCGGTCAGACCACCCGTGTGTTGATGCTCATGTTCGTAGCAATGCAATGCCATGCCATGCCTTTGAGGAAAATAATTAAAAGCCCCTTCACCATTCACTCCAGCATCATAGCATCTCCTTGCTCATCTCGTAAGACCACCCACCCTCTCGCCTGAGCTTGTCACGCGCGGCAAGGTCCTTTCTGACGTCCTCCTCGGTCAAGCGATCCGCTCCACTCCAGTTGGCGCTCGACGTCCTCGCCCGAAACTTGTGCCATCTGTCCTTGCTCTTGTGGAAAACCTCCTCCATGTTCAGCGCTGCCGGCGGGCCAAAGATTTGCGACGGATCCATCGTCTCCTGGAGCATCAGCGCGCGGCGAAGATCAGGCGAGTCGGCCCAGGCCGCAACGCTCATCCCGTTGGCCTCGTCGTCCTCGTCCTCATCTTCGTCGTCTGTTTGGATTTCCGGCAGTTCAATCGACTCGCCGTTCTGGAAGCGCGGCGACGATCGCGGCGCTGACTTGGCCGTCGACTTGCTACCATTGTAAGCTCCAGGACGGGCAGGCGTCTTGTACGCAGGGCCGGTCGCGTTTGCGTTGGGTGCAAACGGAATAGCCCCCTTGGATATTTGTGCCATGTCCAACGGATGCGTCGCCTTGGCTTGGTTGTTGTGCTGAGCAGTAACGGTTGCCTTGAACAAGTCCCGGGTTGCGCTCTGAGGAGCATTCGCGTATCCGTACATGGGCTTGGGTGGCAGGTCCTACGACAAGTATTAGTTTGGCTCGGAATCACGCGGCAGACAACGCGACTTACCTTCTTATAGCCGCCAGATGGTCGAACTGGGGGCCCCTTGATGTTTCGCGAATGGTCCAACTCAGCGTCGTCCTCAAACGCGTCGCTAGTTCGTCGTCGTTTCGCCTCGTTGGCTTGATATGCCGGTCCACCTCGCGAGAGACCTCGCTTGGCTTGCTGGTCATCACTTCGCTCCGGGCCCAGAGTCCGCTTCGTGCCTGCCTTGGACGTGTTTGACAAGAGAGCGTTGACTGGCCGACTTGTTTCGTCCTGCGAGCGATGCAGATTGGACGTCATCCGAGACTGTGGCCGGGTTGTCTGCGCGTCCCCCCTCGCACTGGACGCGGTCGACGCAATCTTTTCCTGTGCACCAGCCGATGCCGGAGGTCCGTTTGCGTGAGAACGAGCAGCGGGAGGCGGGGCTTTTGTCTGCTTGGCCTTTTCCAGCGCCGCTCTCCTCTGGGCGGGAGTCTTTCCCTCGTTCTGAGATGCAGCGTGCTGATAGTCTTGCTGTCTTTGCCGCTCGGCCTCTTGGCGACGCCATTGCTCTTGCTTACGCTGATCCTCTTGCGCCGCTGTTCGTTTGCGCTCCACATCAGTCTTCAAGTCGCGTCGCCGCTGGGCTTCGCGCTCGTCTAACTCCTTCTTCTTCGCCATCAGGTCCAGTGTCTTGGGTCGGCTAACAGAAGATGGAGCCCTCAAGCCAGGTGCCGATGACTTTGCGTGCAACGATGCCTTGCTCGACTTGCTCACGAGTCGGTTCTGCGACTGCAGACCAGAAGGGCCGGCTGTGTCGTGTGAAGCTGTGGAAAGCCTGCTGGAGGTATGGTACTGGGACTGCGATCCAGTGTTGACTCTGATGACTGTTGGGACTTGCTTCGCCTTGGCTTGGATTTCCTTTGCAGGCTTCACAGGTCGTTTGGTCTCCTTACTTCGGATGGACTGGCCCGGCCGGGTGGAGCGAGCAGCGGATGGTGGCGGAGCACTGGCCAGGGCGTCCTCCATCTCGGCGTCTTCCGCCATCGCCTGGTGCTCGCTCTCGGCCGCCTTGAACTTGCGAGGGCTGCTCCTGGTCGGTTTCGGTGTCTCTTTGGGCAGGGCTTTCTCCTCCGCCTTTTTAGAGGAAATTTGCTTCTCCATAGCCGCGATTCGCTCCTGTTCTCGGCTGAAGACGATGGCCTTCTCCCTTTCCTTCTCGCGGGCCTTCTCCAGCTTCTCGTTCTGCGCCTCCATTCGCTTCGCTTCTTTATCGCGGCGCTTTTCTTCCTTCTCCCGCTCTGCGGAGGCTCTGTTACGTCGAGCAGGGGGTCGCACAGGACTGCCATCAGCGCGTTCCGCTTGCTCTTGCATGCCATGGGACCCAATCCTTGGCTTGGAGACAACCGACTCTGATGAGGCAGTCGTGTGGAAGCCTGGACGAGTGGTGGCTGGTGACATCATGGATGACTTCCCTTCGGCACTGACGGCGGCGCTGCTCGCGAGAAGACCCTTGGAACTCTTCAGAATAGATGACAGCTTATTCTTGACTTGCTTCAGGGGGCTATCGCGAAAGCTTCGAGACGGTGATTTGGACGGTGTGTCAGTCGACATGCCGGATACGGTTCGCAAGCTGGGTTGAGAGCCGGAAACGACATGTCTGAGGGACTGTAGCTCCGGGTCCATAGTCGAATGCGCCGTTAGAATAGGCAAATCAGACACATAGTCCGTGTGCTCTTGGGCACTCGAGAGCTGCTCGCTTCGGCTGCTTTCGCTTTGTCCGTGGCCGGAGACTTCGAATTCTTTGTGCCCGATGGTGTCTTTGCCTTGAATTCCTTCCATCACATCTCTAGAGTGACTTTTCGGCAAGGCTGGTCTGGCTTCGGACGTGACGGATAAAGTTGCGGGCGGCTCAATCCAGTCGTCGTCATCGTCGTCATCGTCGTCGTCGTCATTTGGAAATGCTCCTGGAGTGCTCTGGGCCGTTGGCTTCCGCAGTGATGATGGGGACACTGCCGCGATGGCCTTTGGTAGCTGCGACGGCTGCGCACCGGAAACCAGCTTTGGCTGTCCTATGCCGTTCGACTGCGACTTCCCGAGCATATTGATCTGGTCCTGCAGCCTCTGCGTGTATGTCTTGGTGTGGTTGAGTGTGACGCTGTTCTGTTCGCCAGCGTTTCGAGCTTCAACGTCCTCATCAACATCCATCTCATCAGACTTTCCATCTTCGTCGCAATCCATCTTGCCAGGATTGCCTAGGCTCTTGCCTCCAGTAGGTCTGTTGTAGTAGCTCGTTCGGACATGATCCAGCTGGCTTGTTCTCGAAATCCGAGCCCCAATACTCTTGCCGGCTGTGAGCGGTTCCCTGGCTGGCAGAGACGCGAAGTTCAAGCTACTCTTTCGAACCATTGGCCTTATTGGGCTGGAGCCATCAGATGGTGCGTCGTCCGAGGCTTGCTCTGCGTGAGGAGTTTCAACATCTTGTTCTGTCTCCGCCAAGTTCGCATCAGGGTGCACCGTAGCAGACGGCGAAAACGGTGGCGCATCGAGATCTTCATCGCCACCGTGTCGCTCTCTTGGTGAAGTCTCTGGGCCAGAATCTCCCACGGCCTTCATGGCCGCTTCTTGAGCACACCCCATCTCTTCGTCCTGATTCGCTTGAAGTGTTTCCACAGCTGGCTCAACGGAGACAGCTTGAGACGGGCTATTGCTCTTTGACATCGTCACAATCGCTTGGCAGGAGGCCTGGTCGGATTGCGCTTGCTTAGCGTCGTCCAGCACCGGGTCCTCGTGAATTTCCAGAGGTGCGGCGTCTTGACTGCCAAAGTATCCCGAGTCTTGGACCGTTGGCGCAGGAGCTGTCTGCATTGGCGGCGATGCAGCCTTTCGAGAGGAGGAATGCTTCACCGGGCTCGGCGAGTTTCTTGCCGCATTGACGTGTGCTTGAGGAGATTGTGGTCGAGGGGTTTGGCTAGAAAGATTCGAAATTCCCTTTGGCTTTGCGCCGAACACGTCAGAGAGAGGCTATGGCTTGTCAGCTTCACACCAAGGCACGGCGAATCCCGCAGACTTACAACTCGTGATTGCAACGCGTTCTGTTTGCGTGTTGTGTGTGGGGTTTTGCCACGAAGCTTTCCGGGAGTCTTGAAGGTCTCGGCGAGGTTCCTGCAGAGAATTAGCCGTCAATTTCCAGAAGTCGAGTGGGAGCCGCGCTACATTTCATTCTCGTCGAAGATGCTGGCCATGTGCTCGTTGAGCCAATCCAGCTCGTTCCGCGCAGAATAGGAAAACTCCTCCACCTCCGCTTGGGCCACCTGGAGCGCAAAGGCTCGCTCCTCGGCGACCCATGATGCGGAACCGACCTGCGAACGCGGTCCTCTCATGGCCGCCATGCCTGTTCGGATCGCCTGCGAAGCCCGTGACCGCGCTGTACCGAGAGTCGACGGACGGTTCGCTCAGCTGTCAGGTATCATAAAAGCATGAGCGGCATCACCAGGCGAAAAGGCGTGGCTCGACGTAGCAATGGGTGATGCGTGAGAGCAAAGGCGATGTTGATGATGAATAGCTGAGGTGCTCCAATGTCGGCACCCAACATTCCCCAGTCTTGGTTAGCATTTGTTTTGATTGATCCTAAACCGGGCTAGCGTTACCGGCGCCTTACCTCTCCATCAGTGCAGGCCCGCGTCCGCGCTTGGAAAGACCACGTGATGACGCCAGTACACTCACGTGCCGATAAGAAGTCCTTATCAGATGCTCAACACGGCATTGTTTACTCGGAAGCGCGTCTCCAGCCGCCCACCTGGCTGTTAGACAACGACGGCTGGCGTTGTGAAGCGCAGACTTGACGTACTTGCACCTGCAACACGACTACCGCGGGCACCATGAGGGTGATAGAAGTCATCATCGACGTACGCGACCCGTCACCGCCGTTTGCGCATTCTGCTGACTGGCGCAACAGGGCTTCAAGTCGTATGCCGTTCGGACGGTGATATCAGGATGGTAAACTCGGCCAGCCCCCCGCTTCCGTCCCTTGACGCCGCTGATAAGCCCAGGGACGAGAGCTTCAACTCCATCACTGGCCTGAACGGCAGCGGCAAGTCTAATATCCTAGACTCGATCTGCTTCGTCCTCGGCATCACGAACATGTCCACGGTTCGAGCGCAAAATCTTCAAGTACGGTCGCAACGCGGATTCACTGAGTAGGTCGCCGCTAACGCGCGCAGGACCTGATATACAAGCGCGGCCAGGCAGGAGTTACCAAGGCCAGTGTGACGATTGTGTTCGACAACCGGGACACCAAGAAGTCGCCGATAGGGTTTGAGGAGTATGCAACCATCAGCGTCACTCGCCAGATCGTTCTGGGCGGCACCTCCAAATACCTCATCAACGGTCATCGAGCACAGCAACAGACGGTCCAGAACCTTTTCCAGTCGGTGCAGCTAAACATCAACAATCCCAATTTCCTCATCATGCAGGGGAGGATCACCAAGGTCTTGAACATGAAGCCGGTAGAGATTCTGGCCATGATCGAGGAAGCAGCGGGAACAAGAATGTTTGAGGACCGAAGGGACAAGGCGCTGAAGACGATGGCGAAGAAGGAACTGAAGCTTCAGGAGCTGAGGGAGCTTCTGAAAGACGAAATTGAGCCCAAGCTGGAAAAGCTCCGAACCGAAAAGCGAGCGTTCCTCGACTTCCAGCAAACTCAAAACGATCTTGAGCGATTAACCAGGCTTGTGGTTGCTTACGACTACACCAGATGTCAAGAGAAGTTGAAGCAGTCGGCAGCAGACCTGGAGGCGAAAAAACAGCGACTGAAGAGTCTGGAAGACTCGGCGGCACGCTTCAGGAGTGAAATATCGCACCTCGAAGAAGACGTTGGAAAAGTACGAGCCCAGCGTGACAAGGAGCTCAAGAAGGGTGGAAAGGCACAAGCCCTCGAGGATGCTGTCAAGAAGCATGCCAACGAGCTCGTGCGACTCGCCACCGTTCTGGACCTAAAGAACACAAGTCTAGCAGAGGAGAGTGAGAAGAAGGCGGCTATGGAGAAGACAGTATCGGAGCTGGAAGCCACTCTCCAAGTCAAATCGGCGGCTTTTGCGGATGCAAAGTCCACCTACGACAAGGCAAAGGACGACCTTGCGAAGCAGAGCAAAGACGTTGAGTCAAAGGAAGAGCTGCTGCAAACCCTGCAAACCGGCGTCGCCTCCAAGGACGGCCCGGAGAATGGCTACCAGGGACAGCTGCAAGATGCACGGAATCGGGCCACGACTGCTGCGACGGAGCAGGAGCAGGCCAAGATCAAAATCGCGCACCTGCAAAGCCGCCTTAAGGAGGAAGAGCCCCGAGCCAAAAAGGCGAAAGAGCAGAACGCTGGTCTCTTGCGTGATCTAGATGGTTTGAAGTCGCAGGCGCTGCGATTGGAGAAGGAACTGGGCAAACTCGGCTTCGAGCCCGGTCAAGAGGAGGACATGTACAAGCAGGAGTCGCTCTTGCAGCAGACGGTACGAAGCTTTCGAGAGGACTCGGACAAGCTCAAGCGCCAGGTTGCCAACATCGATTTCAACTACGCCGATCCTGTCCCTGGATTCGATCGATCCAAGGTCAAGGGTTTGGTGGCCCAGCTCTTCACCCTCGACAAGGAACACAGTAGAGCAGGCACCGCCCTGGAGATCTGCGCCGGAGGGCGTTTGTACAACGTGGTTGTTGACACAGAAGTGACGGGCACACAACTGCTTCAGAAGGGCAAGCTGAGAAAGCGAGTCACGATTATTCCCTTGAACAAGATTGCAGCGTTCAAGGCATCAGCGCAGACCATTGCAACTGCGCAAAACATTGCACCCGGTAAGGTTGACCTTGCGTTATCCCTGGTCGGGTACGACGAAGAGGTTTCCGCTGCCATGGAGTACGTGTTTGGCAACACGCTGGTTTGTGCCGACGCCGAGACTGCCAAGCGGGTAACCTTTGACCCCAATGTGAGAATGAGGAGCATCACCCTCGAGGGAGACGCTTACGACCCTTCTGGCACCTTGTCTGGTGGCAGCGCGCCAAACTCGAGCGGTGTTCTCATCACCTTGCAGAAACTCAACAGCATAACGAGGCAGCTAAACGAGGCCGAGCAGTCTTTAAAGGGAGTCCAGGCCCGGATCACCCAGGAAAAGTCCAAGCTTGATCGGGCACGCCGTATCAAGCAAGACCTGGACCTGAAGAATCACGAGATCAAGCTCGCCGAGGAACAGATCGGCGGAAACTCGTCGTCTTCCATCATCCAAGACGTGGAGAACATGAAGACCAGCATAGTTGAGCTTCAGGAGGGCATCGTTCAAGCCAAGACGCGTCAATCGGATGCCAGTGCCGATGTGAAGCGGATCGAGAAGGACATGAAGGACTTTGACACCAACAAGGATGCCAAGCTGGTGGAACTGCAAAAGTCACTTGACAAGCTCCGGGTGGGCCTGAACGACAATTCCGTGGCCGTCAAGACGCTGCAGAAGGAGCTTCAGAGCGCGCACCTGGATGTGGAGCAAGTCGGCGGTGATCTCTCAGCGGCGCGAGATCAGCTGCAGGAAGTAGAGCTGGGGATCAGGGCGCAACAGCAGGACGTCGAGAATCTCACAAAGCAGCAATCCGAGCTCACAGGGACGCACGACGCTGTCCAGGCCCAGCTAGACGACGAAAGAGCCAAGCTGCACCAGTTTGACGACGAACTGCGGGCCCTGGATGACGCGGTGCGCTCCAAGAACGCCCGAATCGCCGAGGACGGCTTGGAGATGCAAAAGCTGGGCCACCAGGTCGAGCGGTTCCACAAGGAGCAGCAAGGAGCGGCAGATAATGTGGCTCGGCTCGAGGGCGAGCACGAATGGATCCAGGACGAACAGGATAGGTTTGGCCGCGGCGGCACGCCTTACGACTTCCAGGGCCAGAATATTGGCGAGTGCAAGGCCACGCTTCGCAACTTGACGGAACGCTTCCAAGGAATGAAGAAGAAGATCAACCCCAAAGTTATGAACATGATTGACAGCGTCGAGAAGAAGGAGGTATCGCTTAAGCACATGATCAAGACCGTCATCCGCGACAAGCGCAAGATTGAAGAGACAATTGTCAGCCTCGACGACTACAAGAAGAAGGCCCTGCGGGAGACATGGGAAAAGGTCAACGGGGACTTTGGCCAGATATTCTCGGAGCTCCTCCCGGGAGGAAGCTTTGCCAAGTTGGATCCTCCCGAGGGCAAGACGATCAGCGACGGTCTAGAGGTCAAGGTCTGTCTCGGCAAGGTTTGGAAGCAAAGTCTGACGGAGCTGAGCGGCGGTCAAAGGTGGGTGAGCATCGGCCGGAAAGACGGCTTGCACGTCGACTAACAAGACTATACACAGGTCTCTCGTCGCTCTATCGCTCATCATGGCCCTGCTACAGTTCAAGCCTGCGCCCATGTACATTCTGGACGAGGTGGATGCGGCCCTCGACCTTTCTCATACGCAGAATATCGGGCGCCTGATCAAGACGCGCTTCAAGGGGTCGCAGTTTATCGTCGTCAGTCTCAAGGATGGAATGTTCCAAAACGCCAACCGCATCTTCCGCACACGGTTCAGCGAAGGCACGAGCATGGTCCAGGCCCTGACACCAGCGGACCTGAAGTAACAAGACTTGTTGTTTTACGACACATATGTACGAGGCACGAAGGGCAATCTGGAATTGGTCATATTGGGAACGTGATTTGATGATGAGCATGAGGGAAAGCTTGCGCTAATGTTTCTACGGCTTATACTTGTGTGACAGGGATTGCTCTTTGTACATGGGGTTTGGTTGGCTTTGTTAATATCATGTCGCGCCATTGTGCTTTTTGTCTGGAACCTGGGGCTCTTTTTGCTGCTGTCCTTGGCCGACGTAATAGTGAGCGCCTCGCTGCAGGACATGGACTTGCATGCCCACCTCCAGAACTGTCTGAAGATGCTCCGGCGCGCCCGAAGGATGGAAGACGGGGCAGAGCTGCATGCCGAGGCAGCCGGCCTTGGGCGCACCTGAGTCGATTTCACGATGTTTCCGAAGAGCGTGATCCGGTTCTAGCCGGTGACGTATACCGGTGGCCGGGTCAACGTTGGGTAATTTGCATCTGAGAACTGGTCAGTTGCCAGCTGTTGATGCGCCGAGCCATGGCCAAGTCACACTCACCGCACCGTGCGGCAGGAGACATCGAAGACGCTGGGAGGGGTCTCGTTGCCTCTGCCATCCGCGGGCTGAGTGAACTGAACCGACTTCCAGTCGTCCTCATCATATGCTTCGGCACCAGAAACTTTGAGGTGGCGCCCGGGGAGGGGCTAGGGGTTAGCGACGAAGACTTGGGACGTCAAGTAAGGGAGAGGATAGGAATCGCATTGAACAACTTACTGATGATGTTGCCCCGGAATCTGCGGGCGTCGAGATGCTGAATGGCCTGGTCCTTTTGGATTTTGGTCTCCAAGTCACGTATGCTGGTTAGGCTGAGCATGTGCAAGGGGTACTGCTGAAGAGTCAGGACAAGGGACATGGGGAGAGTGGGCACAAGGTCATGGACACGCACCGCGTCGTGAAAGTCGATTACGGGCTGGTAGCCCAGGGCATCTTTGTGCGGCGCGCAGCGAAAGACTTGCCGCTGGTTAGCCGGGTCCATGCGGAACAAGCCGAGGGGGTGCTTGAGGCCGAGGTAGCGGGCGAGCTCGGGGGGCAACTCGCGCTCCATGTTGAGGGCGCACGGCGTGTCTTTCCAGATCTTGACGGCCTCGTACTTGTAGCCGCGGGCGGTGATGTCGTCGCTGGACGGGAAGTCGAGGGGCAACATCAGCTCCATTTCTGGCACTGCGCTCAGGCCGCGGCTCAGCTTGGCGGCGAGCAGCTGGACGAGGCGCCGGGGACCCGAGCCGGCGGCGCCGGGGAACCGCAGCACAAGGAAGGCCTCTTCCATCTTGCCCAGCTGCCGGCTCGTCTTGCTCGGGTCGGGCAGCCAGATGTCGACCTTGACATTGGCCAGCAGCGGCGCCTGCCTGAGCGTCAGAACCTCCCACGTCGGCTCATGGTCAGTCTCGGCGGCGAGCGGCCTGGGCTTCAGTTGGGCAAATGCAAAGAGGCGGTCATTCTCGAGGCCCGTAGGGAGGACCTTTGCGTGGCTGAGCTCGACGCCGCGGCAAGACTTGACAGGATAGACGTGCAGGCTCTGGATGGTGGGTGGACGGGCGTCGGGCCGCGGGCGATGGGCGGACGGGGAATATTGTGTGGCGAGGTTGCTGTCGGGGCCACGCAGGCCGAGCTTGGTGTGAGTCTGGCGCAGGGCATCGCTGCGCTCGACGGGGATGGGCGGGAAGAGGATCAGGACGGGGATGAAGAAGACGACGAGGGTGAGGGCGACGAGGAAGACGGAGCCCCAGTCGAGGTGCGCCGCACCGGCGAGCCACGTCATGATGGCTGGCCGTGTGGCAAGTGAGACGAGGAGTCCTGCTGCCCGACGCCGGCCAAAGTTGATTAGTCGTTGTAGAGAAGGGGAGCTCTCGCGAGCCCCTGTCTCGTGAGGACGCCGTCGCCGAGTTGATGAAACAAGCGTACTCCGTATGCGACTCTCTGCTTAGCTAAGCGAGGCTATGACGTCGAGCGAGAGTCTCTTTGGTGGTGGTGCGCGAAATCCCTCACCTAACTTCTAAGTGTATACCTACTTCGCACTTAAGCTATGATATATTGATACTATCTCCGGCGTGCTCGACGCATGGCACTGTCCACAATCTCCGTCAGCACCTGCGCAAACGACATGCCCATACCCTTGGCCGTCTGCGTAAACAGAGACTTGCCGGGAAGCATGCCGGCAATCGGATTCACCTGGCGCCGTCGTCAGCGCCGTCGTCGAGTGTCGCGTACTGGGGTATGCTCACCTCCAACACGTTGGGAACCGCGTCTTGCCGGTCTGAGTCGAATCGTATGTCGACCCGCCCTCCATCGCGGCAGTTGAGAAGCCTCCACGTATGCAGCGCCACCTTGCAGGCCCTTTTCACCTGGCCATCGGCCGCCTCACCAAGGACTCGATGGACTACGGGGTGCGCGAAGCTGAGTGCGGTGCCAAAGGGAACGCCCTTGAGCCTTTGCTTGTCCCAGAGGAACTCTAGCACACCCACAACGCGGCTCTCGGCGTCTGATCCCAGAATGCTCACGCTCAAGTCCCGGCCGCAGAGGAAGGGTTCCAGGAGAATGTCCCGTCCCGGAAACTGGGCCCGCAGTCTGTCTACGACTGCCCGCAGAGCCTCTTGGTCCTCTACCTTACTCCATGCCCCAATTCCTTTGCCCGAACCTTCCGAAGTCGGCTTGGCAAACACGGGAAAGGCCGGCAAGCTCGCCGCAACCTCGGGCCAGTCTACCCTTGACTCCTTGCCCGGAACTACCACAAACTGGGCCGTGGGAATTTTGTGATGAGCGAGGAACATCTACTAGTGCATCAATATCGTCGCCCTGACCGACTTGTTTGGATCGAGGGCGTACCTTGGTCTGCGCCTTGTTCAAGCACAAGGACAAGGTCGCTGCATCGGCAAACGTGAATGGAATTTGGTAAGCCTCGAGGAGACAGGGGACCTGTGACTCTCTGGCGGACCCAAAGAAGCCCTCGGCCATGTTGAAGACGAGATGCCACCCTGATCCTTGGTGCTCTGCCAGATGTCGGACCAAGGACCGGATCCCCGGCACTTGGGTGACGTGGTGGCCCAGCGCCTCGAGCGTCGTGCAGATGGCCTCGATCTCTCCATTGTGGCATAGGTCAGCGCAATCTTCCTCTGAATATCCAAGCTCGAGGAACTCGGACTGTTTTTCAAAAACGAGCGCAATGTTGAGCTTGGTCGAGTCTGCAGCCGTCATGTTTGCGAATGCTCGAGGATAGCAAGGGGATACTCATGCACAAGAGATGGTCAAGGCACTTATTCTCCTTATATACGGCATGGATAAATGCATGAATGGGCTCTCTCTCGTCACGGAAGTGGGCATCGCCCATCCTCTCACTGACGGACTGAGTGGGGGGAACCCGGGTCGAACAAGTGTAACGCCCATTACGCAATTGCACCGCTATCTACCTGTTTTTCGTCTTCTTCGGGCAATGCGACTGCACGAGAATAGCGTCGACGGCGGTTCAGGCAAAGATCTTCCATCCGGGAAGATGCTGCCATGCAATCAGGTACGAGACGCCCCACTGGCCTCTACAGGATAGGGGAACGTTGTTCTGTGACGCGATGAAAACAAGTTGGGAGTAGGCTTGTTGGACACAAGCGCACAACATGTCGTCAGCGAGAACACGGCAGCCATCGCGTCATTGCCAGGACATCTGCCAGTGGTTGAAGCTGCATGAGAAGCCGCGGTGCTTCACCCCATCCTAACCCCCGCACATGCGGCCTCATGCCAAAGCGGCTCGCTCGCAGTCGAACATTGGCAGCCACCCCGTTTCCCACGAGATAGAAAAGAGGGCTCAAGAGGACTGACAAGTCTGATTCTCCTGTGCACCCCTCAACCCTCCACTACACGGCCCTCGGCGACAGACGCAATGTATAAGCCGCTGCCTCGTTTGGCCATTTTTTTCAAACGCGCCGCGGCCTATTCCTCCCTGTCGACGGCCCATTCTCCCCTCAGCACGGCCGTCCCCGAAGTCAACCATGTCCCGGTCCTGCACTCAGCCAGCCACCTCTTTGAGGCCCAGGACCCGTACTGGCAAAAGATTCCCCGGTGGAGGGAGACGGGGGCCGACCGGTTCGTGAGCCACAAGTGGCAGATGGGCAACTCGGTGCAGTCGGAGAAGGCGCTCTGCGAGTTCCTGTCGACGGTCCTGCCGAGCGTCATCCCCCCGCAGATCGACATGGCGCCCCATCTGCGAATCACCGACATCCAAACCCCGGAGCACTTCATCGGACGCGTCAGGCAAGGCATCAAGATGGCGCCCATGGCCGTCCGACTGTCGCCGCACATTCTCAGCAGCATCGACTGGCGGGATCCCGTCAACGATCCCATCCGGCGGCAGTTCGTCCCCCTGTCTTCTCCCCTAAACGTCAATCACCCCATGGCCGAGCTGGATCCGATGAAGGAGAATACCTACTCCCCGGTGTCGGGGCTGATCCACCGGTATCCCGACCGAGCTCTCTTCTTTGGTCGGTGCCTTTGTTCTCTCAGCCGCGTGGTTGGTTCGCATGCTAAAACCCCGGCCAGCAACGTCAATCTGCCCCGTCTACTGCCGTTTCTGTTTCCGCTCCTACACAGTTGGAGCCGAGACCGAGACGGTCAAGAAACAGCGCTTCCTGCCCCTTGTCAAGAAGTGGGAGCCTCGATTCAAGTACATTGAAAAGACGCCAGCCCTCAAGGACGTGGTCATCTCGGGCGGCGACACGTATCTCCTCGAGCCTGCCCAACTTGAACACATTGGCGAGAGGCTGCTCGGCATTCCGCACATTCGCCGCTTCCGGTTCGCCACAAAGGGTCTCTCGGTGTCGCCGAGTCGGCTGCTGGACCCGCAAGACGACTGGGTCGACACGGTCATCAAGCTGGAGAAGAAGGCGCGGCGGCAGGGCAAGCACGTCTGCATCCACACGCACTTCAACTCGGCCAACGAGATTAGCTGGGTGACGCGTCATGGGGCGCAGCGATTGTACGAGGCGGGCGTAACGGTGCGGAACCAAACCGTCTTGCTGAACGGGGTCAACAATACGCCTGAAAGCATGTGTCGTCTGGTCCACGCGCTTGGCGATATCAACATCCAGCCGGTATGACCCCCAAACTCTGCTCCCTCAGCGATATAAGTGCATGGCACGATTTAACACGCATGCGGACACTAGTACTACGTCTATCAGGGCGACATGGTGCCCGGCGCGGAGGACCTCCGCACGCCCATGAGCGACAGCCTAGAGCTAGAGCGGGCGGTGCGCGGCCAGATTGCCGGCTTCTTGGTGCCCAACTTTATCCTCGACCTGCCCGCCGAGGGGGGCAAGCGGCTGACCCGGGGCGTTGAGAGTTACGACCGCCGCCTCGGGCTGTCGAAGCTTACAGCGCCGGGGCTCAAGGGCGAGCCGACGACGATGCAGTACTGGGATCCATTGTGGTCCCTGCCCGAGGACGGGCGGGCCGAGGTTTTGGGAAAGTATGGCGGCAAGATGCCGTGAATGTTTCCGGGGTCGGTGTGTTGGAAGTTGGGGGTAATCGTTCCAAGAGAGTGCCCTGAAACCAATGGACTACAGTCCATCCACAAGCCGAACAAAGGGCTCGTTAGTGGGAATTGACGATTGACCTCTTGTTGTGTCCAGACTGGGACACACTCTTCAATGTGGTTCAACGGGGTCCCGAGGTCTCACCAAGGACGACTGTCCAGTCAAATGTCCATAGCCCGCTTGCCTCGAATCTGCGAGAGCGTGGGAAAGACGGTCATGGATATGATTTGTTCCATCGAGATGCCCGAGCATGCACGAGTAGAAGAAAGCTCAGGGTCCTGACGCGAATGCGGGATTCACCCGGAGCTCCGGCAGGAGCCCTTTTCGTGGTTCTCTTTTCTTGATGAAAACCAAAAAAAAATGGGGGTCAAAGTTGTACTGTATCGTGTGAAGCTCCAGGGAGGGGAGCCTTATCTACTGTAATATGCCGTCGGGATGGCAGAGCGGTGGGCGGCGTGCCCAAAGAGGAAGCAACTAGACAACACCGAGTAATCAAACATGCACTCCTGATTTTCAAACATGCACTCCGACTTAAACCCCATTTGGAAGAGAGCCCCACCAAAATTTGGCGCGGCGCGTTCCCAACGCCGTGGCCGCCGCGGCTTGCCGCCGGCGCCCGAGGCCACCTCTGCACACACGTTCGTTCGTTTTGAAGCCATCGTTTTGAAGCTATCACCAACTATTCAGCACACCACACCAACGCCGCCACCGCCGCCGCCGCCTACCGCACAACCGTCACGATGAATTCGACCGATCGCAACATGAATACAAACAGACGATGCCCTCACTTCCACAGGCGCCGCCGGCTCACAGGGTACTACGTAATGCCACCGCCTACAACACATGTGCCTGTATACACACAGGCGCCGCCGGCGGCATCGTACGTCTACCCGATGCCACCTACGCCCTCACAGTGGCAGCAGGGCCGCCCCTCGGCACAGGGACATCACGATAGCTGCCTGTGGGCACAGCCGCCGGTACAGTCGCAAGGGACGGCAAGGGAGCCTGCCCGACAGCCAGGGGATCAGAGGGACACGGCGCCATACAATTTTGGTAGGCAGGCCGGGCATACGTTCGTCCCTTACGTGCCTCGTCCTCCGCCGCGTCAGACGGATCAGACGGATCCTACGGATCCTCCGGCACCGTCACAGTCATAGTCACGGCGTTGATTGATCTCACGGGCGGTAGTCAAAGGTGTGCACATTGTATATATATCGGAAAATAGGTCGGGCCGGGCGTATTGATATATTTGAACGACTCCAAGGAACGCAGCTTCCAGCGTTGGTGATAATTAAATGCTGATTGAATGCGACCGGGCGGCAGCCGCGGCGGCCACGGCGTTGGGAACGCGCCGCGCCAAATTTTGGTGGGGCTCTCTTCCAAATGGGGTTTAAGTCGGAGTGCATGTTTGAAAATCAGGAGTGCATGTTTGATTACTCGACAACACCTGCGGCAGGGGTCCAGATCTGGCAACCTTCACTTTCCCTCCCGGCCTCTTTCAACTCCAACAGCTTTCTCGTGTCCAGATCAAGCTTCGTTGGCCGCTCCCCACCAGCGATGCAGGCTCGTCACTAACGCCGGCAGCCGCTGTTCATCAAACAAAGCCGCTTCTCTTGGGTCCCGTTCGAGCAGGGCAGAAAGGGCAGAGAAGGGCAGACTCCATCCGCATGCGCAGCGCCGGCCATCCCGACTCTACGTCGCTACATCGGCATGCACGGAGCAGTTCCCGGCAAGCAGCCCGAGAAGCGTGCAGGGGATCCGTACGACGTGTGCCCTTCTCGAGTCGTGTCCTCGATGGATGCCCGAAGGAGCAACTGGGGAAGCGCTCAAAACCGACCAAGTCTTCACTTCGAGCGTTACTTTGCGGATCCCGCCGCCCTGCACTCGTCGGCCGTCTTATCTGCAAACATGGGCTCCACGCCAGGCGTCGTGGCCCATGTACAGTACAGACGGACATGCAGACCTGGCTGAGCGGACGGAGCTCTCTCTGCCTCGCCCCGTCTCCAGGCCAGCGCCGACTTGGGCCGTGACATCCCTCTGGAACCAGGACCATACTGCATGTCGCCAGCGCACGCAAATCTGGCCCTGCCTTGGCCGAGACGCGGAATCTGCTCGGCATCATTCAGGTCCGCCCCCATTCCGTGCCCCGACACACACAGTACGGTGTACGCTGGGGCTTCACAAGTACGGACAAGGGAGTGGACCGCGGCAAGCATTACATCGCTATTCTAGGGCAACTGCCAACCCCTGCCAGAAGCAGGCACAGCCAACCTTATTTATACCAAAGCCTCCGCTGTCCAATCCGCATCCGCAGTCGAGTGCTGATGATCTCTCTCTGGCTATTGAAGCAGCCATCCGGCGTCCGACAAAGGTGATTGCGTCCACTATCTGCCATGTTGACCCCCCCCTCGGCGGCTTGGTACGGGACCCGCGGACCGCAACGGACCAAGACCTGGCGGTGAGACTTCCTATTTCTGCTTTTTGCACCATGACTCGTGCCTGTCCAGTACCGCCAAGGCGCAGTCCCGTACATGTGCCAAGCTGCTTCTTAGACGCTAACTTGAGATACTTTACATGATTTTCGCAGCGCCGTCGGTGAAAGCGTTCAAAAGTCTTCATAATCTCGTCGCCCTTGCGCACGTTTGAAGCCACTGCGAGCCGCCATCCATGTCCAGTGAGAAAGCATCCGGCACTGTCTCATAGCCTGTTCGTCTCCGTCTCCCGTTGTACTTCTCTTATCCGATCCCCTGGCCACACAAAGCCTTTCCCACACAGTCGCGGCTGTCAAATACGCTTCTATTGCATGTCACGAGGGTCACGATAACCCACCGCTGACATGAATTGCGACTTGACGTATGCTAGCCTGTTCTCGAGCCTCTTTTCTTGGCGGATTCTACCGTCGCTTATCTATCCGCATCGGCCGACAATGAAGAAGCTGACCTCTCACAGCAGAAAGAAGGGTACAATCGTTTCATCGGCAGACTGTAGATGCAGCACTCGGCTGGCCTACGACAACCCTGGTCTTGAGAGGTTAAGAAGTCTTGCACGAGGCCATCATCAGCACCCGCACGTCCATCCATAATTCATTGACATTTCGCTCACTCCTCTCCGTTGAAGATTTGCACCTTCAACCAGCGTGCGAGTCAATCACAGCTCCCTCAGTGTTGGGGGACCAAACCGGATCTTCTTTGCCTCTCTGGCTCGCCACTTTCAGCCGAACGTATTGGACCCTTCGGCTCGTCCTCATCATTTCGTCTGTTTTTCAACACATCCTTCGTCGCCAAATGCTTTGACCAGCCAAGCAGCCTTGAGCAGGCATCGCCTCGACATATGCTCAGTCCATGTCCTGTGACATCAGTCGGTTCAGAGAGGCCCGGTCTGCACTTTCTCTGGCATCTTCATCGCCACTGATTTCAATCATCTCTTCGTCAAGCATGCAAATGGCCCCGGAAGGCTCGCCGCTCAGCCCCTGATACTTCCCGCCAGCGCATCAGCTGACAGAGACTCACCTGCTTTCCGATTGTGGCAGTAACCAGCCTCCATGGACGACCACTACCGTCACTTCCTGACGTCCGTGTCGGAAGTGCCGGGCTACTTCACCTCGGCCCCTGAGGAAGCCGACCTGTCTCCAGACAGTGGAATTTCCATGCCCGCGCGCGGCACCCCCTTGCCGGATTCGCATCAGAATCTGGAGCACCCTGGAAACTTCCCGGATCCAGTGTTTATCAGCTCCTCCAGACCTTCAAAAGGTCGGAGGAAGTTGGGAGCCGGGTCCGGGAATGGCACAGACCCAGTGAAACATCGCAGGACGAGGTCTGGCTGCTTTGTCTGTCGGAGCAGACGAGTCAAGGTGAGTTTGAACGGGAAAGGCCGTCGAAGCATGTCGCTTACATTAAAACCACAAATCACAGTGTGACGAGACGCATCCCGTATGCCAGCGTATGTCTACCATTCACTCTTGAGGGCCTGATACTACGGGCACAATGGCTTATTTAACCATTCCAGGCTGCAAGAAAGGCAATCGCGACTGTGTCTATCCAGACCCTCCCGCTCCAAAGGGACTTTCGAGTCAGGACGTATCAAAGAACGTCGCTCTCGCAACGCAACAATCTAGCTTGAAGCTGTCCAATAATGGCGAAGAAGGCGAATTGGGAAAGCATACGGAGCTGACGACGATTCTCGACGAGGATGACTCCGCAGAGCCTCCATCTCCGGAGCGATCTGGCTCACAAACGCTCGGGATGGCGAATATGGCACCCGCCGGTAAAACCCGGCGTGTTGCAAGGCAAAGCTCAGAGAGCCCATCACGCGGGCTGACAGAAAACTCCTCCCCGCATTCAGCTTCGACCGCCGGGGCCGTGAGCGTGAACACGATGCCGCCTTCGGAGCTTGATCTTTCTCCAGACGGACGGGGGGATTGGTCGCATTTGCCTCCAGATTTCCAGCGTCATCTTAACTACTTCGTCGCGAACATTACAAACTATCACTACAGCATAGCCAACGACGGAGACGAATTCTTCACCGCCATCTTGCCTACCATGGCCGTCAAACATGAGCCTCTGCTACACGCGGTAGTAGGCTTCTCTGCGTATCACGCAATGCTGCAGGACCCAGATGGGCAGCTTCAAGACTTCCTCAAATACTACAACGGAGGGGTCACTCTGCTGCTCGAGTGTCTGAAACGCAAGGAGGCTAATAACGTGCCTACACTGGTCACCATTCTGCAGCTGGCCACCATGGAGGTAAGCTTCTTTCAAGGCTTGCCTCGTCCCTCAGCACGGCTAATCATCAAATGACAGGAGTTTCTAGGTGACTGGGTGAACCTAATGGGGCACCAAAAGGCCGCGTTCGAAATCATCACGGAAATCTTCGAGCCAGAAACAGTCATGCACACGGCGGTGGGCAGGGCATGCCTGAACTGGTACAGCCGATATGACAGCTACGTGGCTATCATGGGCGGCTTCCCCACGGAGCTATCTCGCGAGTGGTTCGACTGCATGACCGAGTATAGCCAATCTCAGGTCACAGCTAGCCCCGACGATCTGCGCTGGAGGATTGACGATCGCTCCGCACGTTTGAGGTCCATTTCGTATGACATGTCTATGCTCTATGCCCGGGGGAGCCGAGGGCAGATTTCCCTCCAAGACTTTTGTCGCGAGCACCAACGAGTGACGCGCAAGCTGCACGAGTGGAGGAGTTCGTGGGATCCGGCCTTGATGGACCCCAAATACCTCGTCACTGATTTTTACTACCGGAAACCCCTTGACCCCGGAGACATTGTTGATCCTTACAAGCCCGGGGTCCTCTTTAAGCCGCCCCTTTTCACCACGACGCTGATAGCCGCCGAATGGCATTCCATCATGATTATGCATCTGTCTCAAGCGGCCAACATGCCACCAAGCCAACTGTTCGTCAAGTTTGGAGAGCATGCCTTTGCAGCCTGCCAGTACTTTGAGTCGGTGGAATTCTGGCCCTCGAAGCCAAAGGGATCCATGGTTTCGTTGCAGCCGTGCATCTCCATTGCCGCACTGTTTCTTCCCCAAGACAGCAAGCATCAGATGTGGATTCGCCGCAAGTTTGCTTGCCTGGACATCCTGGGGTAGGTTTTTCCTGGCACACCTCGCTTGAACCCCGTGGCCTTGTCTCGAATTCTAACGCCGTCGACAAGATGTATCCATCCCACGACGCGTCGGATCAAAATGGCCAAAGTGTTCCGCGATCCGTCGTGCGCGCACTGGTGGCTGCCCAATGACGAGGGGTTGACGCCGGTGTTGCAGAGCATCCGCGCCTTTGCCGACGAGCGAAACGCGGCGGCTGTGGATGCCCAGGTGGATAACATCCGCGAAGTGAGGCACCTGTTTGCCAAGCTGGAGATTGGCGCCCAGGACGACGACGCTGCGGGGAGTAAAGGGAGGAGTTCATGATGGGCCCGAAGTATCTGCCATGGAGATGCCTGACCGACCGTTCGAGACGCGCTTTTGACGTGTGGAACTCGACCAACAACAGCCTGTGAAGGGGACTTCTGAATCAGACGCTTGACAGGAGTCGAACTGGAAGAAACCCCAACAGAGCTGTATGAATTAGGCCACATCTTGTGCATAGCGGGGCGGTTGGTGCTCAAGTGTTTCAAAGGATAAAGCAGAGAGATGGGGAACAAGAAGAATCAAAAGGGGAGAGGTACATCTGCGATTGGCTCGAACTTTGGGTAAGGAAAGGATTGGAAAATGTGTCGGTGCGTGCAAACACAGAGGGTCAGTTGCGGCAGACGGCTCCAGGACGTAGAGATCCATAGCATCAGCGAGAAATCTAGTTTACAAGACTTTACGCTGACGTGCCTGCTCCCATCGTGACATGATAGAAGGCCGCTTGAATTATCTTGGATCGTCCATGGTGATTCCTCCAATGGGGTATGACGCACTTTCTCGCTACTTGTCCGCCTTTGACTCTTCCGTCGCCGATACCTCTGCCGTCTCTGCCTTCGCCGCTGTCTCTTCAGTTAGATCAGTGCCAGGCTCCTCGAGTTTTTCCAACGTTGGCTCCTCTGCTACTTCGGCAGCCGGCTCGGGATCTGGTGGCGCTTCCTCCTCGGGCGCCTCAGCAGGCTGGGCTGGGGCTTCATTTTTGCCAGCGATTTCTGCCGACGAGTCGGCCGAGCCATCTGGGTGAGCGGCATCATCATTATGTTCATCGTGCTCTGGCTGCGCCGTGGTGTCTGTTTGTCCCGCGTCCACGGGCTCTGCCGGGTCTGTCGATTCCTGCACCTCCCTGGGGGCCGACGCTGTCTGTGACGGCGCCCTGACTGGCGCGGCCTGCTCCACAATGACGGGAATCTCTGCCGCCTCGGGCTCATGCTCTTCTGCGGGCGGCTGCGGCGGGTCGGACGCGTGCACATTCAACAACTTGCCCGAGGCAGTATCCGCATCCTCCTCGTCAGTCTCCATCACCGTCGTCACAGCACTTCCTGTAGAGGGACTGCTCCTAATATGTCTCCGAGTATTGGTGCGGCCAACCGAGTGCAAGCCGTCGTCGTCGCCGAATCCTCCGCGCTGCTGCATTGTCGGCTTCAAGATGGTCGGAGGCGGCTTTTCGGCCTCTGGTTCGGAGACCGCGTCGTCGAGACCCTCGGCCTCTGGTGGAAGCTTATAGTTCTCTGCAGGCAGCAGGTCGTACAAGTCGCACACTGTCTTGAAGAAAACGTAGAGGCCCGTCTGCCCCTCGACAGTCCAGAACACGCTGCGATGCTGGAACCAGGCATGGGCGAATATTCGGTGCAGTCTCCGAAAGACATTGACCAAGTTTTTAATGCCCAAGTTCTTGTTGTGCGTGTCACTCAAGACGACGAATCTGCTCGGGAAGATCTTTTGGTCGGACACGACATTGGCGGCCCAGTCGAGGGTGTGACAGCAGTAGTCGATGGCGCAGCAACTCTTGGGCTGCTCGTGGACAGCGCAGAGAAACTGCCACTCCGAGGCTCGCATCTCGGGGCACGTGCCTGCGCTGCATGGAGGGGAGTCGAAGAGGAAGCCGACAATGAGGGAGTTGCACTGGGAGATGAGGAAGCGGCACAGTTCGTAGAGCCAGAGGGTGCGGTCGATGCCGGGCGGGGGTTGAGCGAGATGCAGAGCCGTCGTACGCGTGAGGGCCTGCGTCGAGGAAGCTGTGTGGTGGTAGTGCAGGGCGGCGAGGTGCTCTTGGAGCTGGAAGGCGGAGTCAAGCTGGCGACTCGTGTCAGCTTTGAAGGCCTGGGCAGGGTCAAGGAGGTCCGTCGTGCCTCGTTCAAGGGGATGAGCGGCGGCCCGGCGGCCATGTCAGCCGCCCTTGTTCCGGGATGGACGCGCCTCCTCGAGTTGGCGTCGAGCAGCGTCTGCTCCATCTGGGTATCGTGTGGGCTGACGGTGACGCCGCCCGAGGGAGACTTGGGGCCGAGCTGAATCTCTGCCGGCGGCGGCGGACTCGGCAGTCGAGGCGAGCTCGATGCCAGCGCCATTGTTGCCGGCGGAGGAGGACGCCGCGAAGTCGAGCGGAGGATTCGTCAGGTCGGCCTGCTCGTTGGCTGGAGGCGGCAGGGCCTTGAAGGAGCCCGGGGCGTCGACCGGTGTGCGTGCTGAAGATGGTCGCCAAGCCGGCCTCGTGCGGTTGGATGGCCTTTGTCGCGCTTATGTAATGAATTCCGCCACAGTGCTCTAGAGTCTCATTAGTACGATTTGGCCCGCCTGTGCTTCGACTCGGCTCCTAGTTCCTACACAGTAGTTTCGTGATTCGTCTCCCTTGAAGGCGGCATTAATAGCTCAGTTGTGGATTCCTTTTTTTTTAAAAACACTTCAAGCCTGGCGCCTGCCATCACAGCAGGGAACATGGATTTTGACGAGGATGCCCCTCCAGAGCTGGTCGACACCGCGGGGGGGGTTCATCAGGACGGAATCTCAGTGAAAGTTCCCATCACGATAGTTACAGGTATGCTCAGAACCGCCGGAAAAAAGAAGAGAAATATATCTAACAAGGGTCGAACTAGGTTATCTTGGCGCCGGCAAGACCACTCTGTTAAACTACATCCTTACAGCCCAGCATGGCAAGAAGATAGCGGTCATTATGAATGGTTTGGAAGCCCTCCATCTGCCCGGAGCATGAAACAGCTGCTGACATTGAATCAGAGTTTGGTGACTGTAAGTGGGCGGACCAGAAAAGAAACATGGGAGTCGTCTCACCGTCATGCAGCACTCGACATTGAAAAGTCCTTGACCGTCAACAAAGGCGAGGAGACGTTCGAGGAGTGGCTCGAGGTTGGAAATGGCTGCATCTGCTGCTCCGTCAAGTGCATCGGCCCACCCAGCTGCTCTTGTCCGTCACTGCTGATAGCTCGCGTAGGGATACCGGGGTGAATGCCATCGAGTCACTCATGGAGAAGAAGGGCGCCTTTGACTACATTCTGCTTGAAACAACCGGCCTAGCGGATCCCGGCAACATTGCACCGCTTTTCTGGGTAGATGACGGCTTGGGGAGTACGATATATCTCGATGGAATCGTCACGTTGGTAGACGCAAAGAACATTCTTCGCAGCCTCGACGACCCGAGCGGCAAGGTCGACGGTCCCGAGCCGCACGACCACAGGGGTCCGTTGATGACGACGGCACACGTGCAAATTTCGCACGCCGATGTGCTCGTCATAAACAAAGCAGACTTGGTGAGCGAGGACGAGCTGCGTCGGGTGCGAGAAAGAATCGAGTCCATCAACGGCCTCGCCAAGATTCATGTCACGGAGAATAGCGTCATCCCCCAGCTCGAGGGCTTCTTGCTGGATCTGCACGCCTACGACCAATTCAATGAGCACGAGGCCAAAGTCAAGGGCCACAGCCATCTGGATCCCGTGAGTTGCGGGATCCCTTTTCTCGGAATCCGAAACATGGGTTTGGCTGACCGCACCAGGCTATATCAACGATTTGCGTGCCCGTCCCTCGGCTACCCCCGCATCAGCTGGACGACGTCGATCGGTGGTTGCGCTCAGTGCTCTGGGATAGCAAAGTCCCAGGGTCGGAATGCAAGGGGGACTTTGAGATTCACCGCTCCAAGGGTCGCATCGTCTTGCAAAACGGAGACGTCAAGATGCTGCAAGGCGTCAGGGAAGTCTTTGAGTTGACGGAGCCTCCAGGCCTCCAGGAGCCACAGCCTGCTAGCGGGAAGATTATCTTCATCGGGAGGAGAATTGCCGAGGTGGATTTCGAGGGCAGCTTCAAGAGGGCAATCGACCAAAGTTAATGCTGAGCTCGGTAACATAATTCAGCACAGTCTCTGCATGCCGTTCAACACGCCGTACGAGCTGCCCCAGACCTGCAGCAACACGACGCTGATGTGCCGTACCGTACAGTGCGTGGCGTGCGTCAGGACAGAATAAAAGGAAAGGTATTTTATGGATACGGATACTTGCTCTGGACCATCGCTGTCCACCTCTATCCGTATCCGTAGTGTCAGCCTTGTTAGCTACCCCGTAGGCAGCTGCAGGTGACAAGGGAGTTGCGGGTGTGTGGTTGGCTAGAAAGCCGCGCTCGGCACGGACCCACTTGATTCCGGCGTTGTCCACTGGTAAGCCTTACTTAGCCTTCCCTCGACGACTCCAGCAAAAGATTCAAGAAGGCATCTCCCGACGACGACGACGACCGCGCGGGAATCACCCGAAACCGCTGCTTCCTTTACATGACCAACACCCAATCCCGCCAACGACTCGAGAACTCGACTGTGCGATTGATAGCCACCATGAATCGGCCAGGTAGGACAAGCCCCCGGCTGAACCCCCTTGGTTTCCTTGCCTCAGCCTTGGGCACCCCGCGCCAATATAATTCGACATCATCGACGATTGCCTCGCGCGCGCACAAACGGACGCCCTCCCTGTCGAAGCATGGCACCGGAAAGAGCCACAAGTTCTGTGCGGCTTCCTCAACCTCGGTTGGCGTGCCGAGGACCAGGTCAATTGAATCCACCCACTACACATCTTCGGTAGACCGAGTTCGACGACTTTCGATGCCCCGAGAAATGCGAACCCCAAATCACCAGACGACCAGACCAAGATATTGTGGCCTCGCCCTTCCACCCATGTCCTGTGTCGCGACAGGGCCCATTGCGTGAAAGGCGGCAGAATGCCGAAAGACGGAAAGGCTGACGAACCACACGAGCAGTACCACAAACATTACGGGGCATGCCCGGCAACTTTGGGAGCCAGCCCCAACCCCAGCAACCCGGCCGATCAGTATCGAGTCGGCTGCCGAACGGGAAACTAGGTACGAAGCAAAGGCGAGCCTGGTTTGCCAGTCTGACAACTCTGGCTGACTGATGTCTTGGACAACAGCGAACAACGGATCCGGCTGGGCCTTTGGGGGAGCTGTTCCTATGGGAGGCGCTGGTTTTCAAAACCAGGCACACCAGCTGGGCGGCAACGTCAGTTTTGCGCAGAGCTTGAGCGGGTCGCAACCTGCCACTCCTCTGGATCTGTCGTACGTACCTGCTCTTCTTTTCCCATTTCCCCTCCGTCACTCCCTCGCCCCAAGCCTAGCAGCCGCGGATCTGTCGACGATGCCCAAGAGGTTCAAATCCGCCCGCAGGGCCATCGACATGGCAGGGCGCGCAACCTCTCCTGGGCGCTCGCCTGGTCTGGCCTACTCCGCTGTAGTCAAGGGGTACTCTGCTCGACTTTCCGTTATCCTTTTCTCACTCGACTCTTGTCACCCCTCTCGCCTTATTTCCATCTTTCGCCGGTTTCCGAGGCAACACATGCTAACCAATCTCCAGAGAATTTCCTTCCCTGTCCAATAATTCGCAACTCAACAGCGGGAATCAGGGCTCGATGTGGTCGGCCAGCGGCTCCAGGAATCCTAATGGCCCTGTACAACGCAACCAACCCACGCCAGTCTCCTCCCAGACCACAGGCCAAGACGATCTGTTCAGCCCTGCACCCTCTTCTCGAATGCCGCCTAACCAAGGTTTGTCCCCCTTTGGCACCCGAATGCACGCGTCGGCGACCTCTCAGACCCAAATGAGCGGCATAGCCACGCCAAGAAAAGCTGCCATCGGCGAAATGTCGTCGAAAATCATTGCCAACAAGTCATCTTACCTAGGATTTGGCCCTCAAAACACGGGCCCGACGCATGTGCAAACCCACAGAGGCAACGGTCTGCTGAATGCTCTGTCTGCCAATAGTCGAGCAAATGAGGCACGGTCGCCGCCCGGAGCAGGATCTTCTGGTAATCTCGCCCTCTGTGACGTTTCCAAAGCTTGCTGACTCGATTCAGATTCAACGCGAGCACAAGGCGCCAAAAGACCCGAAGAACCGAGGCACAAATCAGGCCTGTTCCGCGAGGAAGGCTTCAGCAAGACTCTTGCCGGCGGCGACGGGACGATACAAGCAGCGGGCGGCCGAAGCTATCTTGGCGCCATAGGGAACGACGGGACGATGGGCAAGTCGAAAGACGACAAGGCAAATCAACATCCCGAGCCTGTTGACCCTCTTGCCGGAATGGCGGCGGTGGACAAGTGGGGCATCAAAGGCCTGCGGACTCTGATGAACAACTACCCCGATTTCCACGCCATGGTAGTGGGCATGGACCCGAACACGCTCGGGCTCGACTTGAGTTCCCAAGAGTAAGGCAGTTTTAGCCTTACAATCGGCTTTGCAAGATGCTAACGGTCGGCAGCCTCATTTCCCCCCAAATCTACTCCCTCTTCGACGAGCAGCCGCCCAGGCCGACGGTCACTTCCAGCAAGTTCCGACTACCAGACTGCTACAACGTGACGAATGTCCAGCCCATCGAGAGCAAGATCCAAAATTTCAACGAGGAAACGTTGTTCTGGATCTTCTACAGCTGTCCGCTCGACGTAAAACAACAAATGGCCGCTGCTGAACTGTGAGTATCTCGCACTCCCCTGCCACAACGTCCAAGCCCTACTGACACTTGGTAGGCACACTCGGAACTGGCGGTGGCACAAAAAGCTGCAGATCTGGCTCACCAAGGACGATCACATGACTCCTCAGATCTTAAGCCCCAGTCACGAGCGAGGCTACTACATTGTGTGGGACGCCAACAACTGGCGGAAAGACCGAGTAAAAGCCCCAGATCTAGCCACCGTGCCCAGCGGGTCAAGCTGACTGTTGCCTTGAAGAGAGAGTTCACGCTGCACTACCATGATCTGGACTCGTCGCTGGGTCAAGGGCCAGCGCTGGCCTAGGTGCCCCATTCAGGCTCGTTCGGCTTACGATATGCGTTCTTGCGTAATGCTAAACGCGGTGCTTCATGGCTGGTCAAGAGGACCAATTGGCGTTCGGCCATCGCGGGGGGTGGGGATGGCATACTCACGGCATTGGGAATGGGTCCGGCGGCCACAGAGCCTTGGAATGCATTTTCGGGTTAAATACGGTAGACCTGCCGCCGTGTATGGCCTGGCGCAATAAAGTCGACGCGAGCTGCCTCGCCGTCCTCGATCCATTACCAAGAAGACCAGCCAGACGGGCTGCCATGACCATGTGAACGTGCCAGACTTGCGAGCCCATGATGCCCACAAAATTCCGCCCCAGGCCTCTGAATGTTGAGGCCTCGCTCGGTAACCATGCTGACATGGTTTCAATATCAAAGGCGGGAGGGGATTTAGGGGGCCGGACACAACGTGGAGTCGGATTAACCGAGCCTCCGTAACGACGCTGGCTTACCTAAGACGTGAGATCATCGAGACGTGGACAGCTTGACATGCCGAGGTATACCTTCGAATTGGGTATTTGCGAAGGCAAGATCTTGATCGGGCATTATCGAGTTCAGAACGTGACGGCTAGGCATAGCAATATTTCCGTCTAATGCACTAGCCAACGGGTAGGCCTTTATAACACGCATCATGACCGCCGTTAAGACTTTACTGACCGAGTCTAGCGCTGTCACTACCTTCCCTTGGACAGTTTGCCTCTCGACCTTGCGGATCAACAACGAACGAGGCCTCTCAAGTCTTCTCGCCACGCGGAGACACCATACCGCGCCCTCCCTCTGTGGGCAGGTCCCAGAGACGCTACCGCGCGAACCTCATCTCGCCTCAGGCCGTCGACTTCGCGCTGCGACCGCTGCGGCGACTACGCACGAGACGTCATGTCCAACGACCAAATATCGCTGCCGTACCTGGCAGCCATCCTGGTGCTGTCGGGCCTCATAATTCGGTACTTGTTCTTCGCTGGGCCTCCGGCTCAACGGCCTCCGCCATCTCCTGAGGCCTTTCTGAGGGCTAGGGAGGCCGCCGTGGAAAGAATCCAGCAAATGTTTCCGCAGGCCGACAGGAGAAGCATACTCTGGGATCTGCAACGGAACGGCGGAAGCATTCAGAGCACCACGGAGCGGATTCTCGCTGGTAGCCTAGAAACGGTGAGACCACCTTGGTCTACGTTGGACGCCGCACTCGGAGGGAAACGGCTAACGTCGATGAACAGCCCCCCGTTACGTTTCAACCAGCACCAGCACCCGGCCAAGCGACGCCCAGCGCGAGCGCCGGGCCGGCGACGAGAGCGCCCGAGAAGTCGGTACAGCCGGATCTGATTACGCGATACAAGCTCGAAGCAAAGCTGAAAGCGCCTGTTGAGGGGGGCGAGAAGGACGGAAAAGGATGGAGCTCAAACAGGGACGAGCGGCAGTCGTCGCTGCAGCGGAGACGAGACGAGATGATTCTGGCAGCACGACGCAAGATGGAGTCCAAGATTGCCGCCGAGAAGGCTGCGCAGGGTAGCTGAATCGGTGGGAGGAGGGCCAAGGCGAGGGCGAGGTGAAGGTATTCGCGGGAATCCATCTTGGTGCCCCCTGGCTAAACCATGATCCTAGTTTGTACGAATCAAACGATGCTGATGGCGCTGCGACGACATTTGGCAGGGAATTGCGATACAGGTCTCGTCGGGTACCTCGACCCTGCACCATCAAGCGAGTGAGCATCGGTACATGGCAACCACACTCCCGAGGGCCAAGGGGATCGTGACGAGAGTGTGACGGGAGACAAAAGGAACCATGGCCCTTTGAGCTGCGGGGTCTGATGGGCTTATTTGGCAGTCAGCAACTTGGCCTCCCATTGGCCGATCTCATGCGACTCTCTCGGCCAGCAACAAATGTACATAAGAGCCTGCTCAGCATGGGATAAGATGGAGGCTCACATGCATCAAGGTCTGATGACACATTAGGTAGGGGTCAGTGGCGTTGCGGGAGGGAGCGGGCGCTGGTGTCAAATGTGAATTGCGAAACCAGAAGCGAGAGAACGGCCTTGCTTCTGCACGAGACTGCCGGCTTTGCTTGCGTACTTACCTTGTCATGTGATGTGAAGTGACCAAGCGTTGAAGGCCTCCAGGTGAGTCCTCCAGGTGCCCTGGAACGCCACTGCAAGTCCAAAAGCTCAGGGCGCTACTGCTGCGCCTAGCCACGGGCGATGCGGATGCGTGCTGGAGCGCCTTGCTGAGCCACAGCCACAGCCGCTCGCCGTGCCAGCCAGCGGACCCGCAGTGCGTCACCGCGGGGACGGGGGAGCGGGTCTTGCGATGTCGTCGAACAAGCAAGTTCACTCCCCGGCGACAAGATTTTTGGGGGGGGGGTAAAGAGAGCGTGTGCACACAGCCTGCGATTTGGCGCGTCCACACAGCCTTGTGCAACTCTTGACCTCGAGCTTGAGCTCACGGACCAGTGTCTCTCAAGCTGACGTCAGTGAGTCAGCTTGGGCTCTCTGCCGCACTGTTTGGACCGGCTGAAAGGACGCGATTCCTTTCTTCGCCAGCTGCCTGCCACCCCCGGCCGCCAACAAGAGCTGCTGCAGAAACGACCTAGGAGCCTTGCTTTTGTCTTTCTGCCTCTGCACACACCGACCCTGTGCATCCGAACAGCCTTTGTTTCGTCTCAATTCGAGAGAGCCTGTCCTCTCGTCGCATCGCAGTCTCTATTCCTCAACTACGGACGTTTTGGTATGCTTCCCAGGCAACATCTATCCCATGCTACGGCCACTGCAAAGCTCCTTTTGACCCGTCTAGCTAACGTTTGCCTGTACTGGCATCACAGGAGTCCTTCTCCCTCAAACTTTGCCGATCGAATTGCCTCCGTCGTGTGCCCGCCCTCACCGCCACGAAACGGCTTTTGGCGAATCCCATTGTTGCCCCGTCGCAAGCCTACACGCCTTTGTTGCTCGGCCAAATTCGCGGAGAGGAACATCTTGATGCCGCTTGACCATACCTGAGCGCAGTCACGCCCCCGATAAGAAGCCGCACGTTTCTTGATATGTTTGATGCTGGCACCGGTCGAGTAGGACCAGCAAATCTCACCTCGAGTTGCAGTACTGAGTGGCTAGCGATATCCAGCAGCCATGGCCGCCGAGAGGGACTGGTACGCTGACTTAGAGCTACCGGAAACGGCAGACATTCAAGAGATCAAGAAGCAATTCAGGAAGCTTGGTATGCAGTGCCCGCCACGCCCCAAGCCCATGCTCTGCTGACAAGCGCTAGCACTGAAATACCACCCCGATCGAAATCCCGGACGCGAGGTTGAGGTCAACTCGAAATTTCAAATTATCCAGTCGGCCCATGAGGTCCTCACCGACCCGCAGCTAAAGGCCAAGTACGACGCGACTTTGAGTCGATCGAGCCGTTTCCCCACCGCGTCTGGAGTCAGGGGCAATCCATGGCAGAATGTCGGCCAGCAGTTCCCGCCTCCTCCGCGCCGTAACACGGCCGCACGGAACGCGACCTCGGGGGCCCAGAGATGGCAGTCACGCTTCTCCAACGGAGTGCCTCCGACTGCCAAGCAGCAAGCACCGTCTGATGCGGAGGCCAAGAAGAATGCTGCCCGGGCATTTGAGAATATGCGCAAATCTCAAGCGCAGGCAAGCGCCAAGAATGCGCAGCAACAAGCTCGCCCCTCTCAGCCTCCACCACCGCCTCCTCGCACCGAGTCTGCGAGACAACGCGCCCAGGCCGCTTTTGGGTCACGAAAGGCCGGGTTCCAGCCCCATTCGTCTATGCCAGGCGATGAACCCCCCGTATCTGGCCAGAACTATTACCCGAGGACAGGCACAGAGCAGCCACGAGCGCCTAGCCCACCACCTCGGAAGCCTCATCCTACCGCCATGCCTGATCCCTTGAACCAGTTCAGAGCTCGCGCAGGCTTCGCAGATTCCCGACAGAGCACGCCGTACTCTTCCCACGGGGGTGAAAAGACGGATCCGTTTGACGGCATTCCGTTGGGACGCTCGAAAAGCACCAGGGAGCCCTACCAGCGCGAGGACTTTTCCACCTCAGACGAGGGTGTCTTCCAGGAACAGGATTACCGCAGTTCTGGCGCACGCAAATTTGCAACTCCAAGAAAACCTGTTCCAGGCCGTGGAGCGTCTGGACAAGACGGTGGCGGGCCGCCTCCCAATGCTGAGAAACGTAAGCACCCTTGGTTCCAAGTCTCAGCCTTCGTAGAGCTAACCTTGATCCCAGAACCTGATTCCGAGGAGCGCAGCGGCAGCGCCCCCTCCATGTATGACGCACCTCACGATGAGCACCCTTTTCCGCGCTCAGCCTTTGCCACAAATAGCCGATTCGTCACCAAAAGCTTGGATTCGGTTTACGGGCCGTGCGCAGACTTTTATTCCAAACTGGCTCCCAGTGGAAACCAGGATGCTCTTCAGTCTCACCCCTCATTTGAGGTGCAGCAGCACCTTATGCTCGATCGCTTGATCAGCAACATGGGAACTGGCTTGCAACCGGAAAGAAAGAGAGCCTGCAATGCTGAACGCCCCCTCAAAGATCGCACTGCGACGGACTTCGCTGACGAATTTCGTGATGTTAGCTTTAATTTCGCCGTTGGCGATGATGCCTTTGAGCCAACGTCTCCTGTGCCCGACCCTAGACGATCAGCAAAGAGCAGCGTCGACGATATCAACACGAGATTCGTCAACGACGACGGCTCAAGTACATGGCAATTCAGCGCCGGCAATGGAGAGCAGAGCGATCAGACAACAAGTCGGCCCCCTTCAGTGGGCCGTGCCAACCGCCGCTCGCCGCTCAAACGCCAAACTGCGCGGGAGACTGGGCATACTGATCATCAGCCGCAACCGGAGCCCTCGAGCGGGTTCAATGCAGATGGCTGGAGTGACAAGTTCAGCCCCCAGACGTTTGTGCCTCAGCCCGCACCTAGTGCATCGAGTTCGCCTACACGGCCCAGCCGCGCAAACTCTAAGAAAGTGAGGGTCAGGCCGACGGTCGGAAACGCCGCCGTTGTCGAGGAGAGCAGCAGTGATGGAGAGACGTACGAGTGGCGCGGACGAAACACCCAGGCAAAGCCCGCCGCCGCCGACAGTCCCCAGGCCATGGACATTGACTCCCCGCCATTTGCTCCAGTTGCATCTTCAACCGAGCCCAGCAGCGTGCGAAACATACCCGTGGAGCCATCGCGGCCGGAGTGGCGGCCCGGCAACGTCGATTCCATGGCGGGCGAGACCCAGCCTGAGCGGCCCGAGAAGATTCCCATCAACGCTAATGCCGTCGGGTCGGAGGATAGCGAGGAGTTCAAGGCCAGTTTTGCCGAGTTGAAAAACGTTGCCCCCTTTGCACAACCAGGCTCTGGTCTCAAGTCGCTTGCAGACCTCAAGGACAATCTACCCTTTGAGAGCCGGGCATCGGAGGACCTCCCGATCAAACTGCCCAAGGTCCAGCCTTTGGTGTTTCCGGAACCGCCCGAGGCCCCCCGTTTGCCACCTACCGTTGCTATTGAAGGCATGAAGCCGAACGCTGCGTCATGGGTCAAATATCTGGCCGAATTCGAGAGCTACCTTGAGAAATGGGACAAGTTCAATGGCCAGGTGGTGGACCACTTTGCCACCCGCAGGGCTCTCATCTCTCGAACCAGAAGCTCGAAGGGATACGCCTTTTTGGGCGCCCGCGGCGACGGCGACGTCCGGGAATACTTCAACTGGGTGCAGCAGGATAATGATGTGAGACAGCGCTGGAATGCTTGCTGCGACCAACACGAGAAGCGGCTTGGCGAGTTCATGACCTTTAGAGAGAAGATGAAGTGACGCGATTCAGGATCTGCAAGGGCGACACGTGCGGATATAAGACGTGGGCTATTCTCATCTCACCAAGGACTGCTTGTTGCATTTGGCTTGCCTCTCCGTCGGATACGATACCCATATCGAGGATGCGGCGGCAACTACATCCTGTTTGGACTTGAGACGGCGAATTTGCTGGTGCGCGGCGGATGGGCAGTGGAGAATCGGCGCGGTTTTGTGATTGTGGTGAAGGAGAATAGGGAGGCACACTGGGACTGTCACTCATGGATCGCCCTTGAGTCTTGATTGTTGATGGCGCACGGTTTGCGTTCGAGCAGCAACGAACGATACACCTTGCTCTATCGGCAGACTTGGAGCTGTCATTCTCTGAAGTTGCTGTCTCGACCTTACCCGCCAGCCCATCGAGAATGACGCTGGGACTCTTGGCATAGAGCTGGCAAGTGGCGCCGGTGCCCGAAGGCGTTTGGCATAGAGAGGTGTGTTGATGGAGGCGCTGTGGCTTACTCGAGGTCGACACAGCGGCTTGGTTTGTAGGAAATACAACTGTATGCATAGAGTCGAGCGAATCTCTTGCCGCAAGAGCGACAAATCACTGTTTAATACTCCCTTGTTTTCAGACACGACCGGATTTGTCTCGGCCACTATCATCCTTGAGCAACTCATTTCGTGTGGGATGAGCATATGTAACGAAGACGACGTTTTGAGTGAGGCCACACGTAAGTGAAAGGTGGCACTACACCGAGGTGGTCTTTGTACAAGATGTCCTTTTTCGAGCTAGTTTTGTTGCGAATGTCAGAGAATGAATGGGTCAAATCGGGTAGTTCCTAGAACAGAATCAAGTTTGTGCGGCCCTTTGGCTATTCTCATGTTCGAAACGCGGACGATTGATCATTTGCATCCCTCAGCTAATGAATAACATGGCCATCTTGTATTGCTGAGATTTTGACTGTCTATTATGCCTTCCGCGTGGATTATAGTGAGGCCCTCCCCTCTCTGCAGCGTTGCCCCGTCACGAAAAGCCGTGTTCAGTCCCCCCTTTCTGAACCTGCCCTCCCTCCCCTAGTTCGCTCCTAGTCAGTGAGCAGTGCAGCAATTGTACTTTTCACAACACCTAGAGGGGGAGAGAGGAAATGCCGCAACTTCTGCCAGCTGCCGATCTGTTTTCCGTCCTCTTTTCCCTTTCTCCGCAGCCCGCACACACCCTTTTTCTCCCCTCTTCCCACAACTTGCAACTCCACGAAGCCAAGGCGACAACGCATCCCAACGCTTGATCAACATCACCGCTTGAGCTCTCCAAAGTATCTCATCTTCTAAAAGATCAACTATTCAACATGTCGGACACAGAGGCCACCCCCTCGAAGCTCATGCCATGGACCGAGGAAGCAAAGGTGAGTTGTAGGATTTGTTTCATCACCACTTCTCTCTCTACCGCCCCCTCTCTTGAGATGCCCACACCTCTTCCTCTTCCTCTTCCTCTACCTCCACCTCTGCTGTCTCTTCCTTGTCCGACTCTCTTCTCTTCCTGTTTGTCTTAACATGCTAAACTCTGGCTAGACTCAGTTTTTGCTTCGCATCATCGCTCAACTTCGAGCGGATGGGAAAAGCATCAACTGGACCCGCCTTCGCATGGAAGGTCGTACGACCAAATCACTGCAGAATCAGTGGACCAAAGTTAACAAGGAAATCTCCGAGATTGAGGACGCCGAAAATGGCGAGAACGGGACGGGCACCCCGACCAAGCCAAAGGCTACTCGTACGTATGCTGCTTTGAAATTCCACCGGCATGTCTGACTGGGATCTAGCTCGCAAAGGTCGTGCCAAGAAGGTTGAGAAGTCGGAGGCTGTCGTTGCCCCCGGAGCCAGTGACGATGAGGGCGGGTCGGAAGCCAAGGTGACTCCAAAGAAGCGTGGTCCCGCTGGTGAGTTCCAAGTCTCGTAGCGCATGGTATCGCGATTCCTGAGCATCAACAGCTAACATCGAGAGTACAGCGCGTCGCGGTGGCGGCAAAGGCTCTGCCAAGAAGGTCAAGCGAGCGGAGTCGGACGATGAGGGAGCAAAGAAGGAAGAGGCTTCCGACGAGGATGATGGTGCCGAGAAGGATTAGCTGCGATGTCGACATGGCCACTCTGTCTCTGATGCCTAGGCCTACGATTGTTTGCGGGCTGGATACCCTTCGCTTTGCTCTACTTGCCAGAGGGGGGGAACAGGGAGACGGATGGGTTATGAAGACAATACGCATCACGACAGGATGAGACTACAGTGAGGGTCGTGAATGAAAGCAGAGGTTCCCCGGACAGTCATGATCGAGTGCCCTTGTCTTTGGTGAGAGGCTGTGATGCGAGGGCGCAGCTGGCCAGGTCGAGGCGCACTTACGACAGAGACAAAGTGGGATCAGAGACGCAGGGCAGCAGCTCAACTTACATGGCAAGCTGAAGCGAGCCAACAGCCGATGCCGGCAGACCAGAGGCCGGGGGGGGGCGGCGCTAAACAAGGCGTCGTCGAAATCCGTTTGTCTAACCATGCTTGGCGTGGTCTCATTGGAGAGGGGGACGATGGTGTGGAGTTGGGTCGAGGTTGCTTCCAAGAGCTGATCTTGCAGCGGCCCGAAGCCATCGAGTCCATCGAGTCCCTTGGGGCGACCGGGCATGACGCGTGGGGGAGGGTGTCGTCTAGGCCCTCTTGGCCCTTTACCTCGTGAGGCAGCGGTGCATTGATCAAGGGAGGGGGGGATCACTTCCTCTCTCGCGATGGCCGATGGGCAGCGTGGGATGAAGCGGATGAGGATGACGCGGACGCAAAGCCCGCATGGAACAAATGCTGCGGTGGACGGCAGGCTCTCGGGGGCTCGGACGCGATACACGCCAGAGCCGTCGTCGCCTGTGTTGAGGATGGAAAGTGTGAAAATGCCAGATACTAATACTAGTAAGTATGGAGGAGGGTACTGAAAAATAATATGAGTGGTATCTTAAGGTCTCCGTACGGATAGCGGCTGGCGCTGTAATTACTGCACCTGTACTGAGACACCACCATTAAGAGAGGCCTAGCGCCGCCGGGAGCTCTGGATCGGTACCTCTGGGGCCCGAGACGGATGGATGAAGGATGGGTGCAGGGTACACGCTCGCGAGGGCACTGTGCCGAAGCACCTTCTCGCTAGCAAAACTCCACCCCGTCCGGCACGGCGAAGTACCCTACGGTCGTCCACACACCCAGGGGCAGTTGGCGCTCGCCCAGAGCTGGCCAATTTTCAACCGCATCGACACGGCCGCTGCACCTCTTGGATCCTGCTGATCCACCCCATCGAGAGCTGCATCCCTTTCGCCTCCCCTCCCCCACCGACAACGACATCACATGGACAGGCAGTTCATGCACCATCCTTTGCAATAGCCGGCGACAGTCCCTCGCTCGAGCGCGCCTTCGTTCGTATCTTGGATGCGCTGCCACCCTACGTCGCCATCACGAGCCCGACGAGCCTGCAGCTGCACCCGGTCCCGGCCTGGCAGCAGACAAGCCCTTAAAGTCTCTGTCCCCTCTCGCTCGCGCCCTCGCTGCCCCCGTTACTACGCTCCCGCCGTCTCTGCTCTGCCCCGTCGCGCCGGCCCCTTCAGGGCGTGGGATTTCCTCGTACCACCCCGGACGCCAGAGCCGCCATCATGAACGGCTCCCGAGCTTTGGCCGCGGGCAAGAGAAAGGCCCCGGCCTCTCCTGGCCAGGCGCCCCCCGCCAAGCGCTCCGTCAACGGCAAGCTCCCGGCCGACGACGTCACCCCGGACATTGACATTGTCGACTACGACGACGACGACGACTCTGCCCTCTCCGACGACCTCCACCCCCATGCTGCTCTGTACGTCGGCACGCCGAGCAGCCTGGGCGAATGGCAGGACACGATCCAAAAGGTTGTCCGCAACGTCGTCGCCATCCGCTTCTGCCAAACGTGCTCCTTCGATACCGACCCGGCCCTGACCAGCGAGGCAACCGGCTTCGTTGTCGACTCGGAACGAGGGTACGTGCCGCCTGCCTGGTCGGCCGCTCACTCGCTCCCGTGCTGACAACCTGGCCTTCTTCTACAGATACATCATGACGAACCGGCACGTAGTTGGCTCCGGTCCCTTCTGGGGCCACTGCGTCTTCGACAACCATGAGGAGGTCGACTGTTACCCTGTGTACCGCGATCCCGTCCACGACTTTGGCATCCTCCGCTACGACCCCAAAGCCATCAAGTACATGCACGTCGACGGCTTGGATCTCAGGCCAGACCAGGCCAAGGGTATGTGCTGACGCTTTCCAAATACACAAACATCCTGCGCGGGACCTTGGCTGACCTTGACTCCCTAGTGGGTGTTGAGATCCGGGTTGTAGGCAACGATGCCGGTGAGAAGCTCAGTATCCTGTCCGGCGTCATCAGCCGCCTGGACCGGAATGCGCCCGAGTACGGCGAGGGCTACAGCGACTTCAACACGTGTTACTACCAGGCAAACGCTGCCGCCAGCGGCGGTAGCTCTGGCAGTCCGGTCGTGAGTAAGGACGGTTCGGCGGTCGCCCTGCAGGCTGGCGGTCGCTCCGACGGAGCCTCGACAGACTACTTCCTTCCCCTGGACCGCCCCCTGCGTGCTCTTCAGTGCATTCAGCAGGGACAGCCCGTCACTCGTGGCGATATCCAGTGCCAGTTCCTGCTCAAGCCCTTTGACGAATGCCGCAGGCTGGGTCTCAGCCCGCACTGGGAGGCGGCCACGCGAGAGGCCTTCCCCGACGAGACAAACATGCTCGTGGCCGAGATTGTCCTGCCGTCGGGCCCTTCGGCCAACAATATTGAGGAGGGCGATGTCCTCATCAAGGTCAACGGCGAGCTCCTCACGCAGTTCATTCGCCTGGACGACATCCTCGACTCCAACGTCGGAAAGCCCATCAAGCTCCAGCTGCAGCGTGGCGGCCAAGATGTCGAGGTGGAGCTCGAAGTCGGAGACCTTCACCGTATCACGCCAGACCGCTTCGTCACCGTGGCCGGGGCCAGCTTCCACGATCTCTCGTACCAGCAGGCCAGGCTATATGCGGTGCCGGTCAAGGGTGTCTACGTGTGCGAATCTGCGGGATCGTTCAGGTTCGACAACACCGACAACGGATGGATCGTCCAGACGGTCGATCACAACAAAGTCCCGGATCTCGAGGCCTTCATCGAGGTCATGAAGAAGATTCCCGACAAGGCCAGGGTTGTGGTAACGTACAAGCACCTGCGCGACCTGCACACCCTCAACACAACAGTCATTTACGTAGACCGGCACTGGTCGTCCAAGATGAAGCTGGCCGTCCGAAACGACGTGACGGGGCTGTGGGACTTTACCGACCTAGGAGAACCACTCCCGCCGGTCCCGCCGGTCCGCCGGTCCGCGTCGTTCATCGAGCTCGACCACATGCCGCACCCGGGCATCGCCGAGTTGATTCGGAGCTTTGTCCATGTCAACTGTACCATGCCCGTAAAGCTGGACGGCTTCCCCAAGAACCGCCGCTGGGGCATGGGCTTGGTCATTGATGCCGAGAATGGCCTGGTCCTCATCTCAAGAGCCATTGTGCCCTACGACCTGTGTGACATCACCGTGACCATTGCCGACTCGGTCATTGTCGAGGGCAAAGTCATTTTTCTGCATCCGCTCCAAAACTACGCCATCATCAAGTACGACCCGTCGCTCGTCGACGCCCCCGTCAAGAGCGCCCGCATGAGCAGCGAGCACCTCACCCAAGGCGCCAAGACGTACTTTCTAGGCTACAACAGGATCGGACGGGTCGTGCATGGCGCCACCACCGTCACCGAGATCACGGCCGTGGCCATCCCGGCCAACTCGGGGGCCCCGCGATATCGCGCCGTCAACGTCGATGCCATTACCATTGACAGCAACCTTGGGTCCACGTGCAACAGCGGCGTGCTTGTTTCCCCCGACGGTACGGTGCAGGCGCTCTGGCTCTCGTACCTCGGCGAACGGTCGCCTTGCAGCCAGCGAGATGAGGAGTACTACCTGGGCCTGGGCACGTCGACGCTGCTGCCCGTCGTTTCGGCCATTCAGAAGGGGGAGACGCCGCAGCTGCGCATGCTCTCGGTCGAGTTCAGATCGGTGCAGATGTCGCAGGCCCGCGTAATGGGGGTGTCTGATGAGTGGATCAAGAAGGTCACGCAGGCCAATCGGTCGCACCACCAGCTCTTCATGGTCAGCAAGAGAACTTTTGAGCGAGGCCAACATCCAGTGTCTCTGCTCGAGGGGGACATTGTGTTGACGCTGAACGGCAAGATTTGCACTACCATCTCGGACTTTGATGTCATGTACTCCAGCGAGCTGCTGGACGCCGTCATTGTCCGCGAGTGCGAAGAGCTGCATCTGCAGCTGCCCACGGTCGCAGCCGACGACATGGAGACGGACCACGCCGTGTCCTTTTGCGGCGCTGTTCTCCATCGCCCGCACCAGGCCGTGCGACAGCAGATTAGCAAGCTTCACAGCGAGGTCTATGTCTCCAGCCGAATCCGGGGCTCGCCGGCCTACCAGTACGGCGTGGCCCCTACCAACTTCATCACACACGTGAATGGAAGGCCGACGCCTGATCTGGAGTCATTCATCGCAGCGACCCGAGAGATCCCAGACAACACATGTAAGTCCATCCTATGCGCCGCAGATGCTTATGTTGGAGGCTAACATTGGCCAGATTTCCGTCTCAAGGCGGTGACGTTTGACAGCGTGCCTTGGGTTATCACGATGAAGAAGAACGACCACTACTTTCCCACAATGGAATGGGTCAAAGACGGCAACGAGGCATGCGGGTGGCGACGTGCGACATACGAGGGCACCCAGGTATTCCAAGGGGAATCCATTGACGGAGTGCCGCCTGTCGTTGAGGACACCGAGATGGAGTGAAGTGGTGGCCGATGACTGGTCGACGGGTGAAGCTTTCACCATGTGCGATAGACGCTTTGAGTTACTAGGGGCCTGGGCATTGGATCGGGGCGTTATGCGGCTATCAAGGGATCCGATGCAAACCTTTGGGGAGCCGACTGGTAGCAGCCGAAGCCTGTAGGCTAGAGGACGGCCCAGACCAGACGCCGGCGACCTGTGTGGACAGCAAGGGAGGTGGGCTTATAGACGGACGGTTATCGTGTCTCTGCCCGGGACGGAGCTACTGGTTGTAGGGGCCATGTCGGTCGATGTATCAATCAGAGCTGGCTGGAGACTTGGCTGCTGGCCGTCGGGCTGTACATGAGACGACGAGCTGGGCGATGATGAGGGTATAAACACGTGCCTCGACTCCGAAGAGTTTCCTGCTGGCGGGGCGACGATCCGAAGCCGTGGTGGAGCCGGCGAGTCGGCGACGGATGCTCCGGTGGGGTTGCTGCGCCCCGCGCCCCGATTAGCTGCTTGATACGGGTACACGTCAGTAGGTCGCAAGTACCGGTACTGCCTGTGCTTCGTCGATGCCATGCATGGATGGACCTGGCGTCTTTCCAAGTCAGCAACCAAAGAAGACCAGATCAACTCGGGTCCTACGTCGCCGCCATAGTTCACGTGTGCTCCTCCTCCTCCTAGCATCTGGCCAAGGCCACACCAAGACGCGGCATGCCTCCGCAGGCGACCTTTGTGGTATGTGCCGCAACTCCAACCCCCCCCCCCCCTAAACGGTGGCCCTCTGACAGGAGCCGGTGACGCAATGGGCAGCTAAGGCACAAGGGCAGACGAAGCTGAAGGTGCAGCTCAAACTGGCCATCGCGAGGCTGCGCATGGTGCAGCAGCGTGACGAGCAGTTGGGCAAGACGCACCGGAGGGCCATGGCGCAGCTCCTCGAGACGGGCAAGGTGGACTCGGCCACGATCCGCGTCGAGAACATCATCCGCTCCGACATTGCCAGCGAGCTGCACGAGATGCTTGAGCTCTACTGCGAACTGCTGCTGGCGCGCGCCGGGCTGCTCGAGGGCCCCGTGTGCGACCCGGGGCTCGAGGAGGCCATCAAGAGCATCCTCTACGCGGCGCCAAAGACGGAGATTAAGGAGCTCGGCACCGTGCGCGTGCTGCTGGGCGACAAGTACGGCAAGGAGTTTGTCATGCAGGCCATGGACAATTCCGACGGCAAGGTCAATGAGAAGGTGGTGCAGAAGCTGAGCGTCGAACCGCCGAGAAAGGAGCTCGTCCAGGGGTACCTCGAGGAGATTGCAAAGGCGTACGGCGTCAACTGGCCGAAGCGCGACAAGGCAAGCCCGCCGCCCCCTATGATAGACTCAGACGACGACGACGACGACGACGATAAGCCGTCGGGGGCTCAGGCGCAGAAGGTGCCGGCGGAGCAGCAGCCCACCGCGGCGGCGGAACGGAAGCTCTCTAAGGGGGAGGAGGAGCTGAGCCGCGCGACGCCGCCGAGGGGGCTTGGAGGGCCGCGGAGTCCGCTGACGGTGACGCCGCCGCGGATGACGACGGACAATGTGCATCCGCGGGTCAAGCTGGGCTCGATGGAGCTCAAGCCCAACAAGAAGATGGAGGAGGCGACGGGCAAGCGGGAGCCTGAGGGGGCGGTGCCGGACATAAGCGATCTGGAGAGGAGGTTTGCGGCTCTCAAGAAGAGGTGACGGTGGAGGACAGGGGTCATGCTCGTTGATCAGGGGAAGGGAAAGGGGGGGGGGGGGGAGGGGGGGGTTCGGCTGGTTGAAGCGCCTCTTATGACATGATGGCCCGAATGCAACGGAGTCAATGAGCAATGGTCTAGGTGCGGTTATTCTCTCCCCTTCTGTCTATTGGCGCGATGGTATTCTGTGATTGGGTGAACGAATCGCCTGCTGGCCTGGCAACCGCCTGGCAGCCGGCGCTGGCCCTGAACAGGCTGGCGGCCTGAGGTTGATGCCTCGGCTGCTTGCCCTGCGTCTCCTGCGAGTATAAATATAGACGCGTGTTCTGTGTTCCGTCGCGCGAGGCAGAGAGAAAAAAACATCACCTTCCACCTCGCCTTCGCCTGTGGACGCTTCGTCTGTGGCACTTCTCGACAGCAACCGCGCCTTGGTTGTACAACAGAGATCACCAAGTCCACCTCACTCATCTTCTTGTCTCCCTTTTCTACTCTTCTTCACTTGTTGACGTCTGCTTTTGCCCACATCGTTCTTCCTGGATCGACTCGGAAGAGTTTTCTCCCTCCAAAGTCACCCACCCTCAGCACTGTTTTCATCCAGCCTTCTGACCTTTGGCCCCCTTCCATCCCAACGATCTATTGCCTCAGGAGAGTATGGACATGATGGATTCCCGAGACGAGATCCTGCGCAACGTCCGCGAGGTGCTCGGCTGCAACGGTGTGCGCCGCCTCGAGGACCTGGCCCCGATGCGTCAGGAGACCATAGAGCGACGCCTCACGGCCGCCGCGAGCAAGCTGCAGCCCGCCAGCATGGCCTCCATCTACGCCACCTGGCTTCAGGAGCAGGCCTACAGCGGCTGCGCTGCGCCGCCCGCCGCCGTCGTCGACCGCTGGTGCCACTACCTCGCTCGCCGCGGCTGCGGCAAGGCCATGCTCCAGGTCATCTGGATGCAGGCTGCGCTCACCGTGCTCGACAAGTGGTGCGCCATCATGAGCCCGGAGCGCGTGCGGGATGTGAGAAAAGACGTCTGCGATGCCATTGCTGCTGCCTACCCCGGGGAACAAGACAGCAACGTCCGCCAACATGACCGCATGGATGTCGAGGCCGCCACCGCGTCCGGTCCTTCGGTCCCTGGCCGTAGGGGAGTCGCCGCTGACGACGCCATGCAAGTCGACGACGCCCGCGCGTCCTTTGCCGCTCGAGATGCGGGAGCGGGCCCCGCAATGGTGAGGGCCACCCGGGACACGCCCTCCGACTCGGGCAGCGAGCTGACCATGGAGGAGCGTGAGAGTTCATTCGGCGGTTCCACAGCTGCCAAGACTCAGTACACGGGCGACCAGTACAAGGTTGGAGGTATGTATAGTTCTCTTGTTCTTCTTTGTGTCCATCTCGAGGCATTTCTGACAGTTCATAGGCCACTATGCTACCGACTCTTCTGACCAGCCAGAGCTGACCGAGGATTCTTCGTCCCAGCCCGGCCTTGTCTGCCAGGTCTGCAGTGCTCAGGGCGACCATACCACGGAGAATTGCCCTGGAAGGAACTTCGGATATGGCCCACGTTCGTCCTCTGGTTCTAGCTCTCCTCGGGCAGAACGTCATGTCTCACACCAGTCTCCAGTTCCGCTTCGACGAGGCAAAAGCACCCAGGCCCATGCCGAGTTGCAGCAGGCGACGCAGAACAAGCAGCCCAGTTCCCTCGGAAGCCTTCAGGACCTGTCTCTCGGATCAGGAAGCAAGGCCAAGGGAGGCAATGCTGATCTTCTTGGAGTCTCGGCGTCATCTCATGGCAGCACCCGGGGCCCGGCGGGATCAGCTCGCACCATGGATCGCTTGTCGCCCTAGAACGACGTAAGTTGGCCAAGCAATACGCAGACGCCGTGTTCACGAAGCTAACACGTGAAACAGGACAGCAAGGGCCATGGTGACGATCAGAAGTGGAAGCCAATCGAGGAGATGAACGAGGTAGAGCTCGAGGCTTTGCGCCAGGCTGATGCATTTCTCGCGAAGCTCTCTGCAGAGGCAGGGGCCGCGCAGGCAATGGCAGCCAGCGCACCTGCCCCCCCGCCTCAGTCCACGGCCGCCAAGTCGGACCACGCGCCCAAGAAGTTGAAGACGAGGTCGGGCCGCGCGCGGATCCCCACTCTTGGTGCGCTGGTCGAGCCGGCTCGCCCCAAGCCCAAGGCTCCCAAGGTCCCGGCGGTGGAGCCCACGGACGAGGACCAGGAGATGGGGGACAGCGGCGCTCCAAGCACGCCCAAGGCGGCAGAGCCTCCCGTGGAGCTCGGCGTCACGACCATGCCGCTGACCAAGGACGGGCCGTTCTCTGCGGAGACGCTGGCGCTTTTCGAGACTCGAGGCAACGTCTGGGTCAACCAGGTGCCGCGCAAGACGGCGCTGGAGATGTGGGACGAAATGGACGCGAAGAAGGCGGCCGAGGAGGAAGCGAACAAGGCCGGGAATAAGGCGGCCGAGGAGGGCGAGAACAAAGCTATGGAGAAGTAAAGTGCGAGGAGGTAGAGGGAAGGAGATGCAAATCAAGACGTTGCGAGGCGGAAACCGACAGGTGGAGTGAATGAGAGTCTAGTTGGTGGCCGGCTTCGCTGAGTTTGTTTCCCATCCAATGCCAATGCCTCGGCCAGAATGAGGATGAAGAAGCTGTTCCCGTGAATGGCGCAATGTCTCTTAGTCCAGCTTGTCGAGATGCTCCAGCCTGGTCAAGACAACTTGCTTGCTCGTCTCCTCGATCTCGCCGGCGAGAAAGACCTCGTCCAAGATGGCGTAGACCTTGTAAAAGTTGAAGACGAGGTCGAGCTCGCAGACGTTGCCGAAGAAGGCGTCGAGGACCTCGACAAAGAAGTGGATGGCCTCGAGGAAGGCAAGCTCGTTGTCGTTTGTGTCGACGCAGGCGCAGAAGAAGAGCCCGGCGTAGCGGCGATAGACGATCTTGTTGTTACGGAACTCGACAAAGTTGGACTGATACTTTTGGTCACGCGGCGCGACGAGGCGGTGGACTTCGCCCTTGAGCTTGATCTTTTCCTCGTCGCTGTATGGGGCGTACCATTTGGCGAGACGCGTCTTGCCCCTGTTTCGGAGGGTGGTTAGCCGTGGACAGCAGCGAGCGGGTGGCAAGGGAGGGCGCGCACTGTCGGTTTTGGATGAGGATAAAGGATAGCATGGCGACGCTGGGTTGTCGGAGCTGGAGATGCCCGGATGAGGGTGTCGTTGGAATCCGGGGATGATGGGAGGTGGTGGCTCGGCCGAGGGGTATTCGTAGACAGCGATTGATTGGCCAGGCAGAATCAGTGCTCCTCTATACTGCACCTACCCTGCAGGCTGCAAGTTTACCTCTTGTCGGGGCCTTTGGCGCTTCAAAGGCCATGTTGGATCTACGGATTGATTAATTAAAGTAGGTAGGCAAGAAGGTAGCCGCGACTGAGGCGCCGCAGTAGCTTCTAGTAGCCTGTAGTACAGAGCCCAGCAGTGTGAGTGCCGGGGAGAAACAATGCCTTGAACCCTCAATCAACAGCGCGCCCGCGTGCGGCCACCGCCTTGTTAGCTCTCGTCGTACCATGTACGGAGTCTGGGGTGGAGCCATGGCTTCGGCCGTTGTACCCGGCACACATGGAGCTACGCGGTGGGCTTCCTCTTCCTCTCTGGGCCATGACTCGTTCCGCCTTTTCCCACTTCAACTAACCTTCTCCATGGCGGGCGTTTTCTTCAAACCATTCAATCACCATGAAGTGTCCCATCCCGTCAGCCCCCCGACCAGTCCGCCGCCATTGACCTCTCCCCTGCTCGACGTCCACCAACCAAACGGACATCCCGGGTTCCTTGGACTCGACATCCGCCGGAGCCGCTCCGTTGCAATGACATCGGCCTGGAGATCCTGCCCGTCATGGCACCTTCAAATCCCCTGCAATGGCTCATTGTCATGATCTGGGGCCGCTGTCAGACCAATGCGCCGTGGCAGCGCATGGTCAAATACTCTCTCGCCTCGACCATCGCCCTCATCATCGCCTTGCTCCCTCCCTTTAAAGCCAACGCCAACTTCCTGACACCCATGGTCACCGTCTTTGCCCATCCCGGTCAAAGAATGGGCCTTATGATCGAGGATCTCCTCATGGTGCTCGTTGGCTCTCTTATCGGCTTGTCCTGGTCACTGCTGGGCCTTCATCTGTCAAGTCTCGTCCAGGCCTCCAATTTCCCGGCCGCTTACACCATTCGCGGCCTCTTTCTTCTGGTCTCCGTCCTTGTTCACGGCTATGTCAGGTCATCGAGCCCGCGTCTACTAGGCGCTGTTCTTTTTCTCCTCATCGCTTCCTTGTTGGCTATCCAACTGCCCGGTACCGCCTCAAGTTCCCTATTCACAACAATTTACATCCCAATTCTGCTCGGCGCGGGTGTATTGTTGTTTGTCAACCTCGCAATCTTCCCAGAGCTATCAAGCAGCTACCTGGGATCCTCGACCATCGATACCCTGTCGGAGACTATGGACACCTTGACTCATGCAACTCACTGGTTTGTTACCCCGGGCGGCGATCCTGATGACAATCAGCAGCAAACCAGCCTCGCGTCCACATGTAACGCAGAGAATCCTGGCAAGGGTGCAAAACCAGGCTTCATACGGAAGTTCTTCTCCCAGTTTCCCAATCCTTTTCAATCCTCGAAGACTGGGTCCATTCTCTCCTCCCTGCCTCTTCATTCTACCAAGTTGTCTCACCTGACCGGCCAAAAGTCCAAGCTTCGGGGTCAACTCTCCCGCTGTAGGGCGGCCCAAGACGAGATCAACTTTGAAATCTGCCTATCGCCACTGCCACCAACCGCTATGAAACCAATCAGCCTTCAGTACATGGCAGACATGGTTCAAAATGTCCTCACCTTGATTGGGGCGTGCGAGAACAAATTCGTCGTCGTTGGCAAGGATGACCACATGGGTGATTCGTCGACGATCGAAGAGGAGCAGGATCTGCCAATAACTCCGCAGTACGCAGAAGGGACTCAAAAATCCATTTCCATGGCAACCCCAGACGTCGGCGAGAAACCCAAGAAGACGAAAGGGGCCTATTTCAACCAGGTGGACAGCGTCAGGCCTATCAGAGAACTCGAGGCGAGCAGTGCTGAGTTGCTAGAGTCGATTCTCGAGCGGGTCCGAAGCCCTGTTCAAGAGTTCCAGGCGTCTTTGACAGAGGCTGCCAACCTAGTTGTCTTGTGTGTCGCCTACTGTTTCGATGTCCCGAAGCTTCCCTCTGGTGCTCCTGCACCGAAGGGCATACCTTTGGAGGAGATTGACTTGCGCATCGATCATTTCTCTGACGCACTGGCACTCTTCGATTTCCAGTCCGCCGAGGAACTCAAGCAAGCCACAATGGATCAGTCGGGTCAATCAATCGATTTTTTGCCCGGTATGGAGACCTTCTTGGCATCATCCTTTATTCTTGCTTTTCGAGACTCGGCAGCGCAACTATTGGAGATGCTGCGCCACTTACGACGTCTCATTGAAAAACGACAACTTCACCATGATCGGTCGCGACTTTGGATGCCTCAGTATACAAGTCTTCGCCAATGGCTTGCGACTGGCGGAGATGTTGACACCAGGGTCCCTCATAAAAAGACAAAGAAAGCCCAGCGCTCGAGCAATGGCACTCGAGTCGCCCCAGCGTCCGCCAAAGACCAGGCAATGCCAGAAAGTGATGAGACAGACTCCCACCGTGCTGCGGATGAAGAGCCATCAAGTAGCCAATCCGGACAGCGGGAAAGGCAGAAAGAGGAGGATTCTGCCGAAGCTAAAAGGGGCTCCGGGAGAAACCCGAATCATCCAAGGCCCAGCCGGATCATGAGAATGAGGGCAAAGGCAGCCGATGCCATGGAGTGGGCCCAAGGTTCGGACGACGTGGACTACGCGCTGAAGCTGGCAATTGCCGTGTTCCTTGTCACTTGGCCGGCTCTGGTGGCTTCCTGGACCTCGTGGTATGCCGATGTTCGTGGCGTTTGGGCGCCCATGCAACTGATCCTGGTCTTCGAAGTGGCCATCGGCACTTCGGTGTTTTCGTTTCTCATCCGACTCTTTGGTGTCGTGTTTGGCTGCGTGATTGGATTTCTCGCGATTCAGATCGGTGGGGGCAATCGCATTGTGTTGGTTTTCGTCGTGCTCTTCGGGCTCGTTCCTTCAATCTACATCCAAGTGGCTACCAAATATGTCAAGGCTGGCATGATTTCCATCGTGTCGATGACGGTTGTTGCTCTTGGTAAGTCAAATGCCCCGCCTGGCCCATCGCTCGGAGAGAGACTTACGTTTGCTCGGTCAGCTGCGGTGAATGGGAGCCCTCCTGCGTACGAGGTCTTCTACAAGCGTCTTGTGGCCTTTTTAGTGGGCGGTTTCGTCGCCATGCTGGTCGAAGTCGTCGTTGCTCCTGTCCGAGCGAGGGATCGTTTGGTGGAGTCTCTGTCTGCTTCTGTTCGCCAGGTTCAGAAAATGCAAGCGGCTCTTGCTATCGGGATTGATGGGCCAGAGAGACCAAATCTCCAGTCCCCAGCTCTTCTTGCCCGCTTCGATCGTTCCCGAGACAAGGCACAAGGCGCACTCACAGCGGCTGAGACATTTCTTCCGTTCTGTCTCAACGAGCCACGTCTCAAGGGCAGTTTCAAGCCGCTGGCGCCTATCTACGAGGAAACCATCTACGTTCTTCACCAGATTATTGATCGGATGGACAATGTGGTGCAGCTTCGCAGGGCGTACGGCTCGTCTATTCTCGAAGACTTGAACCCAAAGGTTTACGCATACCGAAGGAACGTGGCTGCCAGCAGCACGTTGATGCTCTTCTTGATCAACGAGGCTTTGACTACGTGGTTACCGCTTCCCCAGTTCATCCCGTCGGCCCGGCTCGCACAGCTTCGGCTAATCAATCGCGTCCGCGAGATACTCACCTCGGAAAACGCGGGCAAGTCAAATGTGGACCTCGCGAAGAGTCTGGGGGTCAGGGTTGAGCCGGATGAAGAAACGGCCAGTCTCATCACGAAGCGCAAATTCCTCTCGTGGAATGCCAGCACGGCTGGCCAGATGGAGATTATTGAGTATCTCGAGGAACTCGTCGAGTTGGTCAAGCTGCTGGTGGGCGTCAATGCTTTTCGGAGCGGCATGCTGGAACGGCCCACATACAGACAGTATATTGGGCGGATGGACGCGAACCGGGAAGCCGCCGCGACGGCTCTACCGGGTCGCAGAGGCGCGCCGGCGCAGCCTGAGGGGCACGAGGGCGTTGCTCTCGATTCGTCAAAGGGGTCGCGGTCTGGGTTCCCGCTGAAACGGGCGGCCACGGTTTTACAGCTGGCTGACAGACTCAGAGGAAAGGGTGGGGATGCGGAAGCCGACGGCGCGAGCGCAACACAGGACGACGGCATCCCTCGAAGCTTGCAAAGAGTTGGCACCAGGTTGAGGCAGGACAGCACCGTCGTCAGGAGAAGGGCGTTTACGATAGGGAATCGTCCAGGGTAAAGATTTTTTATTCCATTATCCTACGATGCGCTCGCTGGCATAAGGCAACCCAACCGCTTAAACATGTAGAGACCTGGGCGGGTATCATGCCGGAAACCGTACAATAGCTGTAATTATGAAAACAAAGCATGCCAATCGCTTCCCCAGAGAGCCGCCCGTGCCATGGTCGTCTTTTCTTTCCCATAGTCTGCCCTCGCAACGCCATGTTGGTGACCGAAATCGAAGCCGGGGCTGCTGCCGAGCCTAGAGTGGCTCAGATGATGTTGAGGGGCGTGTGCTGCATCAGCCTGGTGCCGTTGAGCATGGCGCGCGACTTCTTGGGTCTCTGCTGGAACCTGCGAAAGGCCTCCTGGACGTGGCGGGGCTCGATGGGCGTCTTGCCCTCGCTGGGGGGGTCGAAGAGGCCCTGCTGGAGCTTGCGCTTCTTGGCGCCGACGTTGTCGCCGCCGCTCTGGGCGCGGGCCATGTCCTCCTGCTCCTTGGCCTTGAGGGCCATTTCGGTCAGGGTGGCGACCATTTCGAAGGTGAGGAAACCGAGAATGTCGACAATGTCGTCCGAGGGCTTGCTGTCGGTGACGATGCCGAAGCCAGCCCACTCGCGGAAGCGCTTGCCCTTGCGCCAGGTGAAGGAGGCCTGGCGGTACTCGGACCACGTCACATACTCCTCGCGCGTCATGACCTTTGTGCGCTCGTCGGCCTTGCGGAGGCGCTGAAGCGTCATGTAGTTCATCTCGTCCTCCTCCTCGTCGTCCTCGTCGTCGCGCTCAGGTACTTCGACCGGGTAAAAGGACGCCGGCTCCCAGGGAAGGCCGACCTTGGCCTTCTTATTCTTCTTGGCGCCTTCGTCAACGGGGCCGCCGGGCACGACGCCGCCTCCGGGGTCATCGCCAGCTGCCAGGTCGGCGTCGGCGCCCTTGTCGTCCGAGTCCTTGACGTTCTTGCGCACGTCCTTCCACGAGAGGAAGGTGCGCAGACGGGACACCTTTGCCTGGTCGTGGCGGATCTGAAAGATGAGGTCGTTTGTGCTGATGGACTTGGACCCCCGCCGCGAGGCCAGCTCGGTGCAGTTGCGCAGCTGTTTCGCCAGCGTGAGCGGGCGAACCTTTGAACAGGAGAGGAGCTGGGTTTGCCTACCAGCTCAATCACCTGCTGCCGCACGATGTCTTCGATGATACTTGAAGTTTCAACCGAGGGTTCTGCCGTCTCGCCAGAAACGTACATCATCTGCCGAACCGTGTCAATCATCAAGTCTCTCGCAGTTGGCGGCGGTCTTCTTGTAGTCTTCCGGGCTCGAGGTGCGGTTGGTGCCATGTTGGGCAACAAATCCTCGTGGCTGAGATCCTGGTTGTTTCCCCCAGTGTTGGGCGATGAATCCCCTTGCCTCCGATCCTGGTCGCTTGACTCGATGTTTTGCGGGAGGAACAGACTGAACTCGAGCGGTTACGGCTTCTGCATGACCGGATGCTTCCCCCAGACAAGGCTGACAGGTGCAAAGCTCTCGAAACAGTGGGGTGAGGTTCCGACTTGGCTTGCAAAGCCTCTGGTGGTTTTGGTCGTGGCCTGCTCCAGCTTGAGAGTTGCTCTAGCAAAGGCGAAGAAAACAGGAGTGCTGGTTGGGTGCGTTGCCCGGACGCCCGGGGAAAACGACGGCCGGCATTGAATCCAAGGCTTGTGACGTGGGGGCTTGACTGGTGGGAGATTGGCCGTTTTGAAAGGCCTCCGGGTCGTCAAGATATGGCGGGTGATGCGGACTTGGTTTCCATGACGAAATGTTGCCGACGAAATGTTGCCGGCCATGGTCGGGAAGCCGAGATCTCCCTCACTTACCCATCCGCAAGCTGAAGCCCATGAAGACAAGAAGAGACCGCCAGAGGTACAGAGCGAGACGACCTACCTGGCTGATTTCCTGGCGATACTTGTACGCCTTGCTGTCCCTTGTTTCCGCCATGGTTGCGACGCTGGTTAGTTCCGGGACACGTGCGAAGATGACGGTTGAGTGGATTCAAGACGCCCCTTTGCCTCTGACGAGACAGATACGGTGTCTCTTCCGCCAACCAAAGGCCGAGGCTCGGCTGGCAACTTGGAGACGACGACGTCGGCGGCTCACGACGGCAGGGGCTGGTGTTAGGTGAGGCTCGAGAGGAGCCTGTATGTATGCGGTGCGAGAAACCAACGGATTGGAGCAAGGCGTGACTATATAATATGAGAAGCGTGACAAAGAAAAGGGAGGTTTGTAGAAGCATTGACTGGGGTAATGGTGATGAGATGAAGGGCGGTTGTTGAAAGCGGGACCTAGGTAGACAAAGACCGGGCGCTTAGCGTCGGGCTTGTATCTCCGGCGTATCTTTCATTGCTCGGGAAATGCTTCTCTACTAGGATATTTACTTTTAGTGTACATACGGCAGCTCAGATGGATGCTAACGTACAGTGTCTGTGCTCATGGTGACGTTCTGGTACTGTGTATACGTCACATGACCATTAAATCGCGCTGGCGGAATCATTAGGCCCTGACTATCCAGCACACATAAAAACCCTAGCTAGTTTTTAGGCACTTAGGTTAAGACTAGGGTTAGCTTAGGGCCTAGAGTTAGCTATATTAATATTTTACTTTAATATTTAAAAAGTATATAGGTAAGGCTGCTTAAGTACTCTCAATCTTATGCGCCACAGGCTCCCCACCCTTTGTGTGCCGGATAGTCAGAGCCGTGTGCTGGTTAGTTGGGCCCAATCATTACCGAGTTCAGCAGAGCCCTTGCTCACTTCTACGCCGTCCCATGCGTGAATTAGTCGTCTGCTCGCCCGACCAAATCGTGTCCCGTGCCTGGACATCTTCGTCTGAGGCTGCTGCATTATGCCGTTTTCCAGTGACGAAGCACACCAACATTCAGCTGCCGTCGTTGGGCGCATGCCTGGTATTCTGTACATCTCCAACGCCTCTGCCATTGGAAAGAGGCATACAAGACTCGGGGTCTACATGCGTCCACCCATATTCGCCATGGCTCTTCTCCCAAAGTCGGAAAAGCCCGTCTGCTTGGCCCCCCAGGCCACCACGTAGTGCGCCGCCAGCAGCTGCCACTCCTCGACCTCGTCCAGCCCTTCCAACGCGTCCAGTCTCGCCTTTTCCTGGCTGTCGACCCATGTCTCCCAGGCATCCTTGATGGTCGCGTGTCCAACCGTCTCGAACCCCGCATCCCGCAGCCGCTCCTCTTGGCCCCGGGGATCCCTGTACCGCTCCAAGCTGGGCATATAGATCTTGCGCGCCTTGAGATTCGACATCATGACTTTACCAAAGCTGTCGTCCAGTGGCATGGGCTCGTAGACGGCAATGGCCAGGCGGGCTATCCTCGATTGAAACAAGTCGAGGACGCGCTCCGAGTTTTGGTGGGTGAGGTAGCAGAGGCAGCACTCGGAGAGGATGAGCGTGGGCACATTCGTTCGAATCGCGGCGCCCATGACCGGAGTGAGGCTTTCGTGAATGTGGCGGAGGTCGACCGCATGACAGTGGTATTCGCCGCCGCGCCGCCATCGTGCGCTCCATGAGCCACTCTCTGCCACCTCAACATCTTCGAGTCTGCTCGCCAGCGCAGGTATCGTGCGGACTGTCTGGTACTTTCGTCGGCATGTGGGCTCAAAGTCGATTTCGTGGTAGATGAGTTCCTGAGGCGAGTGCGATTCAAGTAGCCGAAACGGCCTCGTGTCGGTGCCGGCGCCCAGAGCGACGATTTGCCTGGGGCCCTTGTCACCAGGTTCGTTGGGCGCGGAAAGAAAGGCAGTGATGATCATGTCGAGTGCCCGAGTCCGGACGTAGGTCCCTTGAGGCAGTGTGAGCGCTTTCGAATTCGGCGCCGCAAGGAGTGCTTGCTTCATCTACCTCGATTGATGATGGGCAGCCTTCTCGTAGGCGGACCCGACACAAAACACTCGGCGTAGGGATCGTCGAGATAGCCAAGCTGGACGGCACTCAGTCGCGACACGGCCGCATCCGTGTCGGTGTCTTGAATAACGGCATCTGGAGAGGCGCCGGCAGAGGCAGCAACAACAGCCGCCCGTCCGCCCCCTACGCCTCTGCCGCCTCTGTCGCCGCCACGCATGGAAAGGAGGTTCGGTATGGAGGGCGCCGCCATGATGTGCGATGCAGGGCAGCAGCGCGACGAGAGGGAAGAAGAAGATCGCCAAGTAGGGCAACTGAACTGGAGCTGCGGTGCGGATACTACAGTGCATGAAGAGACAGTATGACGTCAGCCAAATGAAAAATGAGCCGAGTGTCTGCTACCTAGTACCTACCTAGGTATCAAGCCGAAAAAGGGTGGGTTAGTGTGGCTTGTAAATAACGAGGGCCGATACCGCAGATTTGTGTGCGTGCATCCCTTGCGCCTACCTCGCGCCTTAATACAACAAGGTATACAAAAAGTAAGGGTTATCACGATACGTAGAAAACAGTACAGTATAATTATTAGGGCGCCCTGGCGGCATTATAGTTGGTTAATAATGTGTCTCTAAGCGGGAAACATCTTTGTATAAATTCTGCTGTATATATCCTTCTTCTTGGACGTCTACCTCTGCCTTATCCTATTATACAGCCATGGCCTCAACAGGCTAGTCACTAAATAAAACCGCCTACTAAAGCTCTCCACCCCCCCCCCCCTTATGAAAAAGACGACGTTCGTTATTCGGCTTATACGAGAGCTCGAAACCTGTAGCGCAAACAATAAAGTCGGGTTGAATCTCGCGCTGATCGCCTAGGATAATCGTCTTGTCCTTGACGCATTGGGGAGTGCCCCAAGCAACATCCACGTTCGACTGGGTAAGCGTCTCGAGGAAGCCGTTGCCCGGACTCGGCCTGCAAGTCTTATGCTCAGTGCTGTTCCCCCCCTGTATCCATATTCCATGGGGGCTACTGCACATACCTCCTGCACCCCATGTCAAACGAGGGGGTGAGTTTGTCCATCAGCTCGGGCTTGGCAGCGAGGCCCTTCTTCATCTCGCGGTACGAAAAGTCTCGCGCCATTCGCTGCTCCGGCGTTCCCTTGAGGAAGAAGTTTTGCCCTCGGCTGAGCTCGCCCTCGACCTGCTTGCGGAACTGCAGGTAGGCCTCGGCATCTTCTCGCCACTTTTGCTTCTGCTCTTCGCTGTCTGCCGCCCTGTCAGCGACAAGACGCTGTGTAAGAAACGGAAGAGGTGCTTGCATTCGAAGTTGGTGCCTCCTGGCCCGGCAAAAGCAGGGGCGAAGCCAATCGTGATCCACGTCGGTGACCGCATGACTACCGTCATCTTGTCCACCACTGCTGCAGTCAGCATACCTGAGAATCTGCGGCTGGGCTTTTCGAGCGTCGTACCTTTACCCATAGACGCTGTTATCTGCACACCGTTGACAAGAACGTCTCCGGCATCGGTCAAGAGTTGCCCGGTAGCCTTGTTCTTGACTTCAATCTCCCATTTTGCGGTTTTCCACTGAGCCTTGACGACTTCGTGCTCAAGCTTGATATATGGCTCAAGGTCGAACTTTCGAGCAACCGACTCGAAATACCGCTTAATCTCAGGTGCTTCAGCGTAGCTACCAACTAATCAGCCGAAATGCGACTCCCGAGATGTGGTTGCAGTGCATGGTGTGTACTATTTGCTCCAGTTGGGGTTCGCTGCCCATGCGAATTGATAGTTGTGCTGTCTTGGTGAGCACTTGGTAGAGACAGGCTGGTTCTGGGAGACCAACCGACGGAACATCGCAAGCGCATCCCGCATATCTACAATGCTGTCAATACAGTCCCTTGGCAACTTGTCTGCAAACCTGCCTACCTATTCTCCCACCAGGTCCCCCCTACGCCGGCATTCTTTTCATACAGCACCAGCTCGGCGTTTTGGATCCGGCCCTCTGACTTCTCGGGCGAAGGCTAGGGAACTCGCTCCGGCGCCAATGGCCATGATCCGCAGCTTCCTCGGGGACTTGATGCACTGCTTGCCGGCGAGGAACCGCTGCGTTTCCGCAAATTCTTTGTCGAAATCCGGCTGATACTCGTGATAAAAGGGCGAGGGAGTTGCCGTCGCCCCGGTGGGCGCTTTGGCCGCAGGCATCTTGAGCAACGACTGCAGAGATGGACCAAGGACTCGTCTACTTTGTTTATGTGCACTTTGTGCCGCCACGAGAAGCTCATCGAATCGTTATACCGCAGCCAACACGCCAGGCAAACGCCCAGTGTCCCCTGAGCCATATTCCACCTTTAAAAGCCGAGGCGCGTTGGGGTGGTTTCCGTCTCCGGCGCTTTTGGGGCGCCGAGAAGCCCGGGCAAGCACCGTGAAGCATATGCGGCTACGGAATTGGAGGCAACATAAGCACAGTTCTAGACCTTCTATCGGCAACCGCCTCGTAGCCCAACTGGCCACAGATGGGTAGTGTATTATATAAAAAGGGGCAGGATTCTAGCACCACTCCACTTCTGCCTAGTCTGGTGCAGAGGGACTTGGACAGTTATGAGCCGGGGGGGAATTAACGTTGCCTATTCCTTTAACTTTCTTCTACTACGCTATTTCTTAACTTGGGAAAGCTCGCATTTCGGAATTCAAGGGGGTTCGGTTGGTCCATATATAGAGCCTTCAATCATACACAACTTAAATCCCATCATATACGGTGTTGAGCCCACGGGCATCCGTAATTCCTACACATTAAATAGTCTGCGGCCCACGCTGGTCCGTGGCAACCTTCCGTTACGTGACAAAAGTACTCGCGGCTCGGAGCTCACAGCTCCATGTGCCTGCGAGAACTCTCCATGGCCTGCTCCATGGCGACCTTGACAGCACGCACCACAAACGGCCGCAACGCCGCCCTTTTGAACCCCAGGTCGGCATCGCTGGATCGCCTTTGCACCGTCACCAATCCCCGCCGCATCAGCGGGCCGACCAACTCGGCCTCTGCCACCTGTGCCTCTGCCCGGATCGATGTCTGCGCCACCGTCTTGGCGAGTTCCCGGGACATGAGATAGTCGACGTACGCCTCGACCTCGGCCGAGTAGACGCTGATTGCATCCGCCGGGGGCAGGAAAAATGCCCTTTCCGCGCTGAGCGAGGAGCCCTCCCCGAGTCCCGAGCTCGTGCCCAGTCCGGCACCCAATCCAATTCCGGCCCCGGCGCCGCCCGCAGTGCTGGCCCCGGCGCTGGCGGCGCTGGTTAAGAATGCTGAACCCCCCAGGGCAATGAATGTCCCGACAGCGGCTCCCAATGCCTTTTTAACCCATCCGCCGCTTGACTCGGCTTGCATTTGCTGAACGTCGTCCACCACCTTCTTCTTTGCTTCCTCCGCCGCCTGAGCTGTTTCGTCCTTCTGTACCTCCCCGGAGCTCCTCTCCTCTCCCGTATTCTCAGCCTTGCCTTTTTTCTTGTTCCTGGCCCTCTTCTGAGCCTTTTTGCTTGCCTTGTTAGCCTTGTCGGCCTCCTGCCCAACTGCTTCGATGGTTTTGCGCAACTCCATCATTTCATTGCTGAGGATACTGTCCTCATTCGAAACCGCGAAGATCAAGTCGTAATCCCGAGTTCGAGACCATATGACGTCGGCGGCCTCTACCTCTTGTGCACTCATCTCCAACGCCGTAAACGGCTCCTTCTGCGAGATTTGGGCGGCCTCCCCATCTCTCAGCTTTTCCAGCATCTCTGAAACTGGCTGTTTCGCCTTCATCTTCTCCATGAGTTCTTCCTTAGCCTCCTCCTTCAGTTTAGGTATCATGTCAGCCTCTGCTTTTGCCTTGTCTGCGTCTGCTAGCTCCGCAGCCTTTTGCGCTCCCTCTCTGTAGCTCTTGGCGGCGTTGGTGTATGCCAAGTTGGAGGCTTCAGCGGCTGCGGCCCTTGCGTCCTTGGTTAGTTTGAGGGCCCCTTTATAGGGCTCCGAATGGAGGCACACGTATTCGTCGCAAATCTGGGCTATCTTTTTGGTAGACTCCTTTGCTTTTTTGGCCGCCTTGGCCGCCTTGTTTGCTTCTTCCCTAGCCTTTTGTGCATCTGGCTCCTCCCGGACGGAGTTATATGCCCTTTCGGCCTCGGTTGCCGCCTCACTGACTTGCTTTGCTTCCACCTCGATATCTTTGAATGCTTTCTCCGCTGAGGCCAGTATCTCGGCGTGATTTGGCGCTGTAAATAATGGGAAGCCAGTTTCTTTGTTCCAGCCTATAACTTCCCCGACATTAGGCTGGTTCATGAACTCAATAGCACGGCTATAAGCCGTTGACCCGTCAGCCAGCTGGGGCTGTGGCCCATTGGCGAGCCATGAATCGTATTTGGTGTCATAATCCAGATTGCGTGTGAAGTCTTTAGACGGATCGTCTATATACGCCTTTAGAACTTCGTCTGTTGCCCGAACTGGAATGGTGTTCCAGCCAATGACTTGGTCCCATCGTATGCCTCCCAACGCGTCATATTCGTCTACCGATTTGGCCATGTCAGAGATGTATCCTTGAATGCTTGGTGATGCCTCAATCATATTTGGTGTTGCCTGAATGCGATAGAGATAGCTTTCCGTTGCATCCGTTTTGGCGCGGTGGCTGCCATACTTGATTGCGGGCAAAATTTGGGCTGACGTTGAAATATACGCCGAGGCAAAGATGCCATAGGGTTCCTTGCGGTATTTCAAATGCTCGTTCAAGCCATATCTGTCCTCTGGTGGGGGATTGATTGCCGGAAGGAATCCGTTTTGGCCTTGGATTTCGGTTGAGGTTCGACTGTCGCCCCGGTAGACAATTTGGACTTGCCTGATCTGCGGCTGCTCGTCAGGCGCTGGTCTGGCAACGCTGGTGCCAAGGAGCAACAGTAACCAGGACAGGATCAACATCACCCAGCGTGGATACATGTCGGCGGTGAGGGACCGGTGTCAAGCAAAACTAAGGCCCCTGACAGAAACTAGAGAGAGAGAGAAGGTCAAGAGAGATGGGTTTTGAAAACATTGAAGCGAGAGATGCTGCCAAGTTCCATTGATATAGACAACGAGGACGAAACTTCGCCCGCCGCCTGCCTAAGTAAGCTAATAATTTAATTATCATTTAAGAACATTGATGGCAGTGTTTGTTTGAGTGCATGACTCAATATCGCATGAATGCAAATCTCTCGCGTACTCCGTACGTTGACTTCCAGTATAGCATAGCACCGCCTACTGTCTATATTACGCAGTCTGAACTTGGGCCGACCTCACTCAAGGACTTGATGCCAGCTGCTTGGCGAGTAATAAGACTCTCCGATATGCCGAATTTTTCCATGGTCGTAATATTCTAGCCCTGCTCCGCACCCCAATATGGCCATTGTTACTACCCATCTGTACCCCTGTCAAATTGTTGATGCGGGCGGCGTCCTTTGAAGTTTGTGCTCTGTACAACTGGAGGGACTTACAGTGTAATTCGGACAAAAACACGAGAGTCCTAATTAGAGACTGCTTCCGTCAATATACGGTTTACATCCACAGTACAGGACATAATATTTTTGGTGAAAAGAGAGATGCTTGCTGGCTTTGTTGTCCTGTTGCGCTCCACAATCTAGTCGGCTCTGTCAAGAACCTGAAGAGAGGGAGGAAAGGCCGAAGTATGCAAGAAGAGATGCCTGCTTAATCGGGACCTCTTTCCACTCTACTGTACATCGCCGGGTTAATTGCATTGCGTAGGGCGTTGTGATGCATGGTTATAGCATGCTTATAACGCTTATAAGTGCTACGGGCGGCTCTGGAGATAACTTACAGCAGAGCCACTGGCAAGACCTCGCGACCACCAGAGACATTGTGGCATTGTGCTCGAGTGAATCTACCTGTGGGTGCTACCTATATAACGCCTTAAATAAGACCGAGACAGACTTGCATCCAGGCTAAAAGAGTATATGCATTATATTAGCAGTGTTTTTCCGTGTAAGTCAAAGAAATCAAGCTCCTCCTTCGGTAGCTGTATGTTCACCCTTGTTTACAACGCATCAACAAGTGAGTAGGGGCCGCATAGACACCTTGATTAGGCAAAGATGCTAAGAAAAGGGTTGAATTCCGCCTATAGGCACCCGGAATAATTATAGGCGGCGTGCCGAGCGGAATTACTTCCACTATCCACATGGTGTTTAAAGCGCTGCCAAGGCTTAGCATCTTAACGACGTTGAATATATACCACCCCCACCTCGCCTTCAGTATGGGATTTCTCAGTTAACGTCAGTCACCTAGCTTACAGCATACCCCCCTTCCAGCACCCTTTCTCACCAAAACGCAAGCTTTAAAACACTAAATAATAAATATAAGAAAAATAGTTATGCCTATTCGCTCCTAGAATACTATTAGTAAAATAGCTTAAGTTAGTATTAAAATTTACTTTTTATATATATTATTGTGAGAGCGCTACTAGGAGGTACGGGCTGACAAAGCACTCGGGTACGTAGTACCAATGTGTCGGCAGGGTATCGGCAGGGAATCGTGCCTACCCCGCTCGCATGTCATAGACCACTCGCCATTCCGACGGAAGAGGAAAAATCCCTCTTCTCGCAAGCTTCAGTCTTGCGACGAGGAGAACACAATACACACAGCGCAGTACCTCTAGCTATCTCTACTACCTGACTGATCGTACCGTGATACGTATTCCCTTATAATTATATCTAATTATACTTATATAAAAGCTTAAAGCTAACTTAAGTATTTTATTAGTACTTTCTATTACTTTACTTAGTAAGCCTTAATACTTTAAAAAGTACTAAATTAATATTAAAAAAATTCTAATAAAGTAAGCTAAGTAGTAAATAAGCTTTTTTATAGTATATACTACTAATAAAGTAGTTAAAGACTTATAAATAGCTTTTTCTTTTAAGTTATTAAGTAATAAACTTTTCTCTTTATTAAAAAAAGAGGTATTTTAAGAATATCCTATTATCTTTTTATTTAATAGATAAAATAGTAAATAGAAAGTACTTTTAAGTACTAAAAGCTATATAAAGATAAATAGTACTATATAATTTTTTTAAACTATTTATTTAGTATTTTATTTTTACTATAGGAAAACTAAAAAGTAATATAACTTATTTATTATTAGAAAAAAAGAAAAACTTATAGTACTTTATAAATCTATTATAGCTTAGCTCTTTAGCTATAAAGTTTTAGTCTTTCTACCTATTTTAATAAATTAGTTATAGATTTATAAAAAACCCGACTTTTAGTGGGAAAAGGGTGCTGGAAGGGGGGTATGCTGTAAGCTAGGTGGCTGACGTTACATGGCTGTCTCCTTTTCTTGCGGGGCGTAATGTAGAATAAGTTAGAGCGCTTTAAGCATGTCCTATAGCTACGCAATCACTTTTACCAAGAAATGCGCAGCCCTGTGCACAGCAAAGCACAAGGGTTTGCCTGCCAATACGCAGGTGTGAGGAAACCACTAGGTTGTGCAGGCAAAAGTGAAGTGACACTCCAACAGATGACCTGGAAGTGGACCCTATATGCCATGGAGGTGCTGGTGGCAGCTGACGGTAGGTATAAAGGGAGGCCGGCAATGGGCAACATGGGCTTCCTCCCCTCCGTCTCCTTTCATTATCCCTCGGCACCATGTTGAACATCCTGCTGGTTGGTGCGCTTGTTGTAAGGTCTCTAGCTAAGGACGCTCCCTCGGCCGCCCCCGAAGCACCCGACCCGGGCCGTCCGAGCGAACCATTAAACACATACAGGAACCTTATAGTGGACATTGGCGGCCTTATCTCTGACGCCACCACATGTTACAACATGTACGAGGAAAAGGTCAGGGTAGCGGAATTTGTTGGGGAATCATTGTTGGCCACTATCCAGTTGTGCGATAAGGACTACGACTCTATCCATGCTCAGCTCCGAGATGCTCGCGATACGGCACGGAAGCCCGACTTTCCAGCGGACCAGCTGGATGGCCTTGGGTTGCCCAACGTGCTTGAAGGCGACCCGAGCCAACAAGGGAATCGGACCGTTAGTCTGGTGAACAGGCTTGACCAGCTTAAGCAAGCGGCTGAACAGGCGGTTCGAGTTCGTGATGAGCAGGCAAGTATCCACACACAAATCAATGACAATACTCCAATCAATACAACTTACCTCCAGAGGCTCCAGCCTCAAGACACGCTGCACGTTTTCAGGATTTGTGATAACTAACCAGTTAATCCAGGCAAAAGCTGGGGAACCAAAGCCATGGAAATACCCAGATGATATGCAGTGCTATGAGCGGCACTCTGTTAGTGAGAACTGCCTGGGGACCAAGGTCCTTTGCGACCGGCAGGGACCCGAGAGTGAGCAATGCTTTCAATCTCGGAAACGCCCACAGTTCCAAATAGGGCTAGAAGAAAACTGCAAGGTCGATCCCAGTAGATCCAGCGAAGCCTGTGTCGGGACCGAAGAATGGTGCGGGAGAGGCCCCATTGTCAAGATATGGGGGTCCAGCAAGAACTGCATAGACTACCGACACCGAGACGGGACCCAGCAATCGCATCCGTGGGAAGAGGGAAGCGGATGTCACGAGAAGACAGAGGGCTGCCTTGGAACGTTTTCCTGGTGCGCACTTTACTACTGGGCGACTTATTCGAGCCAAGAGGCCTGTTTCGGCGACCGCAAGCCCCGGCCCACGGACAACAAGAAGGGACCGTGGAAATTCCCAGACGTTTCCTACTTTGCCGACTCCGAGATCAGTAGGGGCACTGAGGCCCTATGCACCGAAATCAGGAACCCGGAAATACGGACTAGCTGCTACAACGCTCGGGAGCCGGCACCCTGGAGATTCCCATTCTCCGCGGATTGCCCGGTGACAGGGGATCTGGAGGATGAGCGGTGCATGGGCTCACAAGCTTGGTGTGAGTACCAAAAGGGAATCTACGGAACACTCGAGGGATGTCTTTCGATCCGCCAACGAGCCCCCAAGCACTCCAATCTCGACTGGAAGTATGGAGAAGATTGTGCGAAGCGGTCCGAGAAATGCCTTGGAACGCTCAAGGCATGCTCTCTGTTCGAGAGGGCGAGGTTGAAACAAGACTGCGTTGCAGCAAGATGGAGCCCGGGATTCATCCTGCCCAATTCAAAAAGCTGCAACAAGGAGGGGGAGCCCAACGAGCGTTGCTCTGGGACATTCGAGTGGTGCGTCGACCACTGGAGCAAGGGGGGCTATAGCGGCGAGGCGGCATGCTTCAGCAAGCACGGGTTCGACGCTGTCCGTTTCGAAAATTCGATTATTTCTCTCGTGGCTCCGGCGGTGCAAGAGAAGATTCTCGACGTTGCGCAAAACGTCACAACCAAGGCCTTGTTCCAGGCGCTAGCCGTCGACGGTCAGTCGCGCCAGTCGGCCATGAAGTCGACAAAAGAGTTCCTGGCCCAATATTTCGAGAAGCTCAGGACGGCCCTGATGCGAGAGGGGTGGGCCGAGCAGGCTGTCAAGAAGGCTCTTTCATCGGCCTAGGCGTTTTGTGTATATCTCACCGAGGCTGTAGCAGCGTGGCTAGATAAACCGACCGCCTGACAGACTGTCTGAAGAAGTGAATATAGTCTGTCTGACTGTAGACCAACCGATCGATAGGTTCGGTCAGTCTGGGTCGTCTCAGACGGTTTGAGCCAGCAGCGCCATAGCTCACCGAGGTTATAAATGTAATGCAAACCGGGTCCTGGGCCAGGCGCGTCTGCGTCTGCTGTTAGTCTCTATAATGATGTATAAATGTCAAACATAGCAAATACCACTTGACTACCAGCAAAATAGGGGCACCCCCATGTGGAGGTGTTATTGGTATAGTTTATAAGTCTTTGTCCTGCTGACAGAAAATGTTAAACATAGCAAATACTACTTGACCGCAAGCACAATAGGGGCACCCCCAGTGGAGAGGTATTATTGGTATAGTTTATAAGTCTTTGTCCTGTTGACAGTAATCTATTCTGAGGCGGCTCCACCGTGACAGCGATACACGCTACGCCGCGCTGCACATGTAGGCCTAAAAACGGGAAGACGCTCAGGAAGAGATCGAACCCCCTTTTCTACGTCGATTTCTCTTTTGATGCGCTTCGTCTCGCCGTGCAGTTTTTTCTTCAACTCTTTAAGACATTCATTCACCTCGCCAATGCGGCCTGACGAACGCCCAAGACGTGCGAGGTGGGAGTTTCATTCATTAAATCAAGCAAGCAAGCTCGCGATACAGGCCAGCTGGAAATATTCTGAAGAGAAAAAAAAGAAAGAAAAAAAACGTGTCCGCTACTTGACTGGCACACTGTTTCTGTTGAGTGCCGCAGCTCGAGATGAGATGAGAAAGTACGTACATGCACCACGGTAACGCGTAACGCGTCGAGCGTGCTAGTTATGTCAGCACTCAGCAATCTTGGCCACGATTGGAGAGTCACTGCTGGTCGTTTGTTGTCATCGTCAACACTTGAACACAACACGGGGCCCCATGGAAGAAGCGCCGCCTTCGCCGCCCTCGCCGCCCTCGCCGCCATGCTCTGCACCTACCGCTCCCTTATCAGTCTCTCAGCTGGTTCGTCTTCATCGCAGGGAGCGACTCCTCGTGCGCCCAATCCACTGGACCGACCGCCATCTTGAGCTGCTCGGATGCTCATTTGGTGACCCGTCTCGCGCGCCTCCCAAAACGACGCCCGTTTTGTTTGGGCGGCGAGGCTCCGGCTACCTGCGCTACGCGTTTAAGCATCGAGAATGGAGAGTGCAATTTCGAGAAACTGCTCTTCTCGACGTTCTTGCGACGGCGGGACCATTCGCGGATCGGTTCGGCGCCTCCTTCCTTACCTTGCCCTCGTTGCTGCGACTGACCAACGATATCGATAGACAGAACATTCGCTTCGCCTTCAACCGGCGCCACGTCCAGACTCTCCGATGCACAATCTTTCTCCCTAAGATACAGCAAGAACCAGACCCATGGCCGCCGCTTCTTGTAGCCTACGTTGACCTCGATCGCATCGCTAGCTTACGTAGAGACTTATTTCGGCTTCCTATCGAGAGACAGCGGTGTAAATCCGCCTTTTCATTATCTTGTCTTAAGACAAAGAAAATCACCCCTACGAACCACCTGCACGATCCATACATTGTAGCGATCCTTATCGCTTTGGCGCAGGGAAATAAGCGACGGGCCGGCTATCGACAGGAATCCGGCTTGGACTTATTTACGGTACGATACCAAGCTGCGTGTGAGTATTTTCTACTAATATAACTCCTTCTCTCTTTAGTCCCAAGTACTAGTCTCGTCAAGCGACAAGGAAACTATCTATCTCTATACAGCACGCATTACCTCTTCGTTTCTTTGCAGTCTCGAGGACCCTACCTTCAAGCCATCGGAGCCGACATCTATCCAGGTCGAGATCACTACTATCCCATACAAGCCGTATCGGTCCTTTCTCGACCGCCTTGCCGTGCTTTTGCTTCCAGCACAAGAGTTGGCCAAGATACGGGAAACAGAAGGCCAAGGCCAAGACCTTCAGTGCCAGCCTGCACTACAAGATGCCGGGCAATCAATTGGATATACCTAATGCTGCATCATCCTTGCATCTACGGGCAAAAGAGGATGTTGGCATCGTTGGACCAGTGCGGCTGGATATGCGTTATGAATGACACCTAGGCATTTTCACTCGGTACCAAAGGGGGTGAACTGACACGGTGTAATAAGAGCAACCTTACTGCATTCACGTCGCCGGGGGTACATGGAGCCTCACGCCGACCTGTCAATTGATGAACAATGTTCTAAGAAGGAAGCTCGATTGACAGAAAGGGGGGGTAATTATCAATCCACCACTTTCTACCATTTGGCGGGACAGACAAGCAGACAGGACAACAGAGGCAGACGAAGCGGCGGGCGCCTCAGGAGGGAACATGGGTTTGAGGTGCCATCTGCCTAAATCGGTGGGTGCTATAGTTTCTGAGACGGCAGAACCTAATATTGAGTACGAGAATGATTGGGTTTCGAAAAAAGGGTTTCTAGGTACACCCGAATATGGAAATTAGAGGACTTTCATCGGCCTAACAGAAAAGACCAACACGGTAGGTCTTTAGCTCTCCATGGACTCATCGCTATCACTGCGGTCACCACTGCTGTCCCTAGGCTCGTCTCTATATATGCTTATTTGCTCATCAGCCCACGCCAACATGGCCAGAATATGCTTGATAACTTCCTTGCGGTGGCCTCGCTTATCAATATCAAACCATTCTGTAGAGTTTACTCTTAAGTAATGAGTTGTAGGCGAGGGCGTCTCGTATTCATTAATAAAATCGAGCGTTATATAGAAGTGGAAAAACTTGACGTAATGTGTAACAGCAAGGATGATTATAAGACTAAGGGGATTGTGCTTTAATTAGGAAAAGTCACAGAGCTAAGGCAAACATAGTACTTATACTCACTTGTTTTTAACGAGAGGCTTGGTGCTAGTAGCACGCCGTACGGCGAGAGCCTGTCCGACTAGCTGGCCTAAAGTCTTATCCGAGACCGTCGGCTTGCCTTCGATTGTAAACTTTTGGAAGGCTCATTTCCCCTCTATCGTTGCCACCTGAATAACTTGGTTACCCTTGTGGACCTGTAGGCCGCCATCGTCTATTGCTTCAATCGACTGCTTTGAAGCACTCTCGAAGGTGTGCGCGAGATGCTCGTCGCGAAAGAAAATAGGAAACGCCTTATCGATCGGCTGAGCGTAGTTAATCACACACCGGATAAAACAGCTCGCTAGACGCACAGTCAGGTCCTCTAGGGGAGCCGACGATAGTTTATTCACCCAATCAAGGCTCGCCGCGGACGAGGCCGAGTCCGACGCCGATCCAGTTGGCGAGCTACTAGCGACTTGCATGCTCGCAGACGAGACGTAGCCTTGATGCTGTGTCGCCGGTCGTGTCGCCCGTGTAGTTCTATCCGATATCATAGCGGTAGCCTGCATTTCTGCTTGCAGGAGCCGGGCGAGCGCGGCCTAGACATAGCCGAGACTGTCTGGCTGCTGCTGCTGCCGGACAATCTGGTGCTCATACTTGTCTCTGAAGCCGGCAGTTGGTCCGTCAACCAGACGGTCGATGCAAACATGGACTCCCCCTACAGAGTCTGGGAAATTTCTGTCGGAAAAGAGGGCGAGGCGCTTCTGAGGTTTGGCGCAGATGACTCGGCTCGCAAATAAGTGTGCCGTGTCCCAGCGACTCACGCCACCCTCAAAGTCGTCCGACTTATATAGAGAGTCGAAGCTCTCTGCCCCCCCGGGCGTGTACTTGGCAAAGAGGGCTTCGCTAGTGACGAGGTCGTAATAGGCCATGATGATAACGGGCGGCAGACCGGGCAGACGGAACAGACGAGGCTTGTACTGCGGGGGATGTGCGGTAAGAATTCTTAAAAGGCAGAATGAGAAACGGCTTGAACTTGATCTCAAAGCTCAACTTAGGACTGCATGGACAAGATCGACCTGCCTATTCGCAAACCGCAAGACCAAGCATGCTTTATAGCCCACGACAGTCTACTTGAGCCTTTGTAGATACATGGCGCGGCGCCCGTGCTACACACCTTGACAGATTAAACATGTCAGACGTGAACGATATGTAAAAGTCCATTGGATAGAGAGTCCGGTGGTATCGGGAATCCCGCATGTAAGCGCTCGACTTACATACGGCGGCCTTGCTGCAACCCTGGGGAGTCATATCTAGTAGTCACTGGCCGTTGTTTGGCGCCCCCCAGGTTCACAGTTCTCCCCTTTGGTTTGGTGAGGCCGCGTGAGTGGAGACTTGAGCAGGCACAGGCGGCTAACTTGTCGCGGACGCTACCCTGAGTTGGCCGCAGCCGGACTTGGTCGCCATCGGCCTACAGTAGAGGCTGCAATAACGGACCAATGACCCTAAAGAAGTTGTGATAGGTCGGAACTCGGAACGGCCCGACTCGTTACCAAGGCGGCCCCATATGACGTGGTTCTTTTAAGCCGCAACTATCACCCTTCCTTTGAAGTTCCTATTGATAATTCCTTCCCCTCCTCTTCAGCTCAGCAACCAACAGCATTAGCCCTCACAACCTTCAAGACGCCGCTAAGCGCAGCCCTTTACATAGATGCATGATAACTCGACGATGACCCCCTACTGTTGGTCCGTCTCGACCGGAGACGCAGGCCCCAACGCAGTATGCAAGCTGCAGACTGAGCGGTCGGAATATTTTGACCTCGGCTGGAGCCTAGTGAAGTGACTCGTGAGACACTGCAGTAGCTGCACCATGGCTCATTTCAGAGCTCCTCGAGCGATGCCATATCTACTGGATGGATGGCGGCTAATAGGCGGCAAATACGGTTGTGAACTTGAGCCCGGCTGCCTAAAGAAGACTCGTAAGGCCGGGCGCAACCAAATTCGAGGTCTCACTTTACTCACAATAAATTCACCTCCCGTAGTGCGGGAGATGCGTGTCTGTTCCTTCCCACGTGCAGCTAAAAAGCTACCTCTTAGCGCAAGCTATTCTATTATAATTCCAGCATTATTACTTATTTCTTACCAGGATATATCTCTACCTATTCGGCCAAGAGTCTCTTAATCGTTATCCGCAAGAAATCTCAAGTATTTCCAGGTACTCGTCTTGTACATCCAGCTCGCCTCGCGCGAGGGACAAACCCTCATAGTAGGGCCCCTCCCCAAGGGGAACTCTTTAATCCCCGCCTCTACTGGCTCGGGCGCTCAAGTACCCTATTTCGCAATTAGAGCTACCTGGACATTTTTTTTGGTATTTGCTGTCGAGGAACAAGTGAAGGATAGTACATATGAGATATTAGAGCGTGACATTAACGTATCCCGCCTTTTAGCTGGTGTTGCCAAATAGGTAGTATTACTCTATAGTTGACCGTCTTTACACGTGACACCTCATCTACTATTCATGCTACTTCTCCTTTCATACCGTCCACGTCATCCGGGTTCAGGCAACGATCTTTTCTTCTTCTTCCCCTTTCCCACACACTTATAGTCTCAACGCGTTTCCAGCAGCGACCAAGCAATTGCTTTGCCTTTCCTGCCTCCATCCACCGCTTTCTTCGGAATCCAGACCGTCCGGACCGTCGCACGACATCCTTGCCGCCGACAGACGCCCGCACTTGCCATGGCCATTTCACTCATCAGACGAGCCATCCTGGCCCACGGGGATGGCTTGCCCGACTACAAACTGCCCGACTGGGCCTGGGTCGTCATGTTGCTCGACCTCATCGTCCTGCTCCCCGTCACCGTCATCGTTCGTGCCTCCCGCCCGAGACACCCTTACTCCACATCATACTGACACCATGCCTCCCCCCCAGCTCGACTACACCTTCAAGGCCGTCTATCCCGTCTTCGCCATGATCGAGGACGAGAATCCCCCCGCCTACCAGCCCGTATCCCTGCGCGACGCCCTCGACGACGAGACGGTCCGTCCCGGCTCCAAGCTCGCCGAGCTCGAGACGCGCACCGTCACCTCGTCTTTTCGCGCCATCAACCGCCTCCTCATGGCCAACGGCGGTGTCATGGCCAACTTTCGCGGCTTCACCTGCGCCCTGGCCCAGTCCTTCATGACCTCGATCCTCATGGTCGTCTTCACCGCATCCTTTGGTGGCGTCTTTGCCCCCGCCGCCACTCTGCTCGCCTCGCTCGCCCTCGTCCAGTTCAGCACCGCTTGGGTCCACATCGTCATCTCGCGTCCGTCGCCGCTGCCCTTCTGGCAACGCCTGCCTGCCTTCAAGCACACTTTTGATGCCACCTGGAGGGCCGTTACCATGTACTGGTTTGCTTGCGAGGTCGCTCGCTGGGCGCCCGTCGTCCTCATCAGCGTCGCAGGCATTTCTCTCCCCGAGCTCCAAGTCGCCGGTGGACAAGGCGCTGATTTGCGCAATCTCGACGCCGCCTTCTTCGCCAAGGCTCTCTTCATCTTCCTCGTCGCCCTCGTCTTCTCCATCTTCCTCGTCATCCCCGCCAACGTCATCCTCGTCCGCATCCAGGCTTCGCTGCTCCCCCCGGACGAGGACACCATCATCCCCTTCGACCGGTCTTTTGAGGGCAGGGCCGAGCCTGCCGTTGTGGGCGGTCGCGGTTTTGTCACCATTTCCGATGCCTGGGCCACGTTTAGCAAAACTGCTTGGCGCCGCCTCCTCACTCTCTACGTCAAGATCTTCCTTGTCACCATTGCCGGCATAGCTCTCATGGCCGCCCTGATATTGCCCGAGATCATTGTGATTGCGAGCCGGTCTGTCCGTGTCGACTGATGGAAGCGTTGGCCAGGCAGGATGAGCAGGGTTGCGTTTGCGAAAGGCGCTATGCACGCTGGCGGTGCCACTGAAATGAAATGGCAGTTTTCGGTCAACGGCCTCTCTACTATTCTTATCTTCACTCATTCTCGAGCCTAGCGGAAACTTGTGTACTCTTGGATATGAACCAGCTTCTCCTTTCTAAATTAGCCTTGGTTGTACTTCGTATCAACGTACCAACTCTCCATCGGCACTCGCAATGTGGCTCGTCGTGCTTCATCCCAGTCGTTTCATTGTATGATTCATGCAGGAGCTCTACAACAGTAACCGCCCGACCATCCCAACTCCCCACCGCCAGGTCTCTCGCCCAGTGAACCTTCCAAAGCACGCCTCACGTCGCCACCGCTCCTCTTTTCCTCCCATGGCCGCGTCGACCCGGGTCTGACGCGCTCCCATGAGCCAATGCTGGCGCCTCTCCCTATTCACACAGCACACAAAACAAAAATAGGCGGGAGGTAGGGGGTGCCGTAAATCCAATCATAAATGCCACCTGGTCTTTCGCTTTTAAACATGTCCGTTGCACCCATCGTCATGCAGGGGAGTGAGAGGACACGGCCCTGACAACGGGGGGAGTAAAAGCAGAGAGGGAGACTCCTTGGGAAGAAGGACAGGGAGAAGTAAACCTCGAGGTGCCAACAAGCTTCCATTAGAGAGCCGTGTACCAAGAAGGGGGTTAAGGGGGGTATGATGGGTCTAATCCTTTCCCTACTTTCAACGCCGTCCGAGCAAAAGCGCATAACCGTCTACGACTTGTTGAAGAACCAGCTGTTCCGCTTGCTGGGGGCTCCCTCGCTCTGGAGCGACTGTATGGTCGGCACGGCAGGCCCGACGTCGCCGCCGCCACCCCGCAGGGGCTTGGCGATGCGGCTGCCAGCCCCGGCGAAGCTGAAGCCGCCGCCGCCGCCGCCGGCCGCGTTCAGGCCTCGCGTGCTGCCGGCCTTGGCCGCCTCAAGGCGTTCCTTGACCGAGGCCAGTTGAACCTCGAACCTAGCAAAGAAGTCAGGACATGTTCCACATCGAGGTATAGAGCTCAGGCGAGGCAGATGCCTGGCGGAAGGCTAGAAAAGGGTAGGAAAGGGGAAGACACGGAGGGGGCATACTTGTGGTTGGCGGCGGCCATCTTTTCTTGACTGTCCTGCAGAAGGCTCTCCAGGCTCTGGATGCGCTCGTTTCGTGCAATGAGCTTGCGCTCAGCAATGGCAACCTCCTTCTTGAGGGCCGAGTTCTGCTCCACCAGCTGGCGCTGGACTTGGGTGAGCTGCTCCAGGTTCCGCTCCAGAAACGCCATCTTCTTCTGCTGGGCGCGGTTGTTGGACGACCTCAGCACGTTATTGTACTGCTCGCGCGTCTCGTCCAGGGAGATTTCCAACTCGACGACCCGCTCGCAGCGGTTCTGCAGATCGCGCATCAGGCTCTTCTTCATCACGTCAAACTCGGCAATCTGCTGCTGAATGGTCTTGCCGTTAGCCATCGGTGAGGTGGCGCCCGATTTGACGCGCTGTTGCAGGTCGTCCAGCAGCGTCTTCATCCTCGAGTTCTCCGACGCCTTTTGAGCGACTTCGGCTTTGAGCTCCTCGACAAGCTTGGCCTGGGCCGACTGGCGGTTTGCGTATGCTTCCTCCAGGCGTGCCTTGACTTCTTCCACGTCGCTCTCGCCGAGATTCCGCGTCAAGGCGTCTTCGTACTGTTGCTGCAGTGTCTCCAGTCTCTCCTCGAGCTCCTGTCTCCGCCGAGCGTCCATGTCACTAGACGAGGTGCCGTACATGGACAGCTCCGCCTGTCGGACGATTCCCTGTGTCTCGACAAGCTTGGCTCGGAGTGCCTCAAACTCGTCGGGAGCGATGTTGTCTCCGACCGTGCTCTGTTCGTGCAGAGCGTCGATGCGTTGGATGGCTTCATTGATGGAGCGCTCGTTCTCGCTAAAGACATCGCCGCCGAGGTCGAAGCCAGCCATCATCTTGGCCATCTTCTCGGCCTTTTTCTTCTCCTTCTCGTCAAAGGCTGCCCCGCTCTCCTTGGCATTCATCTTGACATCGAGGAGCTGCTGCTTGACATCATCCAGCTCCGTGGTGAGCTCAGAGTTGGCCTCCTTGAGTGCGTCCATGGTGATCTGCGCCTCTTTGCTCTCAAAGGTTAACCGTTCGAGCTGCATCTTGAATTCGTTGACTTCAGACGTGAGCCTCTCATTTTCCTTGCCCATCTTGCTGTCGTGCTCCTTGAGATACACCATCTCCTCCTTTGTTTCACGAAGCTGCTTCTCGGCGGTCGTGGCGAGCGTCTCCTTCTCTGCGAGCTGGTCCTGCAGCTCATTTTCGCGACGCAGGAACTCTTCGCGCTCGTCCTTTTCCAGCGGCAGACTGGGGGTGGCGGCGCGCTCAGAGATGGCAGGGGTCTCGGAGCGGCTCTCGGCGGCTTGCCGGGACGGTGTAGGCGGGCGCGGAGCCTTGGCATCGGCCCTGGTCCCGGAAACGGCATCGGGTGGCGCCGAGAGAACCCATCTCTCCTTAGGCACCGACTCTCCCGAACGCCACAGCTGAATCTCGCCCTCGAGGCCATGGATGTAACTCTCGAAGTTGGTGACCTGGCCCTGGGCCTTCTTGAGCAGCGCCTTGAGCTCGGCAGGACTGAGCTCTGCGTTGACCTTGGCCTTGTTCTTGATGGACTTGGCCCTCGTTCCGAACCTCAGGGTGCTGAGGGTCTCGGCATCGTTGTAACTGCTCGGGGAACAGTTGATGATGAGGGTTGTCCGGCTGTTACCGCCCAAGGATTCTTGCAGAATTCTTGTCAACTTGGAATCTCGGTATGGGATATGCGAGGATTTGCCGTCGGTCAAGGCGTTGATGACCATGCCAAGAGCGCTCAGACTCTTGTTGATCTTCTTGGCCTCCTCGAGCGTCTGGCCACTGGCCCCCGTCTTGCCCACCTTTTCACTGCCGGCCAAGTCGACGAGGAACAGCTGGCCGCTTTTGGCCGAGCCGGTTTCGACATTCTTTTGCGTAATGGTGATGACGAAGATGGAGTGCGATCGCGACGACTCCTGATTCATGTTTGTCGCCGCCACGGCGCGGGCGTTGCCTCCTCTTCTCATGACTTCATAGACCTCCTGCACGCTCGAGACGTATATCTCGAGCAAGCCCTTGACGTAGACTCCGCGGTTCTTCTCTTCGTGTACGGGCAAATTGTCGTTTTGCGGGGCGAGCAAGTCTCGGATCCTCTCCATGTAAATTTCCATATAGCTGACACGAACGGTGTACTCGATGGTGCCGGGGCTCGACATGATGCTGGCAAAGATTTGCTCGACGATGCGCGGGATGACGCCCCTTCCGACTTCGTCATCGATGTTGCTGCCCATCATGGTGTAGGACTTGCCGGCGCCCGTCTGGCCATAGGCGAAAACGGTACCGTTGTAGCCATTGAGAATATCGTCAACGGTGGAGCGGATGGAAAAGTCGAAGATGTCCTGCTGCTTGCATTCCATATCAAAGACCCTGTCGAAGGTGAAGCTGCCCTGGGCCTCCCTAGACTAGAGTAGAGAAAGCAAAGTCAGTGCGGGGTGATGGATGGGGACAGGACGAGAGTCGTACATCGAGAGAGCATGAGTCCTCCGAGCTGAAGGAGACGATGGGCTTGCCGCCCGAGTCCAGCTCGACCCGGTTCTGGGGGCGGAACCGGGCGACAACCTTGATGCTGTTGGCAGACATGTTGGCGACGCTACGGCTGGTGAGAAGGCGAGGTTGTCGTTGCAATCATGAGGCGCGGGCGGACTGATGTCGCCGTCTGGAGAGGTGTAGGCGTATGCGAGGTCCAAAGAGAAGAAGGTGGCGCGACAGCCCGCGACAAGGCTGGAGAGGATGGAGGAGAAAATGAGCCCAACAAGCAAAAGGACAACTGCGCCGAGGGAGCCCGAGTCCTGGACAAGCGGAGACCAAAACAGAGGCGGGCCGGTGGGCCAAGAGCCGCCAACAGAAAACAATCAGAGGGAGGCCCCGGCGGCAGCGGGAAGCAAAGGCGAGCGAAACACAGACACTCTCAGTCGCCCTGAGACTGTGTAATGGGCAAAATGGTGCGTGCGGTGGTGAGCTGGACCGGGGAAGATGGGTACGGAGTACATGGCACGCGCTGTTTGGGTGTTTGGGCACAGCCCGAGTACAAGCGAGGTACAGACATGACAGGCTGAGCAATCAGGCCGAGTGGGTACTGTGAAGTATCTGACACCTGGAAGCTCCCACTTGTGGGGAGATGAGATACCTACAGTGGGCGATCTGAAGGGCTCGGGCGGGAGCCCAGCAAAAGAGGCGTGACGGACGCGTGGATGGATGCGCCAAAAGAGCGGTTACCAAAATGACGTGCAGTAACTACCACCTAGTAGATGCTCCTGTTCTCTCAAATACTACTCTCCGTTGTACTGTACCTACATGTCTAGGGCCACCTAACACGGAGTAATCCGGATCACGAGGCATGCGTGCCAGCCTCCAATCAGCAGTCGCCACCACCCACTGCCAATCACCATCACCACCATCTCACTCTCGCCATCTTTTGACTCGCTCCGCCGCTCCCACGCGTGCGAACCGCCTGTGGGGGCGTGTTTTGGCGCAACCCGTCGTGATCGTGTAACAAGTCCCAATTTAACAAGTCCCCAAGGCACTCCTTGACATGCGTCTCGGCGCATAAAAGCCAGGGCCCCAAATTGGGCTGTTTGTCCTTGGCCACTCCACGTAGCCACGCAAATTAGCGTGGGCAATGCCATCATGCAAACCAGCGTGTCGACGCGTTGCCTCTCGCCCGGCTCCCCGGAGCAGAACACCTCGCGCTGAAAGGCAGCACCATGTCCACGCAAAAGTGGCACCGTTGTCATAAGTGTCGACACTCGTATTCGCTAAGCATCCCATGGTATAATCAGTCAAACACCCTGCATCCCAAACGCCCGCAAACTCCTCCGCCGTCGAGCAAAGGTCCAGAAAACAGACTGGCCTTGAGGAGAAAACTTCACGCCGACGCTTTGCTTGAAGTGGCGAGGCCCATTTCCGGCCATTCCGCCTCGCTCAGTCCTCCCAGCTCTTCTCAACCGTCTCTCGGACCCGTTTAGTGTACTCCTTTCGGTTGTCCTTGTACAGGTTCGAGGCCTCGACGTTGGCAGGCGAGCCCGTGTTGGGATCGTTGAGCAGGCTGTGTGCACGTGTGTCAGGATCCATCATCTACCTGGCTTGCACATCGACAGGCGTACCTCTGAATGCTCGTCAAGACGGCAGCCACGTCGTATGTAGGGCTCCATCGGTTTTGCAGGATATCCAGGCACAACTCGCCCGTAGCGTACACGTTGGGGTGAAACATCTGGCTGATGAACTTGACTTGCGGCGGCTTGTTGGGATACTGCTCTTCGAACTGCATGACGAGTCTGAACGTGCCGTCCTCAAAGGGCGTATCGGCCGGTCCGATGATGACGGCGTTCCTGGAGTCGTCGTTAGAGCCCATCGGGGGTGAGCAAGTGGTTTGACGGGGAGAGCGAACCAGGTCATGACATTGTCCGGGATGGGGGAGGCAGACACGCCGGCAGGGGGATCCGTCTGCATGCGCTGCGCAAAAGTCAGCGACGCTGCCAGGGAGCTTCAGATGGCCAGGCCGACCTTGAAGTCGCGCATCAAGCGGCGTCGGGCGGCCGTAGACATGATGGAGGGGCCCGTGGGCTAGCTGGTGACGATGCTCGGGGAGAGAAAGATGCAGCTTGGCGGGAAAGTCGCGAAATGATGTCTGGATGTTGGTCTAGACCCCGCTCGAAGTTCAACTTGGGAGGAATTTTGGCATCGACGCCTCTTTTGCGAGACGGGAATCGGTAGCAGCCCAGAACTGACTCTCCTTCTCACTGTGCCTGCCAGTGGCGACGGGGCCAATCAGTCCCTGTTTGATGAGGTGATCCCATCACGTGACCTCGCGGAGCGGGTGGCGCGCGCCAGTTGGTTGGGTGATCCGTGCCTGCCTCGGTCGGGGACACGGTGACGCGGAAAGTACCGAGGTACAAGGATGTGGTACTCGGATGAAATCGTGTATCTTGGGCGACTCCAACGACATGTCCATTTCTCTCTTATCAACTCTCATAAAATGCCTCTACGGCATACAACCAAGTGCAACATGCCGTCGCATTGCTCCCTGCAGCAAGTGCGCCTCGGAGCGTCCAGTTCCCCCTTTTCCCTCCCCCAAACGCCCTCCCGAGCTCCCCCGCTTTAAGCCGAAGCGTACCGAGCACCAGAATCGCGGCCTCGGAACAGCAACCGCCATCCTCCTCCTCCCTCTTCTTCCTTGTTCTTCGCCCCCTTCTTGTCGCCGCCTCCCACCACAGCTTCCCGCACGTCTCGATTACTCCAAAATCCCCGGTTCTGCTCCCAGGATGCCCGCAGCGCAGCTCAGATCGGCCGTACTGCCGGGTCGGCTCGCCCGGCATGTGAAAGTCGCCCGTTCGTTCTCTACTGGCGCGGCGCTGCAAAGGGAGATTCGCGATGCCTACATCTTGAGCGCTTCGAGGACGCCGACGGCCAAGGTCCGTCGGGCTTGACCCTGGCCGCGCCTGCTGATGGCTGACGCATGGCTTCCAGTTCAACGGCTCGTTTCTGTCGGTGCCCGCCCCCAAGCTCGGCGCCGAGGCCATCAAGTCGGCCGTCGAGAAATCAAAGGTCCCTGCCGACAAGATCACCGACGTCTACATGGGCAATGTCATGCAGGGCTCCGTTGGCCAAGCGCCGGCTCGGCAGGCCGCCATCTTCGCCGGTCTCCCGCAGTCGATTGAGGCGACGACCATCAACAAAGTATGTGCCTCGGGCCTCAAGGCCGTGGCTCTCGCCGCTCAGAACATTCAGCTGGGCCTCTCCGAGGCTCAGGTTGCCGGTGGCATGGAGAACATGTCGCGGGTCCCCTACTACATGCCTCGTGCCAGCAGTCTGCCGGCGTTTGGACACGTCCAGGTCGAGGACGGCCTGATCAAGGACGGCTTGACGGACGTGTACCAGCAGTTCCACATGGGTAACTGCGCCGAGAACACGGTAAAGAAGCACTCCATCACGAGGGAGCAGCAGGACGAATACGCCATTCAGTCGTACAAGAGAGCGCAAAAGGCGTGGGCGGACAAGGCCTTTGCCGACGAGATTGTGCCCGTCACAGTGCCTGGGAAGAAGGGAGACAAGGTCATTGACACGGATGAGGGCTTCATGGATGTCAAGATGGAAAAGATCCCAACTCTGAAGCCGGCCTTTATTCGTGACGGGTCAGGCACGGTCACGGCGGCCAACTCGTCGACGCTCAATGACGGTGCCAGCGCGCTCGTGCTGGGCAGCAAGGCGATTGCGCAGCAGTTTGGGACGGGCTCTCGCGTGCTGGCCAAGATCTGCAGCTACGCCGACGCCGCGCTGGCGCCCATTGACTTCCCGGTTGCCCCCGCAAAGGCGGTGCCGATTGCGCTGGAGCGCGCTGGCATCACCAAGGACCAGGTGGCCGTGTGGGAGTTTAACGAGGCGTTTGCCGCCGTCATCCTAGCCAACCAGAAGATTCTCGAGCTCGGCAACGCCAAGGTGAATGCTCTGGGCGGCGCCATCTCGCTGGGACACGCGCTCGGCAGCTCGGGAGCGCGGATTCTGACGACGCTGCTTCACCAGCTCAAGCCCGGCGAGTATGGAGTTGCTGCCATTTGCAACGGCGGCGGCGCGGCCACGGCCATGGTTGTGCAGAGGGTGGACTCTGTGTAGGCTTATTGCTCATTTTCCTGTTTCTCTGGATAAGGTCGGGGTATTTTGCAGCGTCCATGATATGTAGGCAAATGGGCGTCTTCGCTTTCGACTTATGGAGTGATGGAGCTCTGTAGTCTGGGCCACCAATCGCAGCTGCTCTGCCGTGGCACATTGCTCAATTCCAGCAAAGTACAGGATATGCGATTCTGACTCTTGCTCATATCAGTCAATTGACCCACGAGTTGGGAGTCTTGCTCCCTTTCTGCCGTCGTCGAGCACTGGCGCCCCGCCAAGTGCCGCCGAGATGAAGGACGCGCTGAAGAAACACCACAGCCACCACCTCCACCACCACCTCCACCGCCACCACCACACCCACCCGCCCTCGCCCGCTCCCCCTCCGCAACAGCAACCGCAAAACGGCCCGAGGCGAGCGCGCGCGGCGCCAACCCCGGCATGTCGCTCGTGCGGCAGTTCCTCGCGCAGATCCGGCAGCACGTGCGCGACGAGCGCGACGACCTGCTGCGGGCATGGCTCCAGGTCGAGCCCAGCGCGCCGCGCCAGTACCACGACATGGCGGCCGAGCTGCGGCGCTCCTTTGCGCAGGGCCTCGAGGCCGTCATTGACGAGTGCCTGCCGCTCGACGACGACGGCGACGACGGCGACGACGACGACGCCAAGGCGTCCGTCTGGCCGAGCTTCCAGGCGTTTATGCGCGACTACCTGACCCTCTGGCGGGACATTAACCACGACGACTTGCTGCAGGCTCATGAGCTGCTCACGGCCCTGGTCAAGTGAGTTCTCTTGCCTCTCTCTCTCTCTCTCTCTCTCTCTCATGTGTCCAATGCTGCTCACGCACTTGCAGCTCCTGCGGCACCGCCTTCACCCACCCCCAGCACGGCGCCATGCTCATCCAGCTCAGCATGTCGCTGTGCGAGTCGCTCGCCCGCTTCACCCTGCGCCTCAACCGCAGGCCCGACCTGACGCGCCGCCTGCGCGCCTCGCGCGACGACGAGGGCGCCACAAAGACCGTCGCCGAGTCCTCGGCCGAGACCATCCAGAAGATCTTCAAGACGTGCCTCATGGACCGCGCCTCGGGCCGCAAGCCGGAGGGCAAAAAGGTCGGCGTCTACATGTTTGCCAACCTCGTCCTCAAGCTCCTCTTTGCCGTGCGTTCCGCCCATGCCCCTTTCTTTTTCTCTCTTCCTTCCATTCTAACGCCGTCGCCTCGTCCAGTGCAAAAGGACCAACCTGGCAAACATGATATTTCGCAACATGTCGGCCAGCTCGCCTCCTCTGCACCTCTACCCGGCCTCGCAGCGAGTCACCTACCTCTACTACCTAGGCCGCTTCAACCTGTCGACGAACCACTACCTGCGCGCCGCCTTATGTCTCGAGCAGGCCTACCTCCAGACGCCGCCCCAGCTCGTCTCCCATCGCACAAATATCCTCACCTACCTCATACCCTGCAACCTCCTCGTCGGCCGCTTCCCCTCTGCCCGCCTCCTCGACCGGCCCGAGGCCCGCTCCCTGCAGCCCATCTTCCTGCCCCTATGCCAGGCCGTCCGCTCCGGGAACTTTATCCAGTTTCAGCACCACCTCGCCGCCCACGAAGCCTGGCTCTTTGAAAAGGGCCTCTATCTACCCCTCAGCTACCGTCTCCGCCCGCTGCTGTGGCGGTCTCTGGCTCGCAAGACCTTCATCTTGACCTACGTGCCCCCCACCGATGCGGCGTCGCGCAAGGCCGCGACGCTGGACCTCGCCGACCTTCTCGCCGTGGCCACGTACCTTCAGCGTCGCCTCCAGGGCTGGCTTCCCTCAAGCCACGTCGTCCGCGGCCGGCCGCCGCACGTCAACGCCCTCTTCATCAAGGCCATCACCAGCAACGTCCACATCCCCACCGAGACGACGCTCGTGCCGCCCCCCGGCGGACCCAAGAAGCTGCGCCCCAATGAGGGCCTGATCTGGGGCAACGCAGACGTTACTTTCAACGATATTGAGATGACGGTCGCCTCGCTCATCCAGCAAGAGCTGATGCACGGCTTCGTGGCTCACGGCCAGGGCAGGTTCGCCATCATTGGAGCCAAGGCAAAGGGGCCCGTTCTCGCCGGCTGGCCCACCGTCTGGCAGGCCATTCAAGAGAGGAGATACGAGGAGACGTTTGACCCAAACGAGGTCCCTGGATGGGTCAAGGGCTAAAGGGTGAATCGAGGGAGGGGAGAGCCTCCATACCGATACATTATCCTGACAAGCCATCTTGCAGGAAGGTTTGGCAACACAACGATACCCAGGAGCTTCGCGCACAGCCAAAAGCATGAAAAGGGGACAACTGTGCCCCCTGGCGATGGAGTTTGAGTTTTCCAAAAAAACCATACTCTCCTTCGCGGGGTAGCCGGTTCTTTCAAGAACGCAACGACTCATTACTTCCTGTCTCATAGGAAGGGACAAGCATACAATTCCATTAAAGAACAGCCGAATGACCCGGCTGGTTCTCCCGTGTCTGCATATATTCTTCCACTCCCCGCCTGTCCAGAATACACCTAAACCCCCTTCTCCAATCACCAATCCAAACTTCCGAGGCTAAGAGGGTATCGACCAATGAAAAAAAGGAAAAAGGGGGAGAGGAGCAAGCAAATGCCGTCAAAGAGGCCTCTAGTAGTCGGCGAAAGTGTGAAGCGAGTAGAAGTGAGCCGTGGCGAGTCGTGGAAACGCAGTCAGCCGCGGTCATTCTGTCAGGTTGGCAGTAAACACCCTATCGCCGATAGCTAAGTTGGCTAATATGTGGAAGAAGGAGAACGGTATATAGTAGGAATAAAACGGCGGGGCCAAGAATGCGGCGCGAGTCTGAGCGACTCGGCCAACATTGGGAGAGCCCGCCGCAAGAAGCAGAGGTAATATAAATTAGCAGTTGAAGGGGAGAAAAGACCAAAAAAAGCAACTCGTCAGGAATCCGTCGGGCATGGACAGGCAGAAGTCAAGCTCGTGCAAGGGGGTGCCTTGCTGGTCTGAAAACTCAGGCCAGGCCAAGCTGCATCTAAAAGAAGCAGGCAGCCGCGACAAAGGCAACAACCAGACCTGCAACGGCGGCGTTGCCTTGCTGCCGACCGGCCTCACCCTTCTTACTAGAGACTATGGCCGGGCTGTTGGGCGGGCTGTTGGGCGTTGCCTGGGGAGGAGACCAGGACGACGAAACGGAGCCTTTGGCCGCGAAGCCGGTGGGCGCGGTGGCGTTTTCATTGAAGACGGCACCGGGCAGCATCGTGGGGCGCCTGAACTTGCTGGTCGTGGAGGACATTGTCGAATTTGACGTCTTGTGGTTTCCTGACGTAGTCGTCGCCACGGAGCTGGTTGTTGCCACGAGGTTCTTGGACGTTGTGATGGGCACATAGGCCGGCGATAACAAACCCGCCGAGGATGTCGTCGTAGCTGATGTGGTCACAGGAGGTGGTGGCGGCGGCGGCGGCTTTGTCGTCGTCTTGATCGTCGTCGACTGCTGTGTCGTCAATGGCTCTGGTGTGGTGGTCATCTTCTCTGGTACAGTTGTCGGCTCCTGAACGACGGTCGTCGAGGGCTCTGGAGGGGGGGCCACAGTCTCGGTCTTTGCCTCCTTGGAGGAATGCACGGGGTAACCACCGCCGCCGCCGCCACCACCCTTGCCGCCGCTGCCTTCCTCGGTGACGACAACGTTGGCCACTTTGCCCTTGGGAACGGTGACGACGCAGAACTTGGCACCTCCCGCACCGGCGGCCGCCAGTTTGCTTTCGACGCTGCCTTTTCCGGAGGAAGAGCGAATCTCGCACGGCAGTCCGACGCAGCCGCCATCGGGGCATTCGATCTTGAGCGAAAAGCCAGGGGCCTTCATGTCCAGCTCGAGGAACTTGGGGTTCCAGCCAATCTTGACAAAGGTCATGCCATTTCGTTCAGTATTGGCGCCGACGACAAAGGGGCTCCAGTTCCCAATGGCCTGCGACTCGCTGCCCCAAATGCAGCCCTCGACGCCGGTGCCGGGAGGGTTGACGTAGTAGCTGCGGCCTCGGTCAGCAATGCGTTGCGCGGGAGGCACGAGGTCTGCCTTACTGAGCTGAAGTCTTTCTCCAGTAGCTGGCGCCAGGGACCGAAATGGTCGTCTCGGTCTCGACCTCGGCGAGGGTCGGGATGGCCATGAGCTCGTTGCCGGGCAGAATAGTCTGACACCAAGAGAGGGGGTTTCGGCACTGGTTCACGACCCTGACCGTGCCAGTGCCCTCGACGCAGTTTGGTCTGTCGGGGAACGGTTTGCGCACGATCCCATCTTCACCGCAGTGCAGTCCGCCGTTCTGTGCCGGGGTCAGCGGCGGAGCCCTATCCAACGAGGGCCAGGGCAGCATACCATTGACGAGGGATAGGTATAATCCGAATGGGGATCCCACTGAGCCATAACCATGCCCGGCTTGCAAGCGATGGGGCAGTAGTGACCCGGCCTGCACTCCTGGTCGGGGCTCATTGCCCACCCGGCATTCTTGCCCTCGGGAGTGATGGCGACGAGGTTGGGGTCGTCAGTGGGAAACTCGCACATTTTGCCGCGCTTGGCAATGGGGTGCCAGTGAGCGTGTCCATGGAAATGCCTCGGCCTCATTGCGCGCTGGTGCAGCTTCTCGTGCGCCGGCGTGGCCCTGCAGCCGGTAGCGAGGAGGAGGAGGAGGGCGGCCGGCCCGAGGGCGGCGTGAATCGAAGCAAGCTTCATACCGTGTCGATGGCTTCCTGGCGTCACGGTCGCTGCATAGAGAGCTCCAAGCGGATGAGAGAAGCGAACGAGGTCGGACGGAGTCGAGATTGAAAGCTAAGGAGCGTGTGCGTCTTGTTGTTCCAAGAGGTGTGTATAAGCGAGAGAAGGCGAGGAAAGGAGTGGACGAGCAGCCAAAACCGGGCTCTTGGATCGCGAGTGGCTTGGTCAAAGCAGACAGGACAAATGAGTGTACGGCCGTTGGCGACGAAGCGGAGACGACGAGAGAGAGGACCGTCAAAAGGGGTCCCGTCTGTTATGACCATGCCTACCGCATCTGCGCAAACCCACCGGGGGGGCCAAGCCCTTTCTTTCCTCAGCCAACTGCGGGAAGGGTTGCGGACAGGGATATCAGCCACCCCTCCAATCAGCGCGAGGCGCTCTTACAGAACTCATTTCCTTATTCGGTGGGTCGGCCAATCGTACGGGCGAGACATGTTGAGCCGAAATGGAGAGCCCCGCTCGGCGTTCATAGTTTTATTATTGCCCATGTTATTAATAGCGCTTACGTCGCCTGATCTTCCCTCACCTCGAGTCTCGGTCTGGCCGGATTTCGAACAGAAATGGAAAAAGGAACGAACCCCCCCACAAAAACCTCGAGCAGCTGTCGCTCAGCGAATAGAATCAGCCGCTGAGCACAAGGGTCCCCTATCGTCATCTCGACTCGCAATAAGACAGACATCATCTAGAAGCCGTGCGTTACCGTTTTTTTTTCCTCGTCGCATGCGCCGAACCCGCCAGCAAGGACTGGTTGCCTGGGGAGTCTGCTCGAGGGCCAGCTTGGTGAACCAGTTGTTTGTTGTTCGACGACCGACAGACTCGCAATCGCGATCCGACCGAACCGTGGGGGCGCGATCCATCGCCAGGCCCTGCACCTAGACTCTCGCTAATCGACAGCCAAGCAGACAATCGCGAGGATGCTTCCAAGTCGGCCCTTGGCCTGCGGCTCCACCATCCTGTGCCCTAATCAAGGGCCAACAATGCGCCGTATTCTCCCTCTTGCGACCCCATGCCCAGACCAAACAATCCGGACTTGCTCATAGCCTCCTCGATGGACCGAACAGGGAGCTGCAAGGCTGAGCCGAATATTTATTGCAGCAATCCAGCGGGCAACGAATCTAATCATAATCGGACAGCTGTCATGACCAGTCCCAACAGTCGGCCTGATATGCTCGCATGTCTGGCGAAACAGCTCGCTGGTCATGATGATGGATCACCCTCGATTAGTGTCCAGCGTTCCGCGCCAGGAAAAAAACAACTGCTGGTGATGCGGGCTTCGCACAGGGAGAGCCGCGGGTTTCTCCGCCAAACGGCAGCGACACTGCGGTGCGCTTTGAGGTTCTTTGCCATGCCAGACTCACTCGCGGCTTGCTATACCCAGCGAAGCCACGGTCTTTATTTGACCAACGAATGAAGGGCAGGCCCTTGCTGATCGAGAAGCGACGGCCTTCCCTGCCGTCAATATTATAACCGTTGGCTCTTCCACCTAGTCGCCCTGCCGTACCTGCCGCAAATCGAGTTTGCAGCTTGGCTCGTCCAACCTGGCCGCTGCTCGATAAATGTTTCACATTTCTCTTTCTATCTCTCCCATTGTGCCTCATGCAAGACACCATTTTCCCTAGTGATCGGTCCGGAGCCAGGTCTAAGTACACGCGAAAATGTGATACAAGGGTAGGGGACTGTGTGCCTCCAGGGAGCATCAAAGGCCCTTTTCCCTATGCCCGACGACCTTGGCAAACGAGTCGAAAGACATTGTCATGGAGTGACGGCCAGCCGTTTTGCTGCGTAGATGATCATCGTAATTCAGCATCTCCTTATATGGCACTTTGGCCACAATCTCCACCATGCGACTCGTCGACCGCTTGCCTCTGAGCGACGTCACCGACTCGTACGGATCAGGGGGCGCATAGATCCTGGACACATCAATGAGGTTGTCTCCTGTTGACTCTGCTGACCGATCTGTGACCTCGAGGATGTGGCCGCCGGCGCCGGCCGTGATGTCGTGCTGCACCGTTCCTGCCGCTGCCTCTGGGCACGTTATGTGCGCCAACATAATGGGCTCTAGAATGCCAATCTGACCTTTGTCGAATGCCTCGCGAAGGGCCGCCTGTACGGCCGTTCTTGCCGCGCTGCTGAAATGGCCTCCACTTGGACTCTCCAGCGCACCGTCGGACGCGTCGAGCGAAACCCTGACGTGGCAACCGTGAACCGGGGACGCACGTCGAGGGCCCCGGGCCAGGCCGGCGATGGCGCCATTCAAGAGCTGCTGACGAGCCTCGTCCGCGTCAAATTTTAGCGACACTGGTATGTCAATGTCAAAGACGTTGCCGTCTCTTTCGAAGCCATATTCTCCTGGGCCCTGGCTTTGGTGCTCATCCATCGGCTCCAGCGTAACGGTGCATGAAGCTTTTCCAGGCTTGCTGGCTATTGCACGGTCAAACACGGCGTACTGCGGTTGCGTGGGCATCGTGACACATTCTTTGTAGTCAACCTCGATTTGCCCAAACTCGGCATCTATCTTGTGCCTCTGCCTCATGTTATAGACGGACACATCCAGGTGAAGCTTGCCCATCCCCTGGACTGTGAACTGATCAGTCTTGGGATCTCGAGTCCACCGTAGACTCGGGTCCTCTCGGGAGGCGTTTTCCAGAGCCACTTGAAGTTGCTGTGCCGCGACGTTTCCGTAAGGGTCGACCTGCAAGAACGCAACGGGGGGTGGGATCTCTGGTGGCCGGACCTGTATGTGGCGGAGGCGCTCAACGAGCGGCTTCCCGGTTCTTGTGGTAATCAATGTGTCTCCGCTTCTTGCCCTTTTAAGTCCCTTGAGTGCTCCGATCTGTCCGACGCGGAGCTCTTGCACCTCTTGCGTCTTCGACGCTGAGATTTGGAGTATGCCCATGGGTCGTTCTTGAACCATCATGTTGGCGTTGAAGGTGGATGCGTTTCGCGTCAACGTTCCGTGGTAGACGCGCACGAAGCTGATGACGCCTTCTCTGGGGTGATTGAATACTTTGAAGACGGACGCGACCGAGGCAACATTTTCACGGCCGCCTTGCTCTCCGAGAAGGTTCCCAAGCCGATGCTTGAAGGGTCCAAGCCGCACCTCGACGTCTGGTCTCTCAGACGGGCAGGGCAAATAATCGGCTATGGCGTCCATCAACGGCTCGACTCCGATGTGGCGGAAGCTGGATCCTGCGAAAACGGGAATGAGACGACCATCGCCGCTGCGGATTGCCCTTCTGATCGCCTGCTTTAGCAGGGACGCCGGGATCTCTGCATCCTCAGCCAGAAACTCATCCATGACTACCTCGTCGAATTCAGCAAGGCCCTCGATCAAATGCTGCCTTGCGAGTTGTGCCTCCTCAAGCAGGGCCGGGTTCGAGCTCGAGAGCACCTCCGCCAACTCTTCGGGGCCGTATCGAACCTTGTGCCTTTCAGATTTCCATCGATATCCCACGCCATCGATGATGTCGATGACGCCCACAAATTCTTCTCTTTCCCACCAGGGTATCTGGCAGACGAGCGGCCAGCCCTTGAGCCTGGCGCCGACCTCAAGGACCGACTTCTTGAAGGAGGCGCCCTCGCGGTCCAGCTTGTTGCAGTACACGACGCGCGGAATGTTGAGCTCGTGAGCAGAAGCCCAGACTCGCTCGGTGTGAGCCTCGACACCTTTGACCGAGTCTATGATGCAGACGGCGCCGTCAAGAATCGGGAGGCATCGATCGACCTCGAATCTAAAGTCCTGGTGGCCGGGGGTGTCAATCAAATTGACAGTCTTGGGTTGTGTGCCGGGTGGACAATTCTGGGCCAAGGGCCAGTGGAAGGTGATGGCGGCCGATTGAATGGTGATGCCTCGCTCCCTCTCGAGCTCCAAGAAGTCGGTGACGGTGTTTCCAGAGTCCACATCTACAGGGCAATCAGTAGACTGGAGCAAGGTTGCCGAAAGGCTCTAGTGTCACCTACCCCCGACTCGCTGCGTGACACCACTGTAGTAGAGCATCCGCTCTGTCGTGGTCGTCTTGCCCTATGTCCCAACATGAGCTCCAAAGTCGTCAATCAAGAGGACACAAAGAGAGCATACAGCATCTACGTGGGCGATGATGCCAATGTTGCGGATGTCCTCGAGGCGGGTGTCATGACGAGCCGGGGCATCGGCATGGCCGTGAAGCCAACAGCGGCCGACGGCTCCTCGCAACGCCAGGCGACCTTTTGCCCTTGCAGAGAGGCATACCGACGCGGACGGCATCCTGCGGGAAAGCGTCGAGTGGATCATGTCGCCCGATGCAGCTTATGCGGGAGCATCCCGTCACTTCTCCTTCCACGTGAGGCCTGTGGCATGCCGGTTGACGGCGAGCCTCTGTTGTTGTGAGACGTCGTCTGCAGGGACTCGAGAGGGTGGCCAACTATCGAGGCAATCAAGTTACGCAAGGTTGGCTTCGAGGTGACGAGCTGCTGGTTTTCTGTTCCTGCCTCCGGAGCTGTCCAAATCGGGTAGGCGGTGAAGATAAGTACTTGGGATACTTGAAGCAGCTCCCATCCACCCAAACGGGACCAGACGTCGGTGGTGACCAGCTTGCCGCTCCTCAAAGGAATAGCAAGTTCTCTAAGTCGCATGGGAACCTCTCGTCGACCGTGGAAAAGGCATCTGCACGTCGATGATCTGAAGCTATTTTATCCCAGGCTGGCGTCGCATTGACTACGGTTTGGAATGGAATCCGAATCTTCATGTTCTTGGCTCGAACATGGTATCTCGTGGTCCACGTCTAGTATTATCCGTGCATGTTTGCTTGCCTACGCCGGCTGTTGGACCATCAAAACTATTATACCAGTGACCACAAAGGGGTGGCTGGTAAAAGTGGCTCCCAAGGGCACCTCTATCCCCTCCCAGGATCCGTCTCTTCGGACTACTGCCATAGGAGAATTATGAAATGCGGCTCCAAGAGCCCAACGGCCCCCGCCAGAGACGGAGACGCGCAAACGGGGACGGGGGCGTCCGAAATGGGAGAGCGGACCCTCTGTCGTAGCGAAGAGAAGATGTGCTCCGGCTAGGATCAGAACCAGCTGTCGGATCGTATCAAGTTACGGGCCAGCACTACGGACATGGCCAGGGGGTGTGAGGATGTAATTTTCTTTTCTTCCTTCTTTTACATGAGAGATGATGCAATATGGTTATCCCTGCGTATCCAGCATCTTTCCAGGTGCTTTCAACACCATCTGCATACATAGAACTAGAATATCTAATGCCTTGGAGGTTGGAGGTTGCCCATCATGTGCAGCCCCGTGGATGATGTGAAGCTACGAATACGGTAGGCGTCAGAGCAGAGAGAATGGACTTTGTAATCCACGTTAATAACACCTTCGTTGAGGGTGCCCCTATTCTGCCCTGTGTAGCGGTATTTTACCAGCTTGACAGTGCTGTAGCTTGCAGGTATTATATCTAGTTTTCAGTCCCCCCAGAATCAGAACTTCAGTTAGTACCTAGATACTTTAGATAGCAGGCTCGAGCACCGGATTAGTAACCACGGGGCTCTCCGCAACACCTGCTGCTATTATCAAGTTCTTACGGTACCTAGTTACCAGGTATATACGGAGTACGTCACTTCCAAGCTCAAGTCGTCCGCGTAACGCTAGTTCCATCTTTCTTTCGCCCTTCCTCTCTCGCGTCGCGAAAGCCTCATCTTCCCAACCTTTGAGCCCAAGCCTCTGCTCTCCAGTCATCTCTAGCTAGCGCCTCTGTCCACACAACGCACACTCTCATCTTCTCCTCGGACTCGTGTTTTTCAGCCACCGCATCTCGCGCAGCCGCAATTCGCCGTCATGGAACTCTCCGACATCTTGTACGTGTCGCCGGGCCAGCCCAGTCTCAATTGGAGCTAGGAACTGACTCTTTGCGCCCCTTGCTCCAGTCGCTTCGTCAACTTGGCTCTCGGTGCCATCACCGTCCTCGGCGGCATCGCGCAAATATTCGGCTTCAGGCTGTGCGTTTGACCCCTGACTAGCTTCGTTCGAATGTTCCGACCGAAACATCCGCTGACTGCCGAGCTCAGCTCAACCATCGTCGTCGGTGCCTACATGATTGTCTTTGGTCTCGCCATCGCTCTGCTGGGTATGAAGCTCCTCGTCGTCAATGGGACGTGCACTCCTGCTGACGCTCGGGCCAGAGTTCCAGATTCCTCCTCAAATCTCCCGATATGCCTCCTTCCTCTTCTCCTTTGTCGGCCGAGGTGCTTGTAGGTTCTCCAGCTCACCAGTGAACATACCTCAAATACTGATCGTTCCTAGTCTACATTTTCCTTGGCGGCTTGCTACTGGGTGACATGGTCATCCAGAAGATCGCAGGTGGCATTGTCGGCATCGTCGGCATCGGCTATGTCGTCCTCGAATTCGTCCCTTCAATCGAGCCCCCAACAAACATGCGTGAGGCCGATGTCGCAGGCTGGGGCGCTGAGCAGGTCTAGGCAAGACCTGCGCAAGTGCTCCCGGAGCATAGGGCAACGACTTTAACAAGTTCCTCGAGACATCGCGCTTCGGTCAACGAGCTGCACAAGGCGGCGCAAGAGATGGAGCAAATCGCCGACAAATTCAAGACCGCCGGGTAAAGGCGATGGAACCCATGTACTTTTACGGTTCAAGGGTAGACAGGGAACGAGATTGATGCGGACGGCTTGACGGGCTGAGTGGAAGAGTAGTGGTTCGTCGATAGAAGAAGCAAAGAGCATTCTCTTCCCCCTTCGCGCGACCTGCCGACTGGTCCAAGAGAGATTGCCCGGAACTTTGGCCCTGTTCAATTTGAATACGCAGTAATGTTACCACGGACACTCCCATCGGATAAAGGGGAAAGACCTCACGCCTCGAATGGTATCCCACATTTCTGCATCCCGTACCTTATCGCCAGCCCATCGCCGCCTACTTCCACTGACCCGCGTCCTCGACGCCCTTGGCCACGCCCGTCGCGCCGCTCTCGACGCCGGTCCCGAGGGAGCCCAGCGCATTGCCGACGGGCTTGCCCGCGTCCCCCGTGGCGCCCGAGATGGTGTCGCCCACGCCCCTCGTCGCGGCGCCCGTTACGCCGCCCACGGTCCGCGCCACTCCGCCCACCACGTTGCCCAGCGTGCTGGTTGTGAACTTTGCGACGCCGGCGGCCTGGTCGCCCGTCGTGTTTGCCGTCTTGGAGACCCTGTCGTTGGAGGACATGGCGGGTCGGTGCTGTGCGTCTGAGGTTTGTGTTTGATGAATGAGAGGTGGGATCGGATACGAGTCGTCCGAGTTTGGTGACTAGGGGTCTCTGCGCTTGAACCGAGGCACTTGAGGTAATAGAGGGTTTTCCAGAGTTACGCTGAAATCTAGGAAAGGCGGACTTTTATGGCTCGGCCGTAGCCTTGGCGGCAGGCAGGGACAGACAGCTTGGGATAAACAAGATGATGAAGCAGCACAAGGTCCATCTTTCATGACGTTATGACGTCAGCCTGATGCATCTTCAATCTCGATCGCGCATCCCAGCAGAGCTGAGAGCCAGCTGCTCGCGGCACGGTGACATGTGATCCTTCTTTCCAAGAAACAGGTTGGGTGAAGAGCGAACCAAGGAGCCTCAAGGCAAGCCTGCGTCGCGTTTCTTGCCCAAAGCAGTAGGTCAGCAGCCCATCCTCGCCACGGAGCTACGTCGCCGCGTCATTACCCGATGTTGAACTCGTCGGCCGTTGCCTTCATCAGCATCCTGCTCTTCATCCTGATGATGTCGCGCGGGGGCTTCTGCTCTTGCGTGTGCCCCATGGCCGCGTCCTTTGGACCCTTCCTCGCCTTGCGTTCGACCCCTGCGCCGATGCCGCCGGGGGCCTCTCTCAAGCCGAAGCTCTTCGCCGCATGACCCAAGTGCAGCTCGGTGAGGTTAAAGTGCACACGCTCCTCCTTGACATGCGTAGCATAGGCCCGGATGTGTGATCTGAAGCCGCTCCGTGCCAGGTCCAGCCGTTGGGTATCGTTGAGGAGGCGCTGTTCAAAGTGAAGTTGCATGGATTCCGCCTTGTCGTGGTATGAAGATCCGTCTGCGGGTGTCGCAGACGTCTCGACCGGAAACTCGAGCTTGGCCACGAGCCCAGTCTTGAGAACTGACTCGTAAGAAAGCGACGTGGGCGATGTGGATGACTTGAGGAGTTCTATATAGCCCTCCTCCGGCCCCGGAAGAAGGAATAGCACGGCATCACCAGGGCGTCCAGCTCGAGCCGTCCGACCCACGCGGTGAATGTGATCTGCGAAGCTAAAGGCCGGATCGTACTCGATGACCAAGTCGACAGACGGGATGTCAAGACCACGAGACGAGACGTCTGTGGTGATTAGCACCGACGGAGACTTGCACGCGGAAAACGACCGCAGCGTTGCTGTCCGAACTGGCTGGCTGAGCGATCCGTGCATCCTGTGCAAGATGACTTCCGGGCTAGCCGCAGAGGTGACGTATGCCGCCTTGGACACTGTCTTGGCAGTTTGTTCTGCCTCCTTTGGCAAAGGAGCCGGGAGGGCTGAGTCGTCTGGATGCCGGAGAAGCTCGTAGTGAAAGTCGACCGAGTCGGCACAAGACATGAAGATGATGGCTTTCATTATACGGCCGCGGCGAGAGAAGATGGACTTGAGGTGCGCCACCAGCGTCACCAGGCGGAGTTTCGACGGCACGATAATGTACGACTGATGCAGTTGCGCAGGAGCCTTGTGGACTGCATTGTCTTCCGGCTCGTCGGCAGCGTCCTTTTCAGCCGCTAAAAGTGTGGCATCAGTAAGACTGAGTTCACCAAGCTTCTGCACATTCATCTTCATGGTGGCGGAGCAGAGGACGGTGACACGCCTGGTAGGGAGTGCGTCAAGCGCCGTGCCGTTTGTTGTTGTTTTGGAAACGGGCAGGTCCCGCAGCGCAGATATGGCCTTTTGCAGATCTTGCTCGAAGCCAAGGTCCATCAATCGGTCGCCCTCATCCAGTATCAACCAGCGGACAGTTGCGAAGCTCAGAGCCTTTGTGTTGTCTATGTGATCGGCCAACCGACCGGGGGTGGCGACGAGAAAGTTGACGCCCTTCCGAATTCTTGCCTTTTCGGCCTTTTTTGACTCTCCGCCGGTGATTGCGGTGGAAACAAGCCACGGAAAGGGCCGAATGAGTTGCTCGAGGACCTCATGGACCTGCCTAGCCAGCTCGCGGGTTGGCGAGACAATGATGGCAAAGATGCCGGAATCTCGGTGAAGTTGCTTGCCCCCAGCAGAGCCACTCAGGAGCAGGACACGATGGAGAATCGGGAGGAGATAGGAGAACGTCTTGCCCGAACCGGTTTCTGCTTGCACAAATGCATCAGACGTGCTCGATAGCAAGTGCGGAATGACCTTTTGCTGGATGGCTGTTGGGCGATTCAGATTCATCTTGGCCAGCTCGTCCACCAGCCGCGACGACAGGGTAAGGGACCCAAAGTTGGCGACATCGGCGAGCGGCGCGTTGGAAGGCTGCGGCGCTTCCCATTCTTCTTGTTCCGCCGCAGCCGTCGTCTGGGTTGGGTTGTACGAGAAGAGCCGGGAAACGACTTGTCGAGACCCCTTGCCTGAGTCCGCCGCAGGATTCCTGTGTCGATTGGGGAGGTCGGATGGAGCTCCATGGTCGGTGCCAGGGTCATCGTGTGTTGGAAGCCCCGAACGGGCACCTGCATCTCCCTTGGATCTCTCGCCCTCGACTCGGCGACGTTTCGCGAAGCGTTGTTCCTCGACATCGTTGTCCTGGGTAGTCGCGGGGCGTGACGTTGCGAGTTTGGCGCTCCTTTCGGCGCGCTTCCTGTCCCGCCACCGGCCTCCCCTGAATTTGACTTGGGGCTTGAACGGCTCACTTCCGAGCTCGAAATTGAGCAGCATTCCATCGTCGGCCATGATGAATCGGTTGTCTCTACTGTTTCTCGTTGAGCTCGGATTGGGTGGGGCGTCCGTGAAGCAACTTTTGGGTTCTTGAATTTTTTTCTTATCTAAGCCCGTTTTTTATGGGGTTTATCGATAAGATCGATTAGATACTGCCCACTTCCACTTCCGCTCTCACTCACTCGGTACTGCAGGTCGTCCCTCAGTCTACGGTCCGGGGTACAGTGCCTGTGCCGGCTGTACTTGAGCCCGTGCAGGCGAGTCCGGAGGCCATGACTCGTCGGGAGCACTGGACTACTTGAAGACGACCTTGCTGTGAGCGAGCCATTACAAAGTATACGGCTTTCAAATCGTGACATTTTCCAGCCACCTTGATACGAAGCGCTTGTATTAACACCAGTGGCCGTTTTTCGGGAGCGAGTGAGAGTCACTGCGCATTCAAGACAGTAACAGTACGGGAAAGGCGTGCCGGACGCGGACCAAGATGCCGGCGCCGGGTCTCATTAGTAAGACGGGCAGTTGGCGGACTCCGAAGACAGAGCGGGAGATTTTCGTGGACCCTATCCGTAAAGGGTCAAGTGACGGCCCGGGCGAGCTTGGTCAGCGCTGCTGGCGCTATCCTTTAACTGTACTGTACTGTACTTTCAGTGGTTGCAATGCAGGCCCGGTATAACGGCGAGCTGACGTAGACCATTGGCTCAAGCACGTTATTGGTGTGCCTGAAGGCCGTCGACCACGGTCCACAGCTGAGAGGCCGTTTCTTTTTCTTGCCTCTAATCCAGTCCAGTTTAGCCCACCTCGGGTTTCTTTTCCTGCGCATGTCAAGGCTTTTTTCATTCTTTCCTGGGAGGGCGGGCTTGGAACGCCTTGCGCTGGTGACCAGTCGGCTGGCCTTCCCAAGTTTCCCCTTTTCTCTCGTCGGAGACGCTGCTGCAAAATGATGAATCAGGGATTTGATACGGGGACTACAGCGGACTGCGGAGTTAGGCGGCGTTGAAAGCACAGCTTTACCCGAGACTCTCCATTGGATGGCTGTCTGAGGGTGGAGGAGCCCGAGGCTTCCGGCTTCACCCATGGCCCCCACCTTTAAGGCCCGGACAGCGTGGCCGGGGCCGGTTTCTTCTCGCGAGGGATGAAGGTCCAAGTCGTGGTCGTCATCCATTCACCATCCCTGGCGGAGGATGATGCAAAAAAGAGGGAAAATTTCGGCATATTAAATTGAATGAATGCGGGGGCTGAAACCACCCGCTTGACAATGCATGGTTTAGAAGAAACAAACCGCGGCAGCAGAGAGGAAAAGAACAAAGTACATACAGTACCTACGGATACCGAGGAGGGCATTTCGGGTCGCGTCAGGCCAAGAAAGCGTGCCAATGATGACAGCTTGGGACTGACAGACGGAGGCCCCGCGTGGCGTGTCCGGTACATCTCTGGCCACGTGTGTTCAACAGGCTTTGAGAGTCAACGGTACTTAGGTATCTTCGCCGCGGCATCCTTGCGGCCGGCCGAGGTGCTCTGAGAACCGTGTCAGCGCTGAGCCTCCACCCACTTTAACCCCCTAAAAGAAACCTACAATGGACGCGGGAAGAAAAAATCCCCCAAAGTGGCCCCCGCCGCCCCCCCCTCCCCCGGCGCACCCTCGAGATCCCACGCCTACATTTCGCCCGCCGTCTCCCACATTCTCTGCAACTTGTTCTCCTCTACAAGCTCCGGCACATTCTTTCGCCTCCCAAACCATCCCAAATCATACCCCCATTTCCCTTCCCCTGGACCGCGCGTTCGTTTGACGGCTTCGGCGCTGTCAAATGAACCTGCAATTGATCTTCTTCCTTCGTTTCCCCGTGAGTATGCCTCAACGTCGTCGCCGCTTCGTGACTCATGCAGCTCGCCTCGTCGACCCTGCATCGAGCCGCCGACTCTGTGATCCTTTGCTAATATGCGCCCTCACCCAGTTCCTCCCCCCTCTTGCTGTCACCTAAATGCCCACCATCTACTCTTCGCTGTACACGAATTTCATCCGTCAAGGATCAACATTCGCAAAATCCATCACCACTCACGGCTACGCGCAATCCGTCGTAGCTGCCACACACCCTCATGTTCTCAATTCCCAGAACCGCCCCGTCTTCGGTCGCCGACACACAAGCCGACTAGGCCGTCTCTCTACCCTTCAGCTTCATTCGGCTTTCCATACCGAGCGGACAGGAGCTGGCCTCCCGTCCGATCATCGCCATGGCCACGTCCACGGAGGTCTAGATGCCTACTTCGAGGCTCTGCAAAAGAAGCAGGATGCCGGGGACGTCGACAAGGAATGGACCCAGTTTGAGTTTCAGAAGCGGCTTGAGTGGAAGCCGAGCTCGTCCACGATCCTTGTTGCGGATGAGGGTACTGCCGTCACCCACGAGGCCGGTGCTGCTGAGGCCCACGACGACGCTACCGCCGCCTCCTTTTCAACCGAGGAAGCAGCCGCGCTCGCTCACATTGACGCGGCTTTGGAGGGTGAGATCAAGGCACGGAAACTACAAGACGCTGCCGAGGATGCGCTTCAGGCTTTCCAGTCTGCCTCCCTGCCCGTCTCGAGGCTGGACACCCCCGTATCCCGTCGGTCCCTGACTCCAGGGAGTGTCGCCCGCAATCCGACGCCGCCCGTCGACAGCCAGTCGCAGTCTTATGGCAATCATCTTTCCAGCCTCTCGACTACGGCACGATATGCCGAGATTCCGGCCGTCTTCGAGGCCATGCTGGCCACCGGGGTCAAGCCCACCGCCAGTGCCTACAACGCTCTCCTGATGGCGGCCATCCACCTTCCCACCAAGAAGATCGAGGTAGTCTCCAAAGCCCTCGACGTGTACGCGGACATGATTCGTCGACGAGTGACGCCGGACAGCGACACCTACAACATCCTTGTGGGCCTCTTAGCCTCGCGGTCTCTAGAGGTCTCCGAGATGAAGGCTGCACTCGAAGACAAACGTAAACGCTTTGGCGGCATGGACGAGGCGGGAAAGTTCATGTTCGCCTCCCATGAGCTCGAGCATGCTATCCTCTGCGAAGACGACAGGCTAGATCTCGCCATCAAGCTATTCGACATGTCCGTCGATGCGGACACGGCCATGTACTCGGCGGAGACGTACCATCAGCTGATCTCTGCCTGCGCCCAGGCAGGACGCGTTTCTGACATGCTTGCATTGTTCGAGCACATGGAGTCCAGCAAAACCGCCCCCATCGCAGCCATCTTTCCGGCCATGATCACTGCCTTTGCCGCCCGGGGAGACCTGGTCAGTGCCGTCGAATGCTATAACGAGTACCGGATCCTTGCCGTGGCAAACGACGCCGGGAGAGCAACCTTGCGGGACAGACGTGATGACCAGGTCTACGCCGCTGTCATCAACGCTTATGTCGTCTCGGACAAGATTGAGGGCGCCATGAAGTTTTTCAAGAGGATAGTCGACGAGTACGGCGTCCGAGCTGCTGATATCCAGGATGCTTTGGTCAGCACTGGCTTCGTCGACGGCCTCATCTCGCGCGGAGTCTACCAACAGGCTCTCCGGTGGGCGCAGTCGGTCGAGTCTGAATCCCGAGTTCGAGCTCTGAGCCGCGTCGCCACAGCTGCTGCCGACAACAACGACAAGGTGACGGCCATAGAGGCCTACGCTGATCTCGCCCCCACGTCCGGGTCTGTTGTCAATCCGACAATGGCCCTGCTCGCAATGAGCATCCGCGAGGGAGACGTGGCTTCGGCCAGCAAGCACTGGCACGCCCTTGCGAGCCCCGACGTTCGCGCGACCGCATCCTTCATCGAGCCCACAGCCATGTTTGCCGTCGCCTTGATTGGTTCCGGGCAAGTCGCGGAAGGCCTGATTCAGTCGGAGATGATGTTTCAGCGAATTCGGGCGTTCGAGTCGGAGGGGCGGCCTCAGCTCGCTGAGGAGATTGACGAGGGCGTCGATTTTATCCACCGCTACATGCAGACGCGTGGAATCGCCGATCCCCGTGAGCTGGCATCTCAACCGTCGAGCACTCATTCGCAGCTCCTGACAGGCTCTCCTTTCCCGTCGACGACCACGGTTTCCACCTACGAGGACAACTTCGATCCGCATGCGCATAACACCGACTTCAAGGGGTCGTCGCTCATCGCTGATGACCTGGAGGGCAGTCATGGCCGGAGGGGACCCCGTTTGAACGAGGCCCTCAATCGGTTGCGCAACATGCGCCGTGCAAGCCGGCATCCTCGCTACATAACTTACGCAAAGCTGATCTCGGCCGCGGCCCGCGAGGGCAAGATGGAATTGTGCCACGATGTTCTCGCCATGGCCCGCACTGACGTCCCTTTGCTAGCCCAATATCCCATGGTACGGTACGGGTGGTCCTCGATACTGGATGCCATGGTTGGCGCCTGCCTGACCCTGGGCAACCGCGGAAGAGCCGAACAGTACCACCAAGAGCTGCTGGAAATGGGCGCCACGCCATCGGCCAACACCTTTGGCCTCTACATTACCACTCTCAAGGACTCGACCAAGACGTTTGACGAAGCGTCTGAGGCGGTGCGCATCTTCCATCGCGCCAAGAACGAAGGTGTGGAGCCCAGCTCGTTCTTGTACAATGCCCTCATCGGCAAGCTTGGCAAGGCTCGTCGAATCGACGACTGCCTCTTCCATTTTGCCGAAATGAGGGCCCTGGGCGTCAAGCCAACTTCTGTAACGTACGGCACAATCGTCAACGCGCTCTGCCGAGTCAGCGACGAGAAGCTTGCGGAGGAACTTTTCGACGAAATGGAGGCCATGCCCAACTACAAAGCCAGGCCAGCCCCGTACAACAGCATGATGCAATTCTCCCTCACGACGAAGCGCGACAAGACCAAGGTGCTCGCGTACTATGAGCGCATGCTGGCCAGGGGCATCGCGCCCACGTCGCACACATACAAGCTCTTAATTGATACGCACGCGACCCTTGAGCCTGTGGACATGGCGGCCGCGGAAGAGGTGCTCGGCAAGATCCGGTCGTCGGGCCAGCGAACGGAACCAGTTCACTATGCCTCGCTCATCCACGCGAGAGGCTGTGTCCTGCACGACATGGAAGGCGCGCGGAAGCTCTTCGACAGTGTTGTCAGCGAGGGCCTAGCGCCCGTCAACGCCAGTCTGTTTCAGGCGCTCTTGGAGGCCATGGTTGCCAACCATCAGGTGGCGGATACGGAGCCACTGCTGGTTCAAATGCGAAAGAAGGGTATCGAGCTCACGCCGTACATTGCCAACACTTTGATCCACGGCTGGGCTGCTCAGAAGAACATTGGCAAGGCCCAGGAAATCTACGGTGCCGTGGTGAGGGAAAAGCGCGAGCCGAGCACGTACGAAGCCATGACAAGGGCTTTCCTTGCCGTGGAGCAGAGGGAACAGGCCAAGGGCATCGCCGGCGAAATGCTCACCCGCGGGTATCCCAGTGCCGTTGTCAACAAGGTATTGGAGCTGCTCGGCGGCGGCCAGGAGGCTCCAACGGAGTAAGCGACTGTGTGGGAACAATGATTCGATTTCATTTCCTTTGTTACGTTCGGCGAGCCTCTGACGAGATACCTCCATTGGTTTGTGGGGAGGACTTGGGGTGCCGCGAGGGAGCGACATCAGAGGCTTGTTCAATTTCCTTGTCGGCATTCTGCACGGCGTTCTGGGCGTGCTTAAAACGGGAATCGGCCTCGGAACATCGGCCTAGTAGTATTACGAAGGGTTGTTGGCATTGGAGTTTTGGGCCGGCAGCCCACGGATAGACACATCTCCACTCGGCATGGAAAAAGCCAATCTTAGCAGCAGCCAAGAAGAGGCGGGATGGATGGGAGCAAGGAGCCAGGCGGCCCCGGTTGGACAAGATGAGGAATCAGCTATTTGTCTATTTAGACCTTTCAAATGCGACGAAGATCTGGCAGCATCAGTGGTTTGGATGCGTACGTGAGCATGAGCATGCTGCCGGTGAGTGAGGGTTCTCGTGGCCAGAGGAATCATAGATTGCTAGTTCCGGGCAAGAGCGGCTGAGTGGTGGATATGCGGCATCCGCGAGCGCTGTCGAGCTTCGAGGTGAAAGTCGGGTGAAGCCTAGGCTCAGGTTGGGTGAGACGAGGCTTTTTGACGAAGGCGAGAGCGAAGTTACATGAGCCCGTTGCTGTCCGCACGGTACACGTGCCGTTGCCAAGACTGCTCACAGTGCATATTACTAGGCCTTATCGTGGAATGACGCACTGTGCTATGTAGACGCACAACGGCGTTGAGGCTAGGCAAAAGAGAGCGCGTCACGATCCGCATGCAGAAAAGAGACCAACTTTGACCCGACGCGCCCGCCGTTACGAGTCGCCCGTGGAAGTAGCAACGCTCTGTGTCACTGACACGACCAGGTTGGAAGTCACACAACTGCCCTCTTCGGTCCCGGGCGCGGGCGGCTTCGCTGGCGCTCTTTTCTCTCCTCTCCTCATCCTCCTCCTCCTCGTCGGCAAGCGGCTTGCGGCACAGCAACACCCCCGGCTTCTCAAGCAGGCTCCATGGCGAGCCGACATCCGACCGTGGCCGTCTCGGCGCCGGGCAAGGTGCTGCTGGCCGGCGGCTATCTCGTCCTGGACCGGCAGTACACGGGGCTCGTCTTCGGCCTGAGCGCGCGCATCAACGTGGTGGCGGCCGAGATCCGGACGAGCGAGGGCGTACAGCTCAACGAGATTGTCGTCGACAGTCCGCAATTCCTCGAGGCGCAGTGGCGATATGGTTACCATCTGGCGCCCGAGGGGGGGGGCATCAAGGTGACGCAATTGCAGGTGTAAGTTGGGAATGTGCTGTCATCTCACTCGCCCTCTGTTTTCCGTGGTGGCTTCTCATGGGATATGCCGCGACGTGAATTGCTGCTCAGAGCCTCGCTCACAAGGCTTGCCCTTAACAGCGGAACCAAAATCTCGCCCAACAACTTTGTTGAGACGACACTCAGCTACGCCCTGACATACATGAATCAGGTTGCGCCTCCCTCGTCGGGCCACAGCATCGGCGCCGCGCGCCTCATCATCCTCGCCGACAACGACTACTACTCTCAGACGGCGGCATCAGGCGAAGTGCCCGGTCGCTTCGCCAAATTCTCGGTTCCGCTGAGCCGCGCCCACAAGACGGGGCTGGGATCCTCGGCAGCCCTCGTCACCTCGCTGACGGCGTCGCTGCTCAGCCACTACCTGCCGAGGGACGTCTTCGACGTCACGACGCCCGCGGGCAAGAGGACGTTGCACAACCTGGCGCAGTCGGCTCACTGTGCGGCGCAGGGAAAGGTCGGCTCCGGCTTCGACGTCGCGGCGGCCGTCTACGGTTCGTGCGTGTATCGGAGGTTCTCGCCGGAGCTGCTGAGCCAGCTCCCCGAGCCCGGGGCCCCTGGCTTTAGCGAGAGACTTGCAGCTGTCGTGGACGGCGGGGCAGAGTGGGATGTCGAGGTCTCAAACGAGGGGCTACGCATGCCAAAGGGGGTGGCGCTGCGAATGTGCGACGTCGACTGCGGGAGTCAGAGCGTCGGCATGGCCAAGAAGGTGCTGTCATGGAGGAGCAGCGACTCCGAGACATCCGAGCAGCTCTGGGATGCCCTGCAGGCAAGCAACGACCGGCTCGGCTGCGTGCTCCGCGAGGGTGCCGTCGATGAGCTCCCCGCGGCCATCGGGGCCGTCCGCGCGCTGGTGCGGGAGATGGGCCGGCTCAGCGACGTGCCCATCGAGCCCGAGGCCCAGACGGAGCTGCTCGACGCGGTCAGCGCCGTCGAGGGCGTCTACGGCGGCGTGGTCCCCGGCGCGGGTGGCTACGACGCCGTGGCGCTGCTCGTCGACGACGGCGAGGAGACGCGGCGGCGCCTCGACGCCCGCCTCTCCGACTGGAGCCGCGACAAGGGCTCGCACGTCAGGCTGCTGGACGTCGAGGGCGAGGTGGAGGGTGTTCGGCGGGAAGAGCTGGACGTGTATTCAGGGTGGGTGTGACACACCGGCGACGCAATCGAACGGGACCGGGAGCGTAAAAGACGGCAAGGGAGAACGGATAGAAGGCGACGGTTGAACGAAATATTTGTTCAATCGCGGTTTTTATTATTAATCATTATTGATAGTAGCGTGACCATGGCATGGTCCCGTTGATAAAATCGAGCATCGCTTTTTGCCGCGCCCCGAATCCCGAGGCGGCCTCTATTTTTTCTTTGCGCCATATATCATGTTGCCGAGACGAATCTATCCCTCTTTCCGATGTCTATACTCCGAAGTAAAACGAGCAAACCAACGCACCATACCTTGCTTGAAAGGAAGACAAAGAGAGACAAAGGAGTGGAAAGGGGGACAGAGAGTAGGTGGGCAAGCAGCGAAGCTCGTTCCCAACCAAGACAGAAACAAAGCCCCCCTCGTCGCGGCGCCCAAGGACGCAGGTATCCAACAAAGGCAGACCAAAACAGAATACGACGAAGAGAGAATGTGGAGAAGGAAGAAGCATCACCAGGCAGACCGGGTGGTGCGCGGCTGGTGGACGGTGACGACGGGGGTTCGGGACGGGCGAGAGATCTTGTTGAAGGAGGGAGGGCGCGTGGGCGGCAGGGCCTCGAAGACGCCGATGCGGCTGGCGCCGAAGGCTTACTCGTCTTCGGAGACTCCGGGCAGCGAGACGGGCTCTTGCTTGAGGTCAAAGGGAGCAGACTGCAGCTCGTGGTCAGAACATGGCAGGGCGAGGGAGGGCGAGGCGGCACGTACAATCTCCATGGCCGTCTTCTGCTTGCGCCGGCGCTGCAGGAGAGTCTGGACCCGAGAGCAGAGCATGGTGACGTTGTGTGGTTGCGATGCCATGTGGCTTCGCGATGCCCTTCTTTTCCTCGTTCCTGTTGAGCCCGCGTCTTTTCGATGCCTCCCGTCGTGTGTGTGTGTGTGTGTGTGTGTGTATGTATGTGTGTGTGTGCGTGTGTATGCGTGTGAAAGGAGTGGAGGCTCGATGTGAGACGTCAGAAGAGAGCGTGGATGACGATGGGAGAGGGAGAGAGAAAGGGAGCCGAGAGACAGGAATGGGTGTAGGGAGGATATATAGATGTATGATGCCGATGCAGTGCAAGACGCTGACGTCTTCCGTCTCGACTAGTAGGCAGGCCCGGAAACGGACAGGAATAGGAGCAAACCAGCCGCTGGCGAGTGCGTCGCGTCCAGCCCTAGACCCGCGCGCGCCCTCCAAATAACCACCACACCAGCTGTCAAGAGTGTTCTGGCCTCGTTCCACGGGACCCTCTTTTCCTTCTGGCCTTGCTCTCTGTTGGCCGGCAAAGGCTGCAAGGCCGACAAAAGAAAGCAGGCACCCTGGTTAATCAAAGCGACGGCTTTTCGAGGCGTTGCTGGTCCGGGTCCAGGGGGGTGGGCGAGCGTTGCGATCGAGCCACCGAGGAAAAAGAAACGAGGGCGGAAAAAAAATAAACAAGTCGGGGCTCGGGAGAGACGCAGGGTCTGGAGACGCGCGTGTGTGCTCCTTGAATTACAACGGGAAAGGGGGACGAGCAACAGCGATGGGCAAAAGAAAGACCAAGGATGACGAAGACCAAGGTTTCAACGAGTGGCACGCCGACAAAACCAGAGGATGTGTCTGGCTGGGTTCTCGCGTCTCTCTGTCTCGGTCTCTCTCTCTCTCTTCTCTCTCGCTCTCTCTCTTGGTCACTCACTCACTCACTCACTCACTCACTTGCTAGACCCCCTTGTTGGCCGGCTGCTTAATGGGCTTTCCGGCCAAGGCGGGAATCCGACTCGATATATACCAACTACAGGGCAAGCTCGCAGGCATGCACACGTGCCATGCCATGCCATGCCATGCCATGCCATGCTGCTGCACACGTCGCGGGCGCGGTGCCTGAGCCACCGGGAAGGGGTCTTGCCTGCGTCTCAGACGAAAGCGTGGGGGCGATGCGAGCCGAGGGCAATCAACCGCAGGCATGGCCAGGAATGCCGCCTGTCGGGGGTGGCTGGAATCTGGGCCCGGCAATTGCATGTCTTGGCCTGGCAGAAGAGTGCGACGAGGCCAATTGGCAAACGCAAGGAGAGAGAGAGCCTCGTCGACATGGCTCTGCAGGGTCCATTGTGCGATGCCGTCCCTCTTGGGCCAGGGCCAGGGCCAGGAATCGCGAGCCTCAAACGGCTCCTGCGCCTGTGTGCCGGGCCAGCCACTCCGTCTCACCTTCACTCTCCCTTGCGCATGGTGGGACCAAGGCGTCTCGAGACACGCCTCGCCCTCCGGATACTCACAGAGGTGTGACGGCATTCGCTTCCAATCATTCACGTCGCTTCGCGCCATGCCTGCAATTGAGAGGAAAAATTGAAACTCGTAACAGCCATGACAGCCACGGGGCAAAGGACCCTTTGTTGCCCGTTTTTGCCGCCACCAACACAGTGTCCATCTCGCGCCACAAGGGCCCATCCTGCCCCGTCAGATCCCGGTCGCGTGCCAATCGCATAGGGGTATGTAACATGGGTGGATGGGACGGGAGGGAGACATCTCTCGCTAATCTCGACCCGGTGGCCGGGGTTTCGGGGGTGCCGGGGCGGCGTCCTGCAGCAGCCGGCGCAGAAGGCTTCCTTTTTGCGCTACTTGGTGTACTCCTTGACGTGGAAGCTCTTGGACTTGACAAATTGCTCAAAGCCGAAGCGGCCCAGCGTCTGGCCCTTGCCCGAGTTCTTGTACCCGGTCCACGCAAGATCCTGTCGCGTGTCAGCGCAAAAGCAAGCCCAGGTCGGGTCGGGAATGCATACCGGACTCGGGTAGTCGCATCGGTTGACAAAGACCGTCCCTGCCTCGACCTCCTCGGCCAGTCGGTATCCTCGCTCGGTATCCTTGGTCCAGATGCTGGCCGTCAGTCCAAATTCGCTATCATTCATCAACCGGACTGCCTCGTCATCGCCCTTGACCCGCATGACTGGAATCACAGGGCCAAACGTCTCCTGCGTCATGACAAGCATCTTGTGATCGACGCCCGTGAGCAGCGTGGGTTTCACAAAGTTGCCCTTTGCGGGCGCGTCGTTGAAGCTCTCATTTTCCGGCGTCGCATCCTTGGCCCCCTTGTCCAAGGCGTCCTTGACGTGCGCCTCAATCGTCTCCTTGGAACGCTTGGAAATGACGGGTCCAACGTGCGTGGCCTTGTCAAACGGGTCGCCCAGCTTGTAGTCCTTGAGCACCTTTTGGACCGCCTCGACAAAGGCGTCGTGGATGCTGTCATCGACGTAGACGCGCTCCACCGAGCAGCAGCTCTGGCCCGAGTTGAAGACGGCACCGTCTACAAGCTCCTCGGCGGCCCAGGCCACGTCGACATCGCCCCTCACGTAGGCCGGATCCTTGCCGCCCAGCTCCAGCCCGACGTTTACGATGCGGTCGGCGGCCGCTTTCTGCACCGCCAGCCCACCGGCCACGGAGCCGGTAAAGCACACGAGGGCGACCCGGGGATCCCGCACAATCGTCTCCATGATGGTGGGTGAGCCGCAGTGAAAGTACTGCAGGACGCCCTCGGGCAAGCCGGCAGCAGAGAAGATTTCGGCCACGCGCTCGACGACGGTGGGGGTCTGGGGCGACGGCTTGAGAATGACCGTGTTGCCAGACAGGATGGCGGGGATGAGGGAGTTGACGAGAATCAAGTAGGGATACTGAGACAGGGATTAGACGTCGCGCCTGGCGGTGGCGAGGGGGCTGCGACTCACGTTCCACGCAAACAGGACGAGGACAGGACCGACGGGCACCTTGCGAATGAAGCGCTTGAAACCCTTTTCAGGCTCTCCGTCCGTGTCCCTGAGGGCCTCGTCGCTAATCTTGAGCATGTACTCACCGCGCTTGACCGCGGTGGCCACCTCGGTCGCGGCAAAGGCAATGGGCCGGCCCATCTGGACCGTCAATTCCTCGGCCAGCTCGCCCTGGCGGTCCGAGAGGCCCTTGAGAAACTTCCTGACGACATCCTGTCGCTCGCGCAGAGTCGTCTTGCGGAAGCTCTGGAAAGCCTCGGTGGCGACCTTGGGCAGCAGCTCCAAGTCGGCCTGCGAGACGCCGTTGCGGGTGAGGATGGCCTCGTTGGTGGTTGGGGAGATGGTGGTGATGACCTCGACAGACATGGCGGGCGACGGCTGAGCTCTGGTGAAGAGTTGTATAGTCTGTGGCCGTTGGAGGCGGACGTGGGCTGGGCAGGATGAGAGGTTTGGAGCAAGGTGGGCGAGATGGAGGGAGCTTGGCCTCGTTGCGTCCTATCAGGGCACCTGCCCCGCGGCCCCTTGCTGCGTTCCCGGAACCAGGCGGCTCCATCAAAGACGCCGCGCCGAGCGAGTATCGGCTACGCAAGGCCCCGGTGGATGCGGGTACCGGCTTAGCAGAAGCATTAGCCGCCAGCCGCGCAACGGCGCACCGAGGAGGAAGTGGTTTGTGGGCCGCCATCGCAAACGGAGCTCTCGAACAGGGGTCATTCCAAAGCAACCCTCGGACGCGTGGCCCTGAGAGATTGGGACCCCTCCGAGACTCTGAAGACTCTCAGCTGTCAGAAAAGGAGCTCTCATCAGAAGTTCGGGGTTTTCAAGATGTGTGCCCGTCTTCGCCAGGCTTCGAGTACCTCAACTTACTGTACGCGACCCCTCCAAAGATTAAGTGGGGCCGGGTCTTCTTATCGATATGATTCGACTTTTCCCCAATCTCGATTCCTCCGCTCATCTCTTCCCAGACTTACGCGCAAGAGTCCCAGCCGCCGCCGCACCATGGCACCCCCAGAGCGAAACGAGTTCCTCGATGCGTCTGACAGCGAGGGCGACCATGTCGACGACTACAACTCGGACGATGACATGGCCAAGGGCGGCCACAGAGCCAGCAAACGGCGCAAAGTCGACAGCCGCCGACGTGGCGACGAGGCTAGCGACGCAGAGAGTGATAATTCCAGTGACCACGAAAAGGACGACGAAAAGGCTCCTGAAGGAAGCGGCAGAGAAGACGATAAAGAAGAGGCGCCAAAAGACAACGGCACGGCCAAGGCGAAGCAATCCAAACCAAAGCTGGAAACCGAGCTTCCAGACATCACCAGGCCCTTGACCAAAAAGAACCTCGTCGCCTCTGAAAAGGCGATTAAAAAGTCTGGAGTCGTATTCCTCTCCAGGATACCGCCGTTTATGAAACCCGCCAAGCTGCGCTCCCTCCTCGAGCCGTACGGGACCATCAACCGCATATTCCTCGCCCCCGAGGATCCCGTCGCGCACACCCGCCGGGTGCGGGCCGGCGGAAACAAGAAGCGCCTCTACACAGAGGGATGGGTCGAGTTTGTCAGGAAAAGGGACGCCAAGGCCGTCTGCGAGCTGCTCAACGCGCACATCATTGGCGGCAAAAAAGGCAACTACTACCACGACGACATCTGGAACCTCTTGTACCTCAAGGGCTTCAAGTGGCACCACCTGACGGAGCAGATTGCCTCAGAGAATGCCGAGAGGACAAGTCGCATGAGGGCCGAGATTAGCAAGGCCACCAAGGAAAACAAGGAGTTTGTGAGGAACGTGGAGCGGGCCAAGATGCTCGACGGCATGCAAGCCAAGGCCAAGAAGAGGAAGGCCGACGACGACAAGGCCGTCGCGCCGGCAGAGCGGGCCCGGACCTTTAAGCAGGTGCCGCAGATTAGGAAGATGACGGATGCTGAGGAGCAGCCCGAGCAGGTCACCCGAGTGCTGAGCAGGATTTTCTAGGTCGGCGTTGATTCGGCGCATGCAAGCGGCACGGTGTTTGGGATTGGACATTGGAACAGCTTCAGGCTTCTGTAGAGTGCAGATTTTATATTCAAAACTGACCATGCTCACTTCCATGTGGAAGAATCTCGAGCCAAGGTGCCGCGCTGCGTCTCTGCTCCAGCCCGAGAATAATTAAATAATTAAATACAGTACAGTGCTGTACATAGGGCCTCGCTCGGCCTGTAATTACTGTACCGCAGCGCAACAACCTACCGCCCCACCAGCCTAGGCCCTCCAGAGCCCCCCCCCGCTGTGGCGGCCGGCCGATAAGGTGCTTGGGACTGCTTATCAAGCAGCGGGGCAAACATTTTTCTGTCCCTCAGTTTCGCTCGCTCTGCATTCGCGCCTCAACCATCTACATCAAATCCCCTCATCGCATCTCCATCCTTGATCGTCCAACACCATGTCCATGGACATCGACGAGGCCCCCGTGGCCATGGGCGGTGGCCCGCAACAGACGGGCGCAACGTGCGTCGCCCAACCCATTCCCCGCCAGGCTCTTTACCCGCTGACATCTTCCCCGTCTCCAGAATCCTCTGCTGCAACTGCGGCGCCCCCATTGACGGGACCACGGCCACCGGCGCCCTGTGCTTCGCCTGCGTCAAGCTCACCGTCGACATCTCCCAGGGCGTCCAGCGCGAAGCCACGCTCAACTTTTGCCGCGACTGCGACCGGTGGCTGATGCCCCCGACAAGCTGGGTCGTGGCCATGCCCGAGTCACGCGAACTGCTGGCCCTGTGTCTCAAGAAACTCCGCGGCCTCAACAAGGTCCGCGTCGTCGATGCGAGCTTCATCTGGACAGAACCCCACTCGCGCCGGATAAAGGTCAAGCTCACCATCCAAGACTCGGTCCAGGAAGGCGTCCTCCTCCAGCAGAGCTTCGAGGTCATCTACGTCGTGGCCACGCAGCAGTGCCCAGAGTGCGCAAAGTCGTACACGGCCAACGTCTGGAGGGCCTGCGTCCAGGTCCGGCAAAAGGTCCTTCACAAGCGCACCTTTCTCTTCCTCGAGCAGCTAATGATGAAGCACGGCGCTCACCGGGACACCCTCAATATCAGGGAAGCCAAGGACGGCATCGACTTTTTCTTTTCCCAGAGGAACCAGGCCGAGAAATTCATCGACTTCCTCAACTCGGTGGTGCCCGTAAAAGTCAAGGCCTCTCAGGAGCTGATTTCGCAGGATGTCCACACGTCAAAAAAGTCGTTCAAGTTTTCCTATTCCGCCGAGCTGGTGCCGATATGCAGAGACGACCTCGTTGCCATGCCCATCAAGCTGGCCAAGCAATATGGAAACATCTCGCCACTGGTCCTGTGTCACAAGATCGGCACCTCGGTGTACCTGCTTGACCCCCAAACGCTGCAGACTGCGGATATCAGCGCACCCATCTACTGGCGCGCCCCTTTCGCGTCTCTGGCCGATGCCCGGGAATTGATCGAGTTCGTTGTCATGGACATCGAGCAGACGCCTACCCGGAGAGGGAAATGGGTGCTTTCCGAGGCCACGGTTGCTCGCGCATCCGACCTCGCCGTCAACGACAAGACGTACTTTACCAGGACGCACCTCGGCCACTACCTGCAGCCCGGCGACTCGGCCATGGGATACTTGCTGACGGGGACAATGTTCAACAATCCCGACTTTGAGGCGATTGAGGAGTCCAACACGTACTCGTCGACGATACCGGATGTCGTCTTGGTCAAGAAGCATTACCCCCACCGCCGGAGGAATCGCCGCCGCAACTGGAAGCTTAAGCGCTTGGACAAGGACGAGGGCGAGCTTCTGCCCAAGAAGGCGGACCAGGAACGCATGGATCGCGAGTACGAGCTGTTCCTGCAGGACGTTGAGGAGGACGAGGAGCTGCGTGCAGCTCTGGCGCTGTACAAGAACGAAAAGAAGCGGGCCGACGAGGAGATGAGCGTGGCGGAGACGGAGGATGATGGAGATGACGGGGTGCCGCGGGTGAATATGGAGGAGCTGCTGGATGATTTCGAGGAGCTCACGATGCATGATACATAGCTGGTTGATGCGTCGTTTCCATCATTCTGTTCGACCTTGGCTCCGTTCTGTGCATTGCGAATGGTTCGTGGCATGGAGGTCCAGGTGCGTGAAGCATGTCTTGGCTACCTACGCCCGCGCAAGGAGGCGGCGCTTTATAAAAAGGATGGTATCGTGTCCGGGGACAGTTTTCTGGGGGGATCTCTGTCGTCGTTCTTGCGCAGCTGGGCCCTCGACTTTGCCCGCCGCATCCTCCGCCGGTTGATGCTAAACGGGTCATCGTCATCCGTCGCGTCCTCGTCGCTGCCGCCCGCATGCCGCCCCTCGAGATCCACCCTGCCACGCCTGTCTCGCGCGCTGTCTCGGGTGCGGTCCCGCGTGACGATGTCTCGCACGCCGTTACCCCGCGAAGGGGCGTCAACGTGGAATGTAGCCTGGTCTGCTACCGTGGCGGGTAGATTGCGCCGACTTGGCGGAGGAAGAGGGGATGCATTGGAATTCTGAGTCTGTCGTCGGGGGGTCGACCGGGCGGCGGCGGCGGCGACGGTGGGCTGCTGGTAGCCGGCAGCGGCGCGGGTTGTCGGGTGAGTCGCGGGTGCGCAGGACGATGATATGCAGCGAGCCTCGCCGCGGGGGGTCTCCATCAGGCCCTGGAGGGTGGTGCCGACCCACGGCGCATCATCATCGCCATCGCCATCGCCATCGCCATCGGCCGCCTGTCGGGCCCGCCGCGGCGTCAGGACCTTGCGCTGGCGAGCGGCGCGCTTGAAGGCGGCGTCGCGCAGGCGCGCCGTGGCGGTCTGGGGCCCGACGACGGGGCGCTCGATGGCGCGGATGGTGAGGGCGTGCTGGCTCTTGGCGCGGGCCTTGAGGCGGTTGTACTCTGCGCGGTGGAGGTGCGTGGTGAAGCGCTGCGCCGTGTGCAGGAATTCGTCCTCGACCATGCGGTAGCGGTCGTCGGAGGGGATCATGGGCCTGCGGATCAAAAGCAAGGCATGAGCGACTGCACCAGACCTCCGATCGTCAAGGTGAAGGGGGGAGAACGAGGACGGGATACAGACTGCTCCGGTGGCGGCTCTGGCGGCGGCGACGTCGAGGGGCTGCGAAGAAGTTCAAACAGGCCTGCTGCTGTCCCCGGCCCCGAGGCGTCAGCCCTTTTCTCTCACGAGCAACGAAGTACTGGGGCTACTGCTTCATCCCATCGCCATCACAGGGAGGGCGTCTCACCTGGAGAGCCGTGGACGCGACGTCGCTGCGGCGTGGGCGAGGCGCGAGGTGGCGGCGTGCTCGCGGGGAGGCTTGGCTGTTCTGGAGACGCGACGGGGCTGTCGGGCCTGGGCTTGGCCGAGGGCTTGGGCGATGGGCTGCTTTGCTTTTGCTTCCAGGGCAGCCGGCGCGCCATGGTGGCGAGGGCGGAGGAGGAGGAGCAGCAGGTGCGCGGGCGGGTGCGATGGTGGGAGCAGGAGCGGGAGCGAGGAATTGAGGTTGTGGAAATGGATAGGGCTGCGAGGGAGGTTCGCGATAGAGAATACCGAATGTGAGCGTGCACGACAGGTGGATGAGCAAGTACCTTGGAGTGCCAATTGCGGATTGGGTGACGGCCACCCTGCACTCGTACAACATCGCGTGTCGCAAACTCAAAGCAATCGTGGCACACGACAGTCGCGTACAGAAACGACGGGAAAATGGCGGCCGGAGATTTCTGTTACAAGTCTCCCGGGCTCGAGGCATGCCCACGATGCAAAGGTGGAGGGGGTACAGGGTAGGCAGTCTGCCTCATGCACCAGAACATACCGTCTCTTCTCCCCCTCGAGGCTCCGAGGAGTTCAACTTGCAATTGAAAAATGAAGGAGCACGTCACTGGGGATGTCCAGTGCCGATGACGTGGTATCGCCCGCCCAACGGGATGCGTCCCTCGGCTCAGCCGCGCCGACTGTTGGTGCCGGACGGACGACGCCGCCGGGCTCCTGCAGGCACCTGATTTTCCGTCCAATCATGGCTCCCCGGCGCCGGAGCCGGCACATTCCCGCCGCCCGGGCAAGCCGTCCCAGTGGACCCGCGTCGCTTTCCGAGAGCTTCGGTCCCGGAGAAGACAGACTTGAATGCCGCCTCCGACGTCGGTTTCTCACGGCGACGCCTTGTCCATTGAAGCTCCAAATCGAGCATACCTGTCCTCTGGCACAGAAATTGCCCGACGTCATGTTGACATTTGCCGTGTTGGACTGTCTGCGGTTGCCCTGGTGTTGCCCCCCCCCTGGCAAGTCTTTCATCAACCAAGTTTAGAAATCAATCACCCGAGCCCTGCTATAGCGACAATCTAAGTTACCCGCGTCTTCCCATCCCGAGGAGAGCAGGAGCGAGATATTGGCCGGCTTACTCGTTTCTTCACCGCACACGCCGTCGCTCTCCTGAACGAAAACGCCACCGTTTCTTCACATGGTTGACTCTACTATTCTTGATGAACGAGGTGGGTAGATGCTGCCATGCTGTTACGAGTGTTTCTACTTCCCTTGGCTGTGTCGCTCTACCTCGAGGCACCCCCTTGGTCTCGTCTCTGGTCTTGTCTTGGCATACCCCACAGCTTCCCCTTCAACGTACGACGTGCGACAAGAAGCGTGGCTCGGGTGCTTGAGGGCAACTGCAGCGCACATGATGCAAAGATTCGATATCGGGATAGATGGCGTCGTCGGCCAAGGGTCCAAATGTCCGCACCCGCGCCTCAATTCGCTCAAATAACGACGCATTTCCGAGCCTTCAGCAGGAGGTTGCAACAATCCGGCCCGCCAGTGTTAAATCCGGCCCTTCTGGTCCTCACGGCTGTATAGGCGGCGGCGCCCACTTAGTCTAGCCTCCCACTCAACGACTCCTCCAAGGCCCGACGAAGCCGCCTTGAGCTGGCCTGACTCGAATTGGGTAGTTGCGATGCCCGCGTAGCCGGCTGTGGCGGCTGTGACTGTGATGCCGGATGTGGCGGCTGTGACTGTGATGTGACTGTGATCTGACTGTAATGCCGGTTGTGATGTCGGCTGTGATGCCGGCTGTGATGCCCCTCGCCGTGAGGAGTTTGGTGTAAGTAACTCGGTTTTTACGGGGCCGGCCGCGTGTAACTATAACAACGTCGGGGTCGCAGATTTAAAGCATCGGCTCCTCGAGGTCCTTAGAGTAGTCGTTAGGTAGTGGCTAAATCTACCTAAAATGGGGGGTGTCTTTACCAACAGCTTCTTAAGCCACTGGATATCATGCAAGCACATTACGCTTTTCTAGCATTAGCCCGGCTTAAAGGCACTGAAGGATCGTGTAGGCACAAGACAGGCCAAGCTGGGTTGTAAGTCGCCCGGTGCAAGGCCGCAATGGCTGTAGCTCCCGCGTTTGGTCAGGGCATCGCGGCGCTGGTGATAGCTTCAAATTTGGGGTGCATGTGTATGGGCGGGTGCAGGCGCGGGTGCCGGCATTTGGGCGGTACCGCTAAGTACCTGCCATGCGGGCGCGGTACAAATGGGCGGGGCGGGCTGGTGTTAATAATAGTACGTATACTAAAAATGGGAATTTTGTACGAATAGCGATGTGTTTGTGTACAAATAGTAATACTCGACATAAAGGGCAGGTGTGCCGGTCCTCGGCACTTGCAACATTACAGTTCAGTAGGCCACGGCTCGTCGGTCGCGGACACGGCCACAAGGGCCCGCAGGCTTGTCTGAGTCCGGCGCTGGGGGCTGTAATTAGCACTACACCACTGTGCCAAGTTACGCCTGTTTCGCTTGTGTCTTCGATCGTATGTAAGAACAAAGGCGGCATGGTTTGGCCGCTGCCTTGCCAGAGGGAGTTAGTGGTGACGGCCTGCCGAGAGACCCCTCCCCCCCCCGCAATTTAAGGGCGCATAACTACTCCGTATGCTGGGCGCACGTCTACAAGTAGGCTATAAGCAAGTCCTCGCTACTTGAACGTGCGACAAAGCGATGACGTCATTCCCGGCCCGCGCATCGCCCTGGTTCTCCCTCTTTCTCTCAAGAAACTGCGAAACATGCTGGAGTGCAGCTTGGAAAATAATGCATTTGCATTGGGCGCAGCCAAGGGCGATTGAGCGATTCCTACTGCTTCATGTGATGGAAGCATGTCTGGGGATTCCTTGTACCCAGAACCTCTCGCCCTGTAGCCCCCATGGCGCAGTCTCTAGCAAACCCCAGCGCCACTCTTCCGCCACGTGAGCGCCCGTCGAGCCAAAAACGTGGTGGCTTGACTGACTGACATTGTCCTTGTCCCAACTCCTTTGTATGCAGCGAAAGACTGCTTCTCCCTCCCACAAGCGTCTGACGCCTCTTCGGACTGCCTCCGCATAGCCAGGGACGCTTTTCCCAAAAGAAAAGAAAAGAGGAGCCTCGCATGCAAATCATCCACCCCTCCACTGGAAAAAGTCTCCTGGGGAGAAAGATTGGGGGTCCGCGTGGAGCAACGGCCACGGCGCTTCCGCCGAGGCTCACCGCCCAACAACCTCCACCGCCTCTGGCTCTCCGGAGCGAAGCAGCTGGCGACGAGCCATGGCGACGAGCCTTTCTCTACCACCCATGCTGATGGGTCGGGCGGACCGAGGAGGGGGCCGTTGGCTGGGTGTTGCCTGCCCTTCTCCGCATGGTCAGACTCAGACCCGTTGGACGGCATGACAGGCCGGCAAATCTGTCCGAACGCCCGCACGTTTCTTTTTCCCGATGCCATGTCTCTTTCTATAAATCAAAGCCGGTAGACGACGACGCAAGGGAGTCTCAGTCCCCTCATACTGTATGTCTCTCTCTCTGGGTCTTGAACAACTGAGTCGATATCAAAAAGCCCAGCCGCCTCTCCTGGTTGTCAGCCTGCTCCCAGACAAGCCTCGCAGCCATGACGCCCGCCGTCTACCTCGCCCTCGCCCTCCTCGCCCTCCTACCCCAGGCCGCTGGCCAGCCGCTGGCCAGCCCCGGCGGCGGCGGCAACAGCCCTGCAGAGGCGAGCCGGCCCACGGTGACGCTCGAGGCAGGCCGCGTCGCCGGCACCGCGTCGCCCGCCGCCGTCAACCGCTTTCTCGGCGTGCCCTTTGCCGCGCCCCCCGTCCGCTTCGACCCGCCCCGGCCCGCACCGCAGTGGCAGGGCATCTACGACGCCTCGCGGCCCAAGCCCGCCTGCGTCCAAAAGTTTAACTACCCGGATGATGTCCGCAACCGCGCCATCCGGTGGTTCAGCACCCCGGGCCCCCCCGCCGGCGAGAGCGAGGACTGCCTGTACCTCGACGTCTTCGTGCCCGCCGGCGCCGCCGAGGGCTCCAAGGCCGTCATGTTTTGGCTCTTTGGCGGCGCCTTCTCCTTTGGTACGGGCTCGCTGCCTTTGTATGACGGTGCGAGCTTTGCCGAGAACCAGGACGTCATCGTCGTTTCGCCAAACTACCGCACAAACGTCTTTGGCTTCCCCGGCTCGCCCGAGAAGCCCCAGTCCGAGCAGAACCTCGGGTGGGTTTACCGTCCTTGTCTTTCTCCCCCTGTTTTTTTATTTTCTTTATAAAAAAAAACCGGTGTCAGGACTAACACTCACCATCAGATTCCTCGACCAGCGCATGGCCCTAGAATGGGTGCAGCGCAACATCCGCGCCTTTGGAGGTGACCCCAAGCGCGTGACACTCTTTGGCGAGAGCGCTGGCGCCGGTAGCGTCGACGTGCTCGTCACCAACCCGCCCGAGCCCGTACCCTTTGCCGGCGCCATCATGCAGTCAGGCCAGGGCTCCATCGCCACGCCCAACCGCAAATCGGCCGACTCGTGGCAGAAGCTGGTCAAGGCCGCCGGCTGCGACATCCCCGGCGGCGCCCTCGCCTGCGTCCGCGCCCTGCCCGCCTCTCGCCTCAAGGACATTGTCGAGCGCCAGGCCCTGACCTTTGCTCCCATCTACGACGGCGGCGCCACCTACAGGGGCTCCGGCCGCCAGGACCGCCGCCGCTCCACCCCGGCCGCCCCCGGCCGCATCGCCCGCGTGCCCATCCTCATCGGCAGCAACGCCGACGAGGGCGGCGTCTTTGTCTACGGCCAGACCGACATCCAGGGCTTCCTCGCCAAGCTGCTGCCCGCGAACTCGACAAAGCTCATCAGCACCCTGCTCGGCACCTACCGGCCCGACGGCGGCCTCGGCCCCGTCAACAGGCAGCTCGCCGCCATCCTCGGCGACTTCAACTTTGGCTGCCCCGCAAAAGTCGTCGCCGAGGAGAGCGCCGCCGTCGGCATCCCCTCGTGGCGCTATTACTTTAACGCAACCTTCTCCAACACGCAAATATTCCCCGGAAGCGGAGCATACCACTCTGCCGAGATTTCGCTCGTCCACGGCACCTACCCGCGCGCCGGCGCAACCCCCTACCAGGCCGAGGTCAGCAGGGCCATGCAAAAGGCCTGGGCCGACTTCGCCAGGGACCCGGCCCGCGGTCCCGGCTGGCGGTCCGCCCTGGAGGTCGCCGTCTTCGGCGCCGGCGTCCGCCCCGGCGGCGACGACGGCACCGGCCAGCCCGCCATGGCCCTCGAGAACCCCGCCCGCATCGACCGCATGTGCTTCCTCTACAAGAGCATCTACGACGCAGCCACCTTGACGTGAGCCCGTCTTCCCTCCCCGCGGTTTGTGCCGCCGCCTGTATATGTCTTGCTCCTCCCCTGTTCTCCGGCAAAGAACTGTACATGCCTTTGTATATTCTTCGTTTCTCTCTTCTACTGTGTCATATTCAGCTCAGCGTATATGATGGTATGGGTACGACGTCAACGATCCAACACATGGGCTATCTTCAGGGTTTCCTGTACATACTTTTCTCAAGGTCAGATATGCCTCCAACTTCTCCTTCCATGTCTACCAATCGAGCTTCAATGCGTACAACTCAACTTGCAACCACTGCCCTTCCCTACGTAGGATCTGAGAACGTCTCAGGGCTGCGTGTCTAAAGACAGTGCAGCCCTGTGGGCCCACCGGGGATCATGGCAGGTAAACGAAAAGGGTTTATTATGTAGGCTCGTTCCGCCTCTCTGCGTCTAGCAATACCTGGTACACCTGCCGTGCAGACCTTCCGGCCCTTGGACGAGGTGGAGCGGCATACGAAAGAAAGACCAAGGAAGAGGAGCGGAGAGGTTCGGGTAGGGGCCTGCTGCAATGGGTAACCGATGCTCACTGACTCTGCTCAACCACCTTCTTGATGGCCCGCGCCACGTGGTCAATGTTGCGGCTGTTCAAGCCCGCCATGCTGATGCGGCCATTCTTCGTCATGTAGATGTGGTACTCGTCCCGCAGCTTCTGCACCTGGGCCTCGGACAGGCCTGTGAAGCTGAACATGCCGATCTGGTCCGTGATGTGGTTCCAGGTGCCGGGCGTGCCGAGGGACTCGAGCTTGGAGCGTAGCTCCTTGCGCATGCTGATGATGCGGCCCGACATGGTGCGCAGATTGTCCTCCCACTCGGCGAACAACTTGGCGTCGTTGAGGACGATGCTGGCGATGCGAGCCCCGTACAGCGGGGGGTTGGATATTTCGGATCGCTGGAGAATGGCGAGCTGGGATGCGATTCTCTGAATGGTCGTCGTGGCCTCGGGGCCGGCGCTCGTCACAAAGTGGAAGCATCCCGCGCGCTCGCCGTACAGGCCAAAGTTCTTTGCGAAGCTCTGGCAGACGAGGAGCTCGAAGCCCTGCTCGATAAAGTAGCGGATGGCGGCAGCGTCGCGAGCCAGGTCGCCGGAGGCAAAGCCCTGGTAGGCGCAGTCAAAGAAGGGAAAGTGCTTCTTCTGGCTCATGATGGTGGCCAACTCCTTCCACTGGTCCATAGTCGGGTCGACGCCCGTCGGGTTGTGGGCGCAGGGGTGAAGCAGGATGATGGAGCGCTCGGGGGCGTCGCGAATGGCCGCCTTCATGCCGTCAAAGTCGAGGCCGTTGGACTGCTTGGAGAAGTAGGGGTACTGGGCCGTCTTTAGGTTGACATTTCCAAAGATTTGGTTGTGGTTGGCCCAGGTGGGATTGGACAGGTAGACCGTCCGGGTGCCCTTGTAGAACTTTGCGAGGAAAAGGGCTCCGAGGTGGACGGCCCCGGTGCCGGAGATGGTCTGGAGCGACGTGGTGCGCTTCTCCTTGAGGGCAGACGAGTCGGCCCCGAGAATCAGCTCGGCCGCCTTGGAGGTGAATTCGGGGAGGCCGGCGATCGGGGCATACTCGTGGTTGAGCTCCGGGTTCTTGCGGAGGATCTCGTCCGCCTGTCATGGGAGGCACGCGGGGTCAGCTCGGCCATGGCAGGAGAGTGCGAGGCAATCGTAAGGGAAGGGGGCCAAGGGAACGCCGGGATGGTACGAGGCAGCATCGAGACGGCGGCATCACAGGGAGGCTCCTCAAAGTGCAGGTTTCGCCCGGGTGGACGAGACGCAAATCAGTCTGTGGTGGCCTACCTTCTGGACAACTGGCAAGACCCAAGGCTTCGCATTGTCGCCGCGATAGGCTCCGATTCCCTATGAGCGTGAGCGTGAGTCAGTCCGAGCTCTGCAGAGGTGGCATACCAGGTCGACCTTGTCGGAGCTCGAGTCGGCCTTGAAGGCGCGGGCGAGGCCAAACAGGGCATCTTCGGGGGCTTGGGGCACGGCGTCGGCAGGGAAGCTGGTAACGGAAGCCATGGCGGGCGAGACGTGGTTTGCGATGTTGCCGAGACGCGCGAGGGAAGAAGAAGCTGGTGAAGGCGGAGGGGCCATGGTGGGATGGTAGAGGGATGGATAGTGGGGGGAAGGGGTAAGTTAGGGGAGGGGAGGGGCGGTGTCGGCGCGCTATGGGCCGCGTACGAGGTGTACCGACGGTGCTAATAATAGGTGATTAGGAGCCTGCGCGTCAGTAATTCGACAGCGGTGGCTGGGTGCTGGAGAAAGGAAGACGTGGTTGGGAGAGCGCTGGAGACGACGAGACGTGCGCGGGGGATGCAGAATGCGGGGAGCTATCCGAGGTAGAGCGTCTTCGGCTGCTGTAGGTACCTTTGCCGGTGTTAGTGCGGATGCCGACCTCGGGCCTGATCCCTTAACTGGCAGTGCCACACCAGAGCAGCTCGGGCGTTGGCAGGCATGAAGAAGTCCAGTTTGCAGACTGCAGCGGACAATTACGAATAGTCGGTAGATAGGTAGAGAGAATGAAGGAGAGTCCCGCCTGCGAAGCGAATGCAATCGTCAAATGGTTCGGCCGTCTTGTCGTCCACTTATTCAACAGGACAACCCCCAACGCTGCCTTTGGGCTTCCCCCGGCAGAAGGCTATTGAGGAACAATGACAGTCGAAGCTCCGGCTCACGCCTTCCTCATGCCCTGCTTCGCCTCGCATATACTGTACATCTGTATTAGGTACTCTGCACAGGGTTCCTTCCAGCTTCAGCTTCCTCTCGTCCTCGCAAAGGGCACGACGAAGGGGTAATCATGCCTCATGAGGCATCAAATGCGTACACAGTGGGCAGAGCACAGTCCCGAAAGCCCCGACAACCAGGCGAGCAGCAGAGGTTCACTACCGGCTCTCCACGGTCAGCCTCAATGGCTCCTGCACACCCCGTCGCAGGCGATACCTGCTCTCCCGCAATCATATAAGCAAGTCCCAGATCACCAGAAAGGCGCATAGCCCGCTGGCCGCAAAGAACGTGTAGCGAGCCGCGCTGGGCCGCTGCGTGGCCTTTTTCAGCTGCTTGTTTCCGCCCCCGACGTTCTCGGTAGTCGAGAGCGAGTCGGTTACCAGCTGCTCAATGTGTGCAGACTGCGTCGCCAGGTTGTTCACCAACAGCGTCTGCAACTCGGAAATCTCGACAAGAGACTTCTCCGCGGTCCTGCCATGTCTTGGTCAGCATCCTGCCCAACAGAGCTCTGATACAGCACGGTAGCGTACTTAACCTTGTCTAGCGTGCTTTCGTAGTGCTTTGTCATGTCCTGATTGCCCTCCTCAAACATTTGCACCTGCTCTTCGGTCAAGCCTTGCCACCCTGTCATCTGGTCGACTGCGTCGGATGTCGGCGCCACAGACGGCCGTGACTCGGCTGACGGGGGCGTAAAGGCGGCAAAATCGGTAGCGGAAGGGGGCAAGAAGCCGCGAGTCTTTTCCATTTCGCGCGTCAGCCTCGTCTCCATCATGTCTTGCTGCGTCCGGCAGCACAGCTCCAGCCTCTGCCGTAGAAACCAGAGCACCCCGTCTCGGTGCATATCGACCTGCCGAGCGCGAGCCTCGGCGGCTGCGTGGTCTGCTGATTTGTTGCTCGCTTTGCCGCCAGAAGCCCAGGAGCTGAGGGCACTTAACCCGCTGGCGTATTTCTTGCGGATGATTGCAGCTTCCGTCTCGCGACGCAGCTGTTCGGCTTCGTCGAGGGCTCGGATGCCTGCATTGAGCTCGCGGATCATCTGCTTGGCGTTTGCGTCGACATCCTCGCGCTCGCGGTCCGTCAGAACCCGTGGCTGACCCTGGGCGGCGCGAGCATGCGACTTTCGAGGTTGCGCGGTCGAGAGGTAGGCCTGCCTGACATCCCTCAGCTCGCTGTGTAGACGGGTGATGTGCGAGTTCTGTTGGGCGATGCGCCGTCAGAATACGGGCTGCAGATGGGAGCAATTTGGTGACCAACTATGCGATATGCTTCTCGAAGGAAGCTCTCAAGGGCCTCGGTGTCCAGACCAGCTTTCCCCGCCGTCGTCGACGCGCCACGTTGGCCGAGGAGCGCATCGAACTCGGGTGTCTTGTCGGCGGATGGCAAGATGGCGAAGGGTGCAAGCGCCATGGCGTGTCGACGTCTGGGAGGCTTAGCTTCTGGTCGAGAATGTCGGCGAGGACAAGTTCCGTCTGCGAGCCTGGGCTGGCAATGACGAAGTACCTGGCTTCGTATGGCCCTTTACATAAGCTTGCTGAGTCATGACGAAGCTCAGTGGCTCGTTCCCACGAGGACCGAGTACGTTCCCACTTTCACGCTTGATCGACTGGCCGGCCTCTCCCACCGAATATCCTGTGAGAGCAGGCGCTCACCGGGATTGCCGACACCTTTCGACCCCTTCTCGGGTAGGGCATGTGCGGGGCTAAACCCTCACAGCAGCTTCCGCCTTGGGTGAAGTGGTTGTGGACCAACTTGAGCTGATGTACGGCGGCAGCTTTCAAAAGTCGTTGCGGACGCTAAAATGACCCCTGTATAGAAAAAGCAAAACGTACTAAACTTCTCTAGCTCTCCGTCTACATATTCCCTCTTAATACTAAGAAGGAGCGGCCGCAAAAAAATAGGCCTTAATAGAGCGAATTCCTTAGTATATAAATAGTTATTACTATCTCTTATAAAATAAAGACAAGTATCCGTATAGAGTATTATAACCTAGTAGTTAAAGAAGAATTATAGATAGAAAATAAGAAGTATATAAGAAGACGATTTAGTACTTACGTATTTACGTATTCTTTTCTTTTCTTTTTCTTTATAGGGGTAATTTTAGTGTCAGCAACAACTATTGAAAGCTTCCTCCGTACTCCGTACAGATATTACTGTAGACATCCCCGTCGTCGTGGATATCGCGGGATGTACGGAGAGAGTCCCGTCGATCGACAGCGGCCTATGCCGGGTTGTGGGCAGGATACTACGTTGTGTGCAGCAGGACCGGTTCTCGGCGATATACGAACACCAAGTACCTCCGCCATCTATCGCACGGTATTTCCCCGTCTCGCACAGCCGTCTCGATATACCTCTACAGTACGCATGCACATGCAGGCCAGCCAAGCAAGGGTGAGCAAGGGTGAGCCGGTGCGGAGCCGTTAGGGCATCGGGACAGGACGCGGCCCCGCAGATACTGTACGTACCTAGTTAGGGATAAAGTTTGTATACCAAGCTTCGCGCTCGGCAGAGCGTCTCCGAGTTCCGGCAGCAAGTATGTATGTACCTCCCCGGAGTACCTACCTACCCACCCGGAGTACCTACCTACCCACCCGGAGTACCTACCCACTCGGAGTACCTACCCAGGCTAAATTCAACGGCCTTCATCCCATCTCTCTAGTTTGTCTCCTTCTCTCAGCCTCGAAGCGGATGGACCAGTGGGATGGGGAAAGGGTGGAAAAACTCACTCCCGAAAAAGAAAAGGTTTCTCGACGCCGCCTCGGAACCTGACCGCGCACTTGCAGCCGAGCCACCGGTGGTCTGAACGCCGGCCGGAAGTCGTCCGAGCGCATGCTCAGCCGACGTGTTACGATGCGAGCCCGCCTCCCCTCTGAAGCCTCTATCCCCTCTCCAACGTGCCGAACCCCAGCACGGCGGTCAGCCGACTGGCCCGCCGTCCCTTAATAGCTCGACGACCCCTTCTTCCAATGAAGCCTGCAACGTGTAGAATCCGCCTGGCGCTATGATTCGTCTCGTCACCACCGGTACTAAGCAGCAGCAGCACGATGGAGGATGACTTTCGAGGCCCGTCGACTCGGCAGTTGCAGCATCCTTGGGCCGTGACGCCGCCCGACCCCGACAGCCTCGAGGGTGGCAAGCTGAAGCCGCCTCACGACACGGCGTCGGCTGCATCCGCCCCTGCTGCTCTCCAAGACGCCGACGATGACGACGACGGAGATGCCTACAGCGCCTTCTCGCGCTCCACCAAGATGTGGGTGACGACAATGGTCACCATCTCGAGCGTCATTTCCCCCATGACGGCAAACGTCTACTACCCCGCCCTCAACGCCGTCGCCGACAGCCTCAACGTGTCCATCTCCCTCATCAACCTGACCTTGACCACCTACATGATTCTCCAGGGCCTGTCGCCCACCATCTTCGGCGACTTTGGCGACATGGCCGGCCGCCGGCCCGCCTTCATCGTCGCCTTTGCCATCTACCTGCTCGCCAACATTGGCCTGGCTCTGCAGCGCAACTACGCCGCCCTCATGGTGCTTCGTTGTCTGCAGTCGGCCGGCAGCAGCGGCACCCTCGCCCTCGGCTATGCCGTCATCGCCGACATTGCCTCGAGTGAGGAGCGCGGCGTCTACATGGGTCTCGTGAGCGCTGGCATCAACTTTGGCCCGGCCGTTGGCCCCATCCTGGGCGGCGTCCTGAGCCAGTATCTCGGCTGGCCATCCATCTTCTGGTTCTGTGCCATCTTCGTCTTCCTCTGGCTCGTCCCGTGGATTCTTTGCGTCCCCGAAACGTGCCGTGCTGTCGTCGGCAACGGCTCCGTGGCACCCCCCAAATGGAACATGACCCTCATCGACTTTGTCCGTTGCCGCGGCGTCAATCAGCGGCCCGAGTCTGAGCCCAAGGTGGAGCTGCGCATCCCCAACCCGTTGCGGACACTCTACGTCGTCTTCCGCAAAGAGGAGGGCTTAATCTTGCTCATCTCAGCCATCATATACCTCAACTTTATCCTCGTCTCCGCCACCTTATCTACGACGTTCAAGAACATTTACCAGTACAACGAGTTGGAAGTCGGCCTCTGCTATCTGCCTTATGGCATTGGCTGCTGTCTGGCAAGCCTGGTCCAGGGCTACATTGTCGACTGGAACTATCGCCGGATCGCAAGCAAGCTCGGGGTACCAGTCCACCGTAAACGGGGCGAGGCTCTCGTCGACTTTCCCGTGGAAACCGCTCGCATCCAGCTGGTGTATCCTGCCCTGGCAGTGGGCGCCGCGGCCCTCATTGGTTGGGGATGGGCCCTGCAAGCCGAGACCAACGTGGCGGCACCGCTGGTACTTTCCTTCATCATCGGCATGCTCGTTCCCACCTCCTTCAGCGTCCTCAACACCCTCATTGTCGACCTCAACCCCCACGCCCCCGCCACGGCCGCGGCGGCCAACAATCTTGTGCGCTGTTCCTTTGGCGCCGTGGCAACGGCCGTCATTGATTACATGCTTGATGGCATGGGCCGAGGATGGTGTTTTACTTTTCTGGCACTTCTCATGGTGCTCTGTTTTGCTGGTTTGAGAGTCTTGGAGAAGCGCGGTCCGCAATGGAGGGCCGAAAGGGCCAGAAAGGCCGCCGGCGATGACAGCCGGACCGTGTCCCAGGAAAAGGGACATGCAACGAAACAGACCAACGTTGACGAAACAAGCGAAGCATAGCAACGGCGTTAAAAGGGCTGGGACTTGGTACCAAGCGACTTGTTTTCTTGCTCGTAGCCTCATTTTGGTTCTAACACAGGCTTAACTATAGTGCCGTTACCGTCCGATCTGCAGTTGCCCTCTGTGACTCCCACATCAACCAATCCGATCGTGTTGTCCTGTTGCCTCGAGTTTAGCGATTGCTCCGGGGATCCGAGGTGCGTAGGTACTCACGGTAAAAGGCCCATGGCATTGATCTTCCAAATGCCCACGGCCAATGCCACGAGCTGCATGGCCACGTAGACGAGCTTTGTCTGCAACAACTTGGCTGTGTTGCCCTCGGTCTGGAACCTCTCGAAAGCCTGGTTGGTGCTCATCAAGCCCACCAAGGGGTTCTTGAAAGCCATAAACACCATCATGATGCTGAAGATCTGTAGCGAGTTGCCCGACATGTACATCATAATGGCCGTCATGGGCAGCGACTTGACGGGGGCGAGTGCCACCTCCCACGCCTTTTTGAGCTTCAGCGTCTCCATTTCCTCCTGCGTTGGGGCCTTGCGCGACGGCGGTTTGCTGCCATCCTTTTTCTGATCCGGCAGACGTTAGCCAGGCTCAAGCAGGCCAGTTCAAGGCAGATGTTGCGCGAGCGTACCTTGGAGCTGGGCGTGCTGGCGGAGAAGCCCAGAGGGTCCGGGATGCCCGGCACCTTGCTGCGGGCGGGCGGCGGAGACTGAAGCTGTGCGGCCCAGGCGGGAACGGCAGGCTTCGATCCTGAGGACTCCATGGCGGGTCGTGCTTGCAGTTGTCGTCAAAGGCCGTGAGCGTGAGCGTGTTTGCGGGAGAAGTGTTTCCGGATAACGAGGCTTGGGGAACGAATGGTAGACTAAGCCACACGTTGCTGTGGGTATACTTGAAAGGTACTTCATATACGGGGCCACCCGCGCCTTTCTTTAGTCCCCCGCGCGTACATCAATCATGCTGAAATGCGACGGCTTACCTCATCGCTGTCGCGGCTCGCCCTCATGGTTGCCGGCGATGCCCAGATATCCTCAACTCCGCCCCATTTTCGACAACCTCGCAACATTACCAACTTGACGCAGCTCGCCGACACGACCATCACTGCACCTCTGTCGACGACAAAGCAAGATACGAAACCACTCCAGCTCCGGAAACGGCAGACCACACCGAGACGCGGAGCAGCTGCCCGCATAGTTGCTCCTCTTGACCTGTTCGACCCGACCCTCTCGCATGCGACGAGCCCCCGCCGAAAGAACAAAGCGCAAGACACTGAAGCCTTGTTCTATGCAAATCAGGCCATATTCTTGATCGTGCGTCGAGCGCGCTGTTACAGGGTCCAAAGTTGACGCTGGGCTGTTGGGCCGCCATCCATCACTCGCGCTCTGTTGCGCGGCGAGGATTCTGCACAAAAGAGAGGCCCTTCTGGTCGGGGCCTGAACACGAATACGACCAAAATGTCGGCCAAGGATGGTGGAGGCGACTCCAAGCTCTTTTCTCGGGTAGGCTTCCCAGCCCCCATCACCCGTGGTGCCGCTCTGCCCCTTCTCGCACGCCTGTACCACTCTCCACTCTCCGTGGCCTTCCTGCCACAGGACCTGATGATGGGATGGCTTGGCCGTGCACGGAGCGCCGTAGACGTTCAGTTGACTAAGACCCTTGGCAGGGCAAAGTTGCCGAGCTTCGTCTCGAGCTCAACAGCGCCGGCAAGAAAGACAAGAACCATGCGGTCAAGAAGATTGCGCTAAAGAGAATCGTGGCCAACATGACGATGAGCAACAATGACATGGTTGCTTTGTTCCCCGACATCATTGGATGCATGCATATCGCGAGCCTGGAAATCAAAAAGATGTGAGTGTCAAACGGGGCGCCTTGGGCAATTTGATCAAGTGCTGACGTGGGCATAGGAGCTTTCTCTATCTCGTCAACTACGCTCGCGTTCGGCCAGACATTGCCATTAAAGCCATTCCGATCCTAGAAACTGTGAGTCGCTCGTGGGCCATCGCCAGGAAGGCGGCTGACCATGGCTTAGGACATGAACGACCACAACCCGCTTGTTCGTGCCCTTGCCCTGCGAACAATGTCTTACATCCACGTCAAGGAATTTGTTGAAGCAGCCGTGCCCATAGTCAGGCACATGCTGCGAGACTCCGACCCGTACGTGCGGAAGACGGCGGCCTTCGGCGTCGCCAAGCTTTACGACCACGACCGGCAAATAGTCGAGCAGTCAGATCTCATTGACCGCCTCAACTCGCTGCTGCGGGACGATAACCCCACGGTCGTTGCCAGCGCGCTGGCCGGGCTGATGGACATCTGGGAGCGAAGCGACTCTATCAAGCTCACAATCGACTACAGCAATGCGTCCAAGATGGTGGCGATTCTCCCAGACTGCTCCGAGTAAGTCCAGTTCATCATCCCTCCCTCTTGCTACTTCGAAGCCAGTGAGCTTCACTGACACGTATCAGATGGGGCCAGACATACATCTTGGAGGCCTTGATGTCGTATGTACCGCAGGAAACTGGCGAAGCGCTGCTGCTGGCTGAACGCATCGCCCCACGGCTCTCCCACTCTAACTCGTCTGTCGTTTTGACATGCATTCGAGTCATCCTATACTTGATGAACTACATCGCCGACGAGAAGCAAATCTCGGCCCTTTGCAAAAAACTCTCGCCCCCGTTGGTGACACTCCTAGCCAAGGGCCCGGAGGTGCAATACCTGGCCCTGCGAAATGCCCTCTTGATTCTCCAACGGCGGCCCGAGGTGTTGAAGAACGACATTCGCGTCTTCTTTTGCAAATACAACGATCCAATCTATGTCAAGGTGACGAAGCTGGAGCTCATCTTTATGCTCGCCAACGAGGGCAACATTGACGAGGTCTTGACGGAGCTGAGGGAGTACGCCACGGAAATCGACGTGCACTTTGTGCGGAAAGCGGTTCGAGCCATCGGCAAGCTTGCCATCAAGATTGAGCCAGCGGCCCGGCAGTGCATCGATGTGCTGCTGGAGCTCGTCTCGACAAAGATCACGTACATTGTGCAGGAAGCCACCGTCGTGATCCGCAACATCTTCCGGAAATACCCCAACCAGTACGAATCCATCATCAGCACGCTCTGCGAGCACCTCGATTCTCTGGACGAGCCGGAAGCCAAGGCGGCAATGGTGTGGGTCATTGGACAGTACGCAGACCGGATTGAGAACAGCGAGGCCCTGCTGGAGGATTTCCTGTACTCGTTTTCCGAGGAGCCGGTGGAGGTGCAGCTGGCATTGCTGACAGCCACGGTCAAGCTGTTCATCCAGAGGCCCACCAAAGGCCAAGAACTGGTGCCCAAGGTCCTGAAGTGGGCGACGGAAGAGACGGACAACCCCGACCTGCGGGACCGGGCCTACATGTATTGGCGGCTGCTGTCGACGGACATGAACGCGGCGAAGCGCATAGTCATGGGCGAGAAGCCGCCCATTACCGCAGAGGCAGAGCGGCTCGAGCCATCGACGCTCGAGGAAATGTGTCTCAACGTCGGCACTCTGGCTACGGTCTATCTCAAGCCTGTGCAGACGGTGTTTCGGTCCGCAAGACCGCGGAAGCTGCAAGACTCGCCCGCGCTGCAGAAGCAAAATCTAGCGGTGGACAGAGACAGCCAAAAAAGCATGAGTATGTTCGGGCGAGGCAGTCAGCCGACTGACATTGACCTGCGAAGTCAGAATGCAAGCATGGCCAGCACCGAGGGCAACCTATCACAGGCAGTGAGCGACGCCGACGCCTACTTTTCAAGCATCGGAACGCAACAGTTGGCGGCCATGCGAATAGACCAGGGCGATGATGTGTTTGGTGGCGGTGGGGGCAGCGTCACGGGCTACGTGGTGAGTGCCCACGCACCGCAGGCGGTAATCCAGCCTGCACAGGGCGGGGGCAGCAACGGCGACCTGTTGGTGCTGTGAGTGAACGAGTGGCGATTCGGTACGACGCGACCACTCGGCGCGCATGGCTGGGAGTCGCGCCGCAGCAGGGGGGGGATGATGCAATTCGGAACTGCGAAGCGGCTATATACCGACGTCGGCTTGGGCTCGAAAGGCCACGGGGTCAGGCTCAAGAGCTGCCGATGGCATGAGAAGCCGGCTATTGAACGACTCGAACGTTGGGAAGGCGGGTGACACATGGCAGCGGCGGCGGCGAAACCGTGGGTGATCATAACCATCCGGCGTTGGCAGACAAATATGAGGCCTGTTAAGACGCAGTCTCGGTGGGCGGTGGCAGGACATGCGGATCCGTCAACGTCGACGTCGGCGTGGGCGTGCATGAGGAGCGTGGCCAGGCATGGCGGCGTTGAGGTGAAGCCGTTTTGCCCCCGACAGAGGCGATGTCCAGCTGTACGCAAACAGCCTCGGATGGACGACAATACGGGCGGCACGGCTTGGCCGCAGATAAAGTGACCTCGCTGGTGGTGTGCTTGACGCGCGGAGAGTGGTGCTGCGAGGCATGATGTCACAAAGGCCAAGGCCGAGTGGAGACAAGTGAGGGGAGGGAGACGCGACGCCGATGTACTGTACTGTAGCACGCGAAGCCTCGAGGCAGGCAGACGCCCAGTTGTCAGCCTTGTCTCGATGTCCACATCCCAGCCTCGTATGCTCATGTGGCTGCTGCTCGACGAGGTTTAACGAGCAGCCTTTGGCGTGTACTTGGAGAATTCCAAGGCGGACAGTGTACGGGGTATGTATTCAAGACTTGAGCCGTGTTCGTCGACGATATGCGAGTCTACTCTCGCCAAAGTACGAAACACAGTTCATGTGATGAGTCGGGACCCCTGCCGCGCGTCTCGGCAGCGAATCGGGAAGGGAATGCCGGGGATCCCCTGTTGGCTGGCCGGTACTGTAACGGGAGGCGGGCAGAGAGGATGCGTGACGTGATGGGCAAGTCTTTTGCCAATCAACATGTGAACTCCTTGAGGGTTATGAAGAAAAGCTACCAATAGGTTGTCTAAAGCAGCTACTAAATATATATGTCTTTCTGATCTACATATAAGCCCCTTTTCCCTTCTTCAGCTCAAGGGCCCCGAGCTCCTCCCTTTCGTAAGTATACGTAGCCCGTCATGCGACCGTACACCTGTTACTTGTAGATCTGACGAGTGGCGTTAACCGATGGGGAAGTTGGGAAGGTCCACGGGCGGCCCATAGGTGAGTTAGAATCTCGCTTCAATGGTCCCTCCACCGAATCGGTGGTCGCTGAGAGTGGGCACGAGAGACCCTATCCGTAGTTCTAATAGATAGAGCAGGAGTTCGTCCGTCCTTTCAAGTGGGGGATATATAAACAGACCTTGGGCTGGGTGCCGCAATTCGGCGAAAATGTCCATGTATTGTGTATGTGGTAGTTATGTGTCGGTCCACCAACCAGACACGGGATGGATGGGTTAATGAATCATGACGATGACAATGACTAGGTAATTATGTTAGTTATATATATGCAGCATATATCCGTACAACCGGCTTGGTAACGACAATTGCTACCTAGTCCATATTGGGAAGGCATGCAACACGACTCACTGTCGGCTCCGGTGATGGCAGCATTTACACACAGTCAACAGACAGCGGGGGGTAAGGCAGATGGGATTTAATGCAATTGCGCTTGTGGACAAAGCGTCGAAGAATCTCCCTCGATCATGCCCGCATCCCTTTTCAGCTCCGGACGACGACTGCAGGTGATGAATTGCAAGGGTCTTGGTGGGCCATTTCCATGCTAGCGGCAGGGGCAGGACCTCCTGGGGCCCGCTATAGCGTCCTGCTGTTTGCAAGGCCTTGGCCTTGGCACTGCCAACTGCCAAAGCCTCCAACGAGGACCGGATTTGGGGAGCTCTGACGATGGATTCATCGGCTTCTTGTCTGCTCTCAAGGCATACCCCGAACTTGCTCGCATTTTTTCTTGCCTGCGACGAATAGACTCTTTCTCGCGTGTCTCAAACAGACGCAGACAAAAGTGCGCGCCCAATCAACAGCCGCCTCGGCACCCCCTCCACCGCCCCTCGAGGCAAGTCAAACGGCTGCTCTTCCAACCGCCGTCCTAATTACCTACTACTGCCCAACTCCTCCCACTACTACCACCTCTACTTCTCTCACCAGCCTGCCTCTGTCTGCCACTGTAGTCTGCATCTGCATACAACTTCCATCGCTCCCCATATCGACATCTTTGTCCCGCGGAAGCGCCGTCGTCGTTGCTGCGCGCGCACTCTCGTTTCCTCACCTGCCGCCTTTGCCCCAGGGGCGACGAGTCAGCGCCAACCAACTTGCCGGCTGACAGTTCCATCCCATCCCATCCATTCATAGCCACTTTGCATCCTGCGCCGCCTGGGCCCCTGCCTGCACCCCCTTCCCTCTCTCTATCGCACTCTCTCTCGCTCCTCCATATCTCTTCATCAGCGTTTGTTTCGTCGCTCCCCTCACCAGTCACCTAATCCCGCGGCTGTGCGGCGCCCTGGATTTGGATCCGCCCCATCCGTTTTATAGTCGCCCGTTCGCGCCTCAGCTGTGCCCGCTAGCGCTCCTGCTAGCCGACCGACCGCCGACGTGCCATCGACAGCCGCGACGCTGCTTCAATCGCCTTGGTCGCCTCCCGCTCACGTCCTCGTTGAAAAAAAAGCCCTCTTCTCGGCGGGCTGCCGTCCTGTCCAATCTCGGCTGCCGCACATCTATGAATTGAGTCGAGCCCTGTCGCACCCAGTGGCAAACCCCGTCCGTCTTCTCCGGTGCGACACCACCCGAATCCGCCGTCCTACAGACAATCCAACATGGAGTCGTCGACGACCATGAGTGGCGGCAACAGCAAAAACACCTCTTCATCGGGTGCTCCCCGTCTCGAGCTGCCGAGTGACGCCGTCCCGCTGGCAGACATGATTCGCTCGCAGCCGGGTTCGACCAGCGACGATGCCGACCAACCCGTTACCCCCCCCGCCGACACATCCGCAGCGGAGTCAAAGGGCAAGGGAAAGGAGCAAGACGCTCCTACACCCCCTTCCAAGCAGAGGCGAGACTCCTTGGCCGCCATCGGTCCCGCCCAAGACGATGTCAGAGCCGCCGCCCCCAGCGGCACCGACGGCGGCCCCGTCTGCTCCATCACCCTCCTCTTGACCTCAGGCAGCCGTCACCCCTACAAGATTGATGCCAGGTATCTCACCCGGAGGAACGTCGCCATGCCCGAGGAAACCGAGGCCGGCCACCCGGACCCCTTCAGCATCAGCATCTACACATTGAAAGAGTTGATCCTGCGCGAGTGGAGGAACGATTGGGAGGCGAAACCGGCCAGCCCCAGCAGCATACGTCTCATCCATTTCGGAAAGCTCTTGGAGGACAAGGAACAGGTCAAAAGTAGGCGCTGCTCGCCCCCTTATCCTGTCCTGCCCTCTTGCTGACCAGACCGTAGAGTACCAGTTCAGTACCGAAAATCCAAACGTCGTCCACATGAGCGTCCGTCCCTCGGATCTCGACGAGGAGGAGCCCAAGGCCGGAGCCAAGAGTCTTCCGGCGGGCAGCGGGGACGGCCACCGCTCCAGGCCTGGCGGCGGTTGCTGTGTCATCTTATGAGCATCCATTGGCCTCTGTCGACGTCTACACCATACGCGTGCACCGGGGCAGGGTCCGAAGTTTGTGCCCGGGCCAGATACAATGGCGAGACACTGGGCCTTGGGCCACGTTCAGGTTGGCCTTGTCCAAGCATCCCACGAGGAGCGCTGCTCGCTCTGTCTCCCCGCCACGCCTGAGAGATGGCCATGTCGACGGCGGGAATCAGACGCCGTTGAACGCTGAGGCATCTCGGCTCTCTCACGCCCTCTCTCTTTTATGCTCATCCAATTCTTTACTTTTCTTCTTGGGTCAACTTGTTCGATCAGAAAGCGGCGAATTACGAGCAGCTACTATCTTGGAAGACGGAAGGGACCGGAGTTTCCATGGACGCATTGTCTTGTACAAAATGTATCTTCTTTTTCATACTTCATCATGCCGCTCACGGTGCTGGTTACGCATGGGATGAGGCGCGGGTGGCTTTTTAGCCCATCCCAGGACGAGGCATGTCAATAGCGGGATAGAATGACAGACAAGTGCTACTGTTGTTCTTGTGCACTTGGATGTCTAGGTTTGGTGTGCATCAAGCAAGCCTGTGGCCAGAAAGCCGCCAGGCCAAGGTCTTTGGGAAACATGTCCACCATGCGTCGGATGAATGTTACAAGAGGCATCAGCCCTCCCATGCCCCCGAGGCCTCCGTTGTCTCTCCTCTCCTCCCCGCACCTGCAACTTTACTGTATCTTGAGCTTCTTTTCCATCTCGTCGTGGAAGCCAGCCACGGGCCTAGTCTCGTCGCCGGTAAACACGTCCTCCCAGGTAATCGTGTCCTCCCTGCCCCGCAGGATATCCTCGTGGACGCTGGGAAGGCCGGCGGCGGCACCACCGAGGGCCATGGGGCGCCACTCGCCGCCACGGACAATCTTGAGCTCCATGCCGCGGCGGACGGGCTCGGCGATGCCAAAGGTGCGGCGCAGCGACTCCATGCGAAGGGCGTCCTGGGTGGCCTCCCAGTTCTTGAGGCGGGCCTCGAGCGGGTGGGCCGAGACGGGCTTGCTGGTGGTGGAGGCAGCAGCGGCCCCTTCAAAGGGCGAGGGGCCGACGCCGTGGCGCAGCGTGTCGTGGATGCCGGGCGCTGAGGGGGCCGACGAGGTGTGCGCGGGGGAAAATGACGAGGCGTTTTCGTGCGAGGGGACGATGCGTAGCGACTGGAGGGGCCCGAGAGAGGCTCGTCGTCAGGACATGTCGGTGCTGTCTGTTGGGAAGAGCTGCTTACCATCTTGACGGCTGTGTCGGCGTAAGAGATTGGCGATTGTGAGGCGTAGAGTCGCTTCGCTTTTTTGTGGAGAGTTTGATAAGCTAAAGAGCACCTCAGAGCGGTCTCGGGTGTGGGCGCCGGCGGTGGTGAAGACGAAGATGGGGAAGGGTGTTGTGGCGGATGGATGATGAAGCTCGGGGCTGCCTTGGACGTCGTCTTTGCGGACAGCCTCGCGTCACTGGCTGCCGATTGCTGTGGGTACCTCGCCGGTGCCTAGCGTCTACGCAATACGTACCTACCTAGGTACTAAGTACTTAGGTACCTCGCCTCGTTGGCAAGGTACCTCGGTACTGGTCCCGGATCGGATCCTTCAACTTCAACCTCAACTTACAACACCCACGGCTATAGCCGACAACCCTTGGCCCAAACCGCCTGGGCATGTCCAGACCCTTGAAAGCGTCGGTCAAGAGGGCGACTCCAACTCCCTGACGAAATGCGATCCCTCGGCTCGCGGCCCCCCGTCATCCGCATCGCCAACGGCACCTTTTACCGCCATCATCCCAGCTCTCAGTCTTCGTACCGGAATCCTCCGCTTTTCAGCAATCTCTCCTTTGAGATAGCCTCGTCGTCGCCTAGCCCGCGTAACTGGTGCGTCGTCGGGCCCTCTCTATCCGGGAAAACGACCTTTCTGCAGATCCTGAGGGGCAGGCTTCTCTGCGATCCGCCGACGGCGAGGTCGTTTCCCTATCTGTCTCAGGATGAGGTGCCGCCGCGGCTGAGGAGCCCGCAAAAGGCCGTGCAGTACGTTGGCTTCGACGCCGAGCAGAATGCCGGTGCGTTGGGTGGCGCGGGCCATGTTGCGGCGGCGTACCTGTCGGCGAGGTATGAGTCGAGAAGAGAGATCACCGACTTTTCATTGCGCGACTTTTTGCTTGGAAACACCGAGCTGAATCCCCTCAAGGCGCCGCTCGGCGGAGACGAGGGTGCCACTGCGGGGTGTCTGCTAGATCGCGTCGTCACGGACCTCAAGCTGAGACATCTGCTCGACCTTCCCGTCACCTTTCTCAGCAACGGCCAGGGGCGACGGGCGAGGATAGCACGTGCTCTGCTCACAAAGCCCGAAGTCGTGCTATTGGATGAGCCCTTTATGGGCCTTGATCCCCCGACCGTCGCCAGTCTGAGTCCCTCGCTCCAGTCCTTGGCTGCCAAAGCGAGCCCGCGGCTGGTGCTGAGTGCGCGCCCACAGGATCCTCTTCCGGAGTGGATCACACACCTGGTCTACCTGAGAACCGACTGCCAGATTGAGTCCATGGGCCCCAAGGAGGTTGTCCTCGACGGCTTGAAAAAGTACGTCGAGGGCGTGAAGAAAGGTGGCTTGGTGGAGGATGAAAAACTGCCCATCCACTCGCTCCAGGAAGTCGGAAGGATACTCTCGCCAAAGATGCAATCCACTGCCGACAAGGCGACTGCCTCTTCGACGACTGTTCAGGATCCAAAGAGCTTAGATTCCAGTGCAGAGCCCTTGGTCGAGTTCGACGGCTGCCAGGTCCGCTACGGCAACAAGGTTGCACTGGGCAATTGGTCGCAGCAGACGCCGCGAGGGAAACAGGATGGCCTGGTATGGAGCGTCCGGAGGGGAGAGCGCTGGGGAGTGTTTGGTCCCAACGGGTCCGGCAAGACGACGATTGTGTCATTGCTGGGCTCGGACCATCCGCAGACGTACTCTCTGCCCATCAGGCTGTTTGGACGAAGCCGCCTCCCGGAGCTGGGATCGGGGCTTCCCCCGCTCACGTTTTGGGACATTCAATCTCGCATCGGCCACTCGAGTCCCGAAGTGCATCAGCACATGCCGCGCAGACACAGCATACGGCGTGTGGTCGAGAACGCCTGGGCGCCCACGTTTGGCACGAAGCCGAGGCTCGACGAGGAGGCCCGGCAAAAGATCGACGCAGCACTGCGCTGGTTCGAGCCCGAACTGCGACCCAACGCGGCGTCTTGCTCGCCTGCGACGCTCGACGGGGGGCTCCGATGGGCGGACGATTACATGCTGGGCGAAGTGTCGTTTAGCGCGCAGCGCGTGGCGCTCTTCATCCGCGCCGTCATCAAGAGCCCGGACGTGATTGTGCTGGACGAGGCTTTTGGCGGCATGGACGAGGCGGTGCGCGACAAGTGCATGCTCTTCCTCGCGCACGGCGAGACCAAGGCCTACCGCGCTGGCCGGGCCGTGGACAGCGAGGCGGCGGCGGTCCGGGGCTTGACGGACCGGCAGGCCTTGATCTGCATCGCGCACGTCAAGGAGGAGGTGCCGGACTGCGTGAGGGACTGGATATGCCTGCCGGAGGCCAACACGGGACGAGCGGTGAGGTTTGGACGGCTGCCGGGGCCGTTGCGGAGGGATGAGGGGGGCTGGCGGGATATCTGGGGGTTCGAGGGTACCTGACGCTTTCGGCGCCTGGGTGTGATCTTGAGTATCGATGAGAGAGAAGAGGACTCCAGGTAGAGATGTGGTGGATGTTAAGGGACAGGATGCATACAACTGTCCACGTGGAGTGGTGACGCTGGTCCCGGTGCCAAGTAGAAGAAAGACTACCACGAATATCATGTGTTCGTACAGTGTAATGAAGCGCGGCTGTCTACCCGGTTCCTTGCTCTCCCTGGTTTGCTATTCTGTACTGAGCATAGAGCTGTGCTTCTCCACCCCGCATGCCAGGCGGGTCACGGGCCGCCCCCGACTCGGAGCCCGGGCCCCTAAATACAGTGGACTCGCCGGGGCACTCGCCCATACTCATCTACTCAAACCCCCACACACCCCCCGCGCCTCTCGGCCCCGGTCCACTCCCTCGCCACTCAACCTCAACCACCTCCGCCCCGTCAACAACAAGCCCACAGCTCAAGGGCAAAAGGCAATGCCGCGCCGCCCACACGCCGACTCGGCCACCGCGCGGTGCTGCGTCCCGCTGGCCTCGCTCACGCAGCCCGTGCAGGTCGCGCAACTCAGGTGAGCCAAAAAAAAATTACTCCTCCTCCTCCTCCTCCTCCTCCTCCTCCGCCTCCTTCTTCTCCTTCTTCTCCGTCTTGTGTGTGTGTGTGTGTGTGTTTACTAACCAGTGTTACGCCATGGCCAGCAGCGGCGGCGGCGACGCTGAGCCGCGTGCGTCGGCCTCGGTCGCTGCCTCGTCGGCCTTTTGCGCCTGGCCGCTGCTCGGCCCGCTGCTGTTTGAGAATGAGACGAGCGATGCGCGCGACCACTGCGCCAACGAGCGGAGTATGCATGAACGGATGGCCTTGCCAACCCTTCAACGACGTCTTGTTCTGACCGACCTCACTCCGCAGCCTTCCTCTCCTACCTCCGCCTCGCCGTCTACATGGCCGTCCTCTCCATCGCCATCACTCTGTCCTTCCACCTCACCCACCAGCCGTCGGACCTCGAGCGCCGCATGGCCAAGCCCCTCGGCCTCGTCTTCTGGCTTCTCTCCGTCGCCACCCTCTTCATCGGCCTGGGCAACTACATCAGTATGCTGCCTAACCCCTATGGCCTCCTGCGCCGGCCACGAAGAAGAAAGCATCGTGTCACTGACCCCCTGTCCGCTCTTGGCGTTAGCAACTATAAACAAGTACGGCCGCCGAGCCGCCATTGTGCAGACTGGCTGGAGAACGCAGCTGGTGAGTTCTTTCCTCGTGTCTTCCATGCATGGCAAACACTGACACGGCGGTCGTCGTAGCTTCTGGCCATACTGGCCCTCTGCATCATCGGCACTTGTGTTGTTCTGATTGTCGTTCCAAAGCTTCGCTCGGAGAGAGAGTCATAAGTCAACCACCTCGTGTCTTGTCAATCGACAAGGCTTTGCACGGGAGCTAGCCAAAAGACGACCGAACGGATAAAAAGTGTGATTGAAGGAGCAAAAGGCCACGGTTTTCAATATGGATGATAACGAGTTTAAAGTGTACTGCCGGGAACCCGTGATGGTGATATTAGACCCCTCGATATGGTGGTTGGAATTAGCGCACAGAAGGAGGTTTCCTAACTTATCTCTAATGGCTATTGTCATCCTGTCTATCGCACCTATGTCTGCCGAGATAAAACGACTCTTTTCTAAGGCCAAAGCTACGGCTACCGACCAGCGGGCATCAATACGTACTGCAACTCTAAATCTTTCGGAATTTCTACGGCCCTAGGACAAAAGCACCCTCATAGTCCCTTTGGAGGTAATATTTCTGCTTTATGAGGCGTACGGTCGTCTAATCTGGATTTTAATGCCGCTATGTAGACCCGGCAGGTACGAGTAACGTCTCCGATGTCCAAGATCTAGAAAGTGATGGGGATAGGGTTGGTGAGATACATGGTAGTAGGTTATTGGGAAGAACTAGGTAAGCTGGAGGGCATGCATGGATGAGGAAAGCCCACGAAACGCCTGCCGGGTATCGGACTAATAGTCCAGTCTGAGAATTTCGGCCAAACTGCCAGTTCAGTCTGGTCAAGCCGACGGACGATTAAGGCGGCTTGAGGCTCCTAGACGAACTGGTTGCTGTGAGGAAACCACTGTGTTGTGCAGGCAAAAGTGAAGTGACACCCCAACAGATGACCTGGAAGTGGACCCCCTATGCCATGGGGGTGCTGGTGGTAGCTGACAGTTACTGTTGAGGAGAGTGGGCATAAGAGGCCATAGTCATGCCCAAGGGACCCAATAGTCATGCATAAGGAAGCCTGCCTGACCAACATGACTCCCCTAACCCAAGGACATTATGTAGGCCTAACTTAGGTATAGAAATATCTCAATGCCCTCTTTTGGCTAGCTATATATAGTCACTATACCTACCTATATAAGCCCCTCCCTTATCCTAATAGATAGACTAAGATATGCATTACTAAATTTACCTTTCTATGCCCTTATTTCTTCTACTATGCTCTTAAGCTATTACTTAAGAGTTATAAGCCCGGCCTATATAGCTAGATTATTTTTTGCCCGCTAATATTACCTTTAAAGCTATTTAAGAGCTATTAACGCCGTTATAACGCTTAAATCGTGGTATTAAGGTAAAGAACCTAGCTATAGTAAGGGGCACTACTAGAAATACGAATTACGTATCCCTTAAAGAAGGATATTACTTATTAAGCTAGAACTTTTAATTTTCCTAAGATAATATTAAAGGAAGTAAAAGGGGATAATTATATTATAAGACTAAAGGAAAGCCTCGATTAGACCTTATAGATTAAGGGGATTAAATTATAGGCCTAGACTTATAAGATTTAGGAATATATTAACCTAAACGGTATTAAGGAGCTTATATAGCCTTAATAGCTAGACTAAGAGTAATTTATTATTTACCTTAAAAGGAGACCTTTTTAATAAGAAGATAAAACTAAGGCTATATTCCTTATAAGGTAAATAAGCTATAACGAACGATACTAGGATATAAAAGACTCCTTTTATAACTTTAAGAAAAGGTTCTAGCTATAATTCGATCGCTATAAGGTTTAGTAAAAGACCTTAATTATACTTAAAGAATTAATTAAGAAAACTATTAATAAAGGGCTTTAAGGGGTAACCTTAATATATAATAGCCTAAGAGAGAAAATTAAGGAATTAAAGATATAAGCCCTACTCTTAAAGGTAAAGGAGAAAAAGCTAATTTATAAGAGATATATAACCTTTATTAATAAAAGAGTTATATAAAACTAGAAAGCGTAGGTAGAATAGCTTAACTAGATTATTATAGATTTACGAGACCTTAAGGTTAATATACTTAACGATATAAGAATTAAATAGGATTTTCTTATAGCGGTAGATAAGTAAGACCTATATTAGTTTATAATAATAAGGGCTTTTAACCTTTATAATAAAAGATATAGTAAAGATTAACTTTTCTTAAGGAACTTAATCGCTAACTTTAAATAAGAATATACTTATAAGGAGAAGTTATAACTACTTATAAAAAGGGGAAGCGCTAATTAAATTTCTAGGAAAGTAGATACTTAAGCTAAATATGCTAGCTATAAGTAGTACGTTAATAGCTTAATAAGCTAGTAGGAAAATTACTACTTACTATAGGTAATATATAATAAGAAGCCCTTAATAGGCTAGAAATATAATAATCTAGCTAAATAGAATATTTAAAAAACAGCTAAAGGACTATCTAAATAAGAAAGTAAAATACTTAGCTTAGACCCTTAATTCCTATTTTAAAGAAAGAGAACTAGTAAAGACTATTATTAGTAATAACGGGCTAGGAAAGACTATTAATATAGTTACTCTATCTAAGGTAAATTTAGCTATTAAAGGAACGCCGTTACTTACTAATAAATTAATATATAACTTAAGGGCTAATATTAACCTTTTTAATAACCTAGGTTAGTTTTAAGAAGGAACTTTTAAGTAGGGTTTTAATAATAAGGTCTAGGTTAAAAACTAAGCTTTTAAGGTATAAGAAATAAAAATAGTAGTTATCCTTATAATTAATAGTAGAAAGATAACTTTATTAGATACTTACTTTATCTTAAAAATACTAATAAATATCTTCTTAGCTAAGCTAGGGATAATAGTAAGGATATTCTAGAACTAGCTCCTAAGATACCTCTATTTAAAAGCTATAAAGGAGGTTTATATTAAACTAACTAACTTCTAAGGTTAGTTTATAATAAGAATACTCCTATAGTATAATAAGTAAGTATTTATAGTTAATAAGCGCTTAAGCTACTAATAAATAAGGTAGGTAACTTATAGTATCGCTACCTTAAGTATCTTAGTCTAAGATTACTAAAGAAGCTATTAAAAGCCTACCTAGGTACTAAGCTTTAAGGCCCTTTAATATATAGCTATTAAATATATATAATAAGGAAAGCTAAAAGGGAAGTCTTAAGAAAAATACTATCTTTAAGGCCTAAAGGTCTAAGGGTATAAGTTAGCTTTAACCTTTACCTTAGCCCTATAATAGTATATAATAGGGAAAAGAAGCGATAGATAGTAAATATAGGCTACTATACCCTTAATTAGGAAGTTATATAGCTAGATAGGAACTGATTTTTAATTAGCGGAACCGGCCGACCGAATTTTAATTAGCCGGCCCTACCTAAGAGCGACCTATACTAGCGCCCGGCCTAGTAACCGGATATTACCTGCCCTACTAACTAACTAACTAATTATAACGACCGATATTATTCTTAAGGGATAAACCTATTAAGGGGTTTATATTAATAGATATAATAGGGCGTAGTCTAAGTAATAATAAGTATATTATATTAGTAATAAATTAAAGGTTATAGACTATAGACTATAACTAGGTAATTAAGTAATTAGAATTAAAGATAAGATTATAATAAAGATCGTAATAATTATAATATTAAAAGCTATTAAGCTATCTATCTAAAGGAGTATTCTATTCCTTCCTTATATATCTTAAGAGCTTTCTTAGATCGCCGAGAGCACTAAGTAATCCCGTAGCCTAGGAGCGCTAGAGCGCTAAAGCGATCCTATAATCTTAGCCGTAGAGCGTTAAAGCGCTAAAGTAACCCGTCGCTTTAAACTTAATTAGCCCGTCGGTCTATTTAATATTCCTTATTCCCTATATTACGTGCCCTCGTAATATATACTAGTCCCCGCGGTTTACTAGACTATAGTCGTAATAAGATACCTCTCCTCCTTTTAGTCTTACCCTTAAGACCTACTACCTTAGCTACCGTATATAAATATACCCTTATTATATTATATATAAGTATATCGTTCCTTATTCCTTTATCCTTTTAAGATATACTACTAATAGTATATCTAGTTATATTTAAAAAAATCTTATTCTCGTAATTCTAATAAATTATATTAACGATCGGAGCTAGTATCCTAGACCGAGATCTATAGTATTAAAATTATACTTTACTCCTATTATTTTCGGTTAGGCTTAACTTATAAGGTCGGCGAGCGTTTTAATCGGTATTCTAAATATACCTTTATAGGCCGTTCTTATAATAGTTATAATATAGCGTCCGCCTATTTATTTTATCCTTTTCCTTCCTTATTATTCTTTTTACTAATATTCCTTTTTTTTAGTTTATTATATTATAAATTAATAATAAAATATTAATTTAAACGAATAGAAAGTAAAAGAAGCGTTAAAGGAAGCGATAGCTCGCTTAGCTTAGATTAGGAAATAAAAGCGTTTCCTAAAAGACTAAGGTAGTAAGTTATTTTAGCGGGGTATATAAGCTATTAATAAAGAAGATAGTATAACGCGTTCTTCTTAAGATAAATCGGTTTATTTATTAAATAAAGAAACTATTACTATTAGCGAGGTTTAATCGTTTAGTACCTTAGATATATTAAACTAAGATACTATTCTTAGTAACCTTATATTTCTAAGTAAGGGTTCGCTTAGTAAAACTATTAAAGTAAAGAACTATAGTAGGTTAAATACTTAAGTAGCTCCTAGGTATTTTCCTTTAGTCTATATCCTTTCTATTTAATAAGGTATTCTTATTACTAACCTTATTTTCTTATATCTAGTATTTATTTTATTTTATATTCTTAATTATCGTTAACTTTAATTTTTTCCTATAGTTTAGCGTTTTATAGTACTAGTTTTAATAATAAGATATAAAATATTAGGTATATATATACTATTATTAGTAGCGTAAGTTTATAGTTAACTTTTAAAATAGTTTTCTTAACCTTAAATAGTCTAAGTTTCTTAAAGTTTAATTTATTACTTAGTTATTTTATTTTAATATTTTATTATATAAGGTAGACTATATCTCCCTCTTAAAAGATTAGTCCTTATAATCTTTTCTAATTATAGTAAGTAGATATTCGTTCTTTAATAA